CAGGATCTTGATCAGGCTCTGGCGAATCATGCCGCCTGGGTAGCGGGCGGGCATAGCGCCGGCCAATGGATAAGGTCCCAGCAACCAGGGATGGCCGCGGGTTAAGCGTAGCGGAAGCAGCGGGGTTGGCCTAGTGGTGGGTGGTGGGGAGGGGAAACTCGGACCCCGTCACTGCAGTCGGCGGTCAAAGAAAGTCGACAAAAGGTTCAAGAGAATGAATGCAATGCTATTTGCTAAAATCAGATGTTGGGATTCGAACATTGCATGGGGGTGGGATTTCAAGGGCAAAAAGATGCCAGGTAAGGAACATATGTGCGTGCCTGGCCCATGGGCATCCATCCTGGGCGCATCCATCGGGCCGTCATCCTTCATGCTTCACGATCTCTCTCGAGTGTAACAAAAGAAGACTGGCTTGGCTATGAAGCTGGGGGCCATCTTTAGCTCTAGTCCTTGACAAAGTTCCTCGAAAGGATTGAAGCTACGGGCGGTGTGGTGAAAAAAGAGGAATGAAACCATACATTACATTATAATGTGGATGGGAAAGAGGAAAAAGGTATCACGGCCACTGCAAAATAAAAATAAAAGAAAAAAGATCAATGTCGGGGAAGAGTTGCCGAAGTGTGCGTTGCCTGCCTGCTCCTAAGACATATTCACCTTACCTCTTTGCTGTAATCAACTCGTCATCAAGTTTTTCACTGACGGCCGTTTAGTCAGTTACCAGTATGAGTTGTGAAAAGCACCACCTAAAGTTCTTGTTTCTTGCCCTTTTGCTGCGGCACAAAAGTCACAAGACCGACGCAACTGAAGTACGCACGCAAGGGGGTAAAGATGGAAGGAAAAAAACGTGTGCATGACGAATGATGACAGGGGGTGGCTTTTGACTGGCGAAGGAAATATATACTTGCCGACTACCTTTTTCCTTTCTTACGCCGAGCCAGATAGATAATGAGAGTCGCTTCGCATTTTTTGCTGACGAAGATGAGATGGGGTCGCCGCTTGCATGCACGTATGTATGTATGTATACGAGACCGTTGCGGGTGGGAGGGTTCGTTCGTTCGGTCCTGGCTTGTATCTCAAAAAAAAAGGAACCTCGTTCTCATGTTCCTGTGGCCGTGATACACCTAAGGTACTTAACTGGGCCGGTCCGGCATCGTCTGTGCAAAGCGAGAGGGAGAGAAATACCATCTTGAGCTGATGTGGCAGAAACCCCGTTGTTCAAAAAACCTACCTTAGTACTAACTGTATTGTCGGAATTGTTCCCGTTACGGATACTTATGTTGCTATGCTACCCCCAAGCCTGCCTGCCAGCTGTGTTTAGGTGGGACTTTTAAAGACTCACGATTTCCCATTTAGGGTAGTGTGGTATGGGGGGCTGAGAGAGAGAGAGAGATTGCTTCCAAGCTCAAGGAAAAGACGCAATGAATGCTATGGTGGTGAATGCATCGAGTCGTATAGTACGTGAAAAGGCGACATGCAGTTTGTAAACGTGCGTGCCAGCGGTGCTAGCAAAGGGAGCTAGCGAGCGCCAAACCCGGAGCCACAAGCAAGATATGGACGCCTTGACACGCTTGAGATGGTATGTACATACGTACTAAAAAGTGCTGTATGAACGGATACGCTGATGACAACGGCTGCTTTTCTTTCCCACTGGGTGGAACATCCATGGATGTCCAAAAAGGGAACAGCAGCCGCCGCCGCCGCCGCCACCGTCAGTTGAAAGGCCGGCGGAAAAGCGACAACGGATTGTCGGAAAAGACGGCCTCTGTTTTTTTTCGATAGACCCTTGACTTGCGAGGTGGGGGAAAGAGAACGTAACCGGAGAGGCTGATCCGCCGCATGTCTCGGGGTGGCACTGGACGCCGGCCGAGGTCCTGCTAAACATAAAAGTACCTTGCCTCGGATTAGGTGCCTTCTTCGCTTTCTATTCTTGGTATCCGTATGTGTGTGTTTTATTGTACGAAGAGAGAAGGCCTCGTCTCCCCGGCCCCGGCGGCCCCCTTGTAGACCGACCATGGATCTTAAGGGTTTTTGTTACAAGGGGTGAAGAAGGGCGCCCGTCAGCACACAGCGTACAGCGCACCACCGCAACACAACCACGCCTGCTCCGGATTCTCCGTCGAATCCACCCCGCGGATTCCAGGTCCATTTCCACGCAGGGCACAGCATGATTCCACGGCGCCCCGGCGGCAACGAAATGAGGGAGCGAGGGTGAGTGATGAGAGAGAGAGAGAGAGGGGCAAGACTGACTAGGGGGTGGTGTAATATGTACAGTATTGGAAACTAAGTTACTGTCGCACAGCGGGTGGCACGGATTACTATCAACAACTCCTTTCAGACGCTCCGTGGGGTATGTACCAAGATACTGAATTGTGTGTATCGGAAGCGGGCATTGCCATGTCGGTCTTTTCATTCCTAGCCTATATAACCGCTCCCATTCCAAGACGTCGCAGACAGTCCAGCGCGCATTTTTGCATGGGACAAGGGACCATCCCGGGCGATCACGGTGGACACAGCACTTGGGTTTTTGTCATCGGGGGTTTCTCTCGAGTGCTGGCCAGCCGAGTCGATAGACCTTCACCAGTCAGCTGCCCTCTGGAACTTTGCCCCGAAGGCCAATCCTCTTCCTCCGACAACGACTGGAGATAAGACGGATCCAGCAATTGGAGTTAGGTACTTACTGGGTGTACGAAGACGTAGGCTGGATATGCGACCCTTACTCTCCCGCCGCTCAACAGAGTTCCAGTTCCAGGACCAGTTACAGTTGGCAAGCGGGGATGGCGAGGGGAATGCAGCGCAGTGGCTGCGACATGGTGTTGAACCTGAGCATGGAAAGTGTCGATGGCGGGCGGCGGGCCATGCTCACGATTGGCCTTGGGCTTTACGGAGCACTACCTCGGTAGGGGGGACGTAGTGGCACGGGGGGACCAATGGCAATGTGCTGCGCTGTACGAACAGCGCAGAGGGACACGGGGGCTGCGGCGGATGGCCAGGTTTTGACACCAAGACGGCTTTAGACATACGACCTTTTGACGAAGACGATTACATCCGAGCCGGACGGCAAGGGAGAGTTCTGCGAGGTATGTATGTACTGTGCGGTAGATGCGGTAGGTAGCAGCGAGTAGCGGCCATGCGGAACCTATATAATATGGCAGTTTGGATTCGCCTCGCTCGACAGCCGACTTCGATTGGCAGTGTCGTAGCAGCCTCGAACCTATCTGCCTAGGTAAGCAGACAGGTACCTTTAGGCGTGAGGTAAAGTAAAGGTAATTGTCGGCCTCCACTGTTGCCTGCCTGCATGGCGGGCCGGGCTTTTGGTTTTGGCGACATCGCTTGGACTGCGTGTGTGTGAACCAGCATCGGTGAAAATGGAAAGGGTGAAATCTGATGAGCGCCCAGCCTTCGGAGAGGGGTTGATGCAAGGCAGGCCCATCCCCGCCGTAGAGTGACGGCGTCAACACAGCATGAGAGGCCCCGGCCCATCAGCTGGACAATTGCTTGGAGGTTGAATCTCCGACTCCCGCATGCCGCATGCCGCATGAGGGATGAGGGATGAGGGATGATGAGGCGACTGGACTGAGCCGCCACCACGGGCTCCCTGTGCTGGCCGTGGCTGGCGCTGGTGCATACATCCATACAACCTACCTACGCTCAGACTGAGGTGGTGCTGGTGCTGGTGCTGTTGCTGGTGCTGGTGCGGTGGCGCTGGTGCTGGTGCTGGTGCGGTGGCGCTGCGGGGGCCCTGAGACGGGTCGGGCAACTCTTGAGCTGCGAGTCCAGGTGGTCCCAGACTAGACATCCATATGCGGCAACGACGAGAAAGGAACTGAGGTGCGGTGCGGTGCCGCTTTCTTTCGGAGGTCGTGGTTTCCTTATGTGGTAGGACTGCATGTACGAATACATACAATAATACATACACTACCTTACCTTTCTACCTTTTACGTACTTCCTGACGCGAGGCGCGTAAGTTCGTTCGCCCTTCCTTAGCTCGTTGCAGTGAGTGGCCCAGCGTCTTTGATTTTGATTCCCGCCGACGGCTTTCGGGTTCTCTTGGCCGCTTTTGGCTAACAAGAGGAATACCTACTATGTAGATCTAGAACTAGTCAACCTTGTTGCCTCGAGACAAGGGCGTTAGGCGATGTGGAAGCCGTCGGTGGAGGGCCTCCATGGATGCTTGGGCGCAGGTGGAATAAGCAATCCGTCCATACATACCTTAGATACATACCTGAGTACGGTATATCCGTAAATACATCATACCACCGACTCCAACTCCGTACCGCAGTACCTGCCCAGGATTCCGTGGAGGTGGTGTCCTTGTGCCCGTCCATCCATTGTGCCCTTTATACCCTTGCCTGGCCATGGAAGAAAGCCAAGCTCCACCACGAGGACCGACACGACACCCTAGCCGGCTGGTGCGAGACTTGCGCGAGGATCCCTCTACGTCAAGTACGGCGGCTACCTAAGCTGTATCGAGTTATTAGTCTGCGAGGTAGGGCCTGCGCTCCTCTCGGCTGGCCGTGACCAAGAGTGGAAGCGAACAGTCCGGCACAGTAATAGTATTGGTAGTGGGAGCCTGTGACTCGGTGACCCGAGTGATAGATTGCCTTCCTTGCCTTGCCTTGCCTTGCCTTGCCTTGCCTGCCTTCGTGGTTCCATTGCCGCATGTTCCGCCCTCCCCTCTTCTTCCGCCTTTGCGTCTCTGCCTAGGTCGGTCTCCTGCTTAAGTGTCTCTCCGCCCTGGATGATACAAAACCAACGTAATCCCCATCTCGGTCCGCAGTCCTGCCTGTCCCCTCCTTTTCCACCCATTTTCGACTCGAGACCCCCGAGGCTCCTCGCCACAACCCCAGCACACGACCAGGGCACTTACAATCGCTGCATCCCGGGTGTCCGTCGTCAGCTACCATACCAGGGCGCCGGGTTTTGCGAACAGCAGGAAAACAGCCAGGAACGCTGCCCAACCAGAGAGCGAGCTCGACAGGCTGCGAGTCGCGTCTTTATTTACCCAGGGTTGCAGGAACAAAGAACCTAAGGCAAGGCAGAGAGACAGAGCGGGGAGAAGCAGCAAGAGTGAGGGAAACGAGGCAAAGGCTGTGAGCCGGAGGCGGTCGATTTCGAAAGCGAGGGGCCCAGGCGGACCGGCCACGGAGCGAACAGCAACATCAGCCAATTTCTCGCATGCAACAGAACAGCCCGGCCTAGAAACGTGGTCTGCGTTCCTGTCGAACCGGCTCAGAAGCGCGTGCGAAAAGAGGCTGCGAACCTAGACTGGAATTCAAGCAGCACCTGAGGCTCCGAGCCTCAGTTATCGCTGGGCTGCCCTTGGCCTCGGCGTTGCGGCAACCCAACTGCGCTCAGATCATTGAGTGCGGGCCCCCTAACTGATAAAGAAGCGGGTGCAGCGGGGTGCAAACCTGGAATTCATTTCCATACTGGACGACGAGGCCTGCCCGCGTGTGAAGGTTGAGGTGCGATTGTGTTTTGCTGCCATCTTATTCCAGGACCCGTCTTCTCGAGGTCCTCGTGAACCGATCGGTTTGGCATCCAGCCAGCCATCCCATTCCATCCCACCATATCTAGCCACTGAGGTGGGCTGTCTAAAAGGAAGCGAGCGAGTGGGTGAGGGGTGCCTGCCTGCTGATAACTCCACCTGGCCAATCCACTCAGCTGTGCTGCAGCACCTTGACGGCTCCACCCACGCCCACGCTCTCCAAGCCCACACCCAACGACCGCTTGCCTTGCCTTGCCTTCGCCTGCATTGGCCTGCACGCACTCCCAATACCGGAGCCAGGATCGGTGTTCCAAATAAGTAGCGGGTTCGCTCTCGACCCCTCCATCCATTGCGTGCCCCAGACCACTCCAGCTCGGTGCCAACAACAAAGTCCGTAGCCTAGACGTTCCGACGTCCTTTGAGCAACTGACTACCTGACCGAACCTGACCGGACCTGACCTGGTATAATCTACGGCCGCTACACCACCTCCCCGTCTTTGTTGAGCGATAACGAGAGCGTGGAATTGCAAACGACAACTTCCTGCGGCCCATTCTTTATCCGGAGCCTTGGTTCTTGGGTTCCCTGCCACGACCTGCTTTGCCCCTCCCTGGGCGATTACGGCCGAGTCCTCCGTCCCTAAATACAAATACAGGAAAGACGTCAGCACGAGAAGAAGACGCCGAAGAGGGAGGATAATAGCAACAAGAGAAAGGAGGGATAGAGCGAGAAAGAGAACAGGGGGCAAAGGCAACAACAAGAGGCCGCGGAAAGTTGAACGGGTGCATGTCACCGCCTTGCTGCAGGCGTCCGCTGCGACTGCAATCGGCGGTTCTGGCCCGTGGCTGATAGCCGCTGTCGCTGCGTCTGGGCCACGGCGCTCGCTTGGTGCTCGCTGCTCGCTGCCCACCCCGCCGACGGAGCGTGGCCTGATCGGACCGGCAGACCGGGGACGGCGCGACGCTCACGCTCGCTCGCTCTGAGACGACGGATACCCCCAAAACTGTTCAAGGTACGTGTCGGGTCTTGCTCCCGCCAGCGACTATGGACGAGATGGACTACGTGATGCACAACCCCGACTCCTCGGCCTCACAGGCGCAAAACCAACATGTCCAGCAGCCTCAGGGCTGCCCGTACTTCCGTGCAGATCATCATCCGGCAAGCCTCCCAAATCCGCACCCACACCCGCACCCGCACCCGCGCATGCACCCGCACCCGCACCAGTACCCACACCCCGCACACCCTCACCCCCCGCATCCTCATTCTGCGCACCAGGCGCCGGGGCTCATGTCGGCTAACCGCGGGCCCTCGCACACTCACTACGATCCCGTCCACGCCGTGAGCGACCCGTGGATTTCGACCCCCTACGGAGCCTTTCAGTGGACTAGGGGTGAGGCTTTGCCGCCACATTCGCAGCTGCTTCACTCCAGGCCGTCGGCCTCGGAATTTTACCTTGCGGGTGGAGGCCAGGGCCAAAGTTCCAGCTTCGGCTCCGGCTCCGGCTCCAACTCAAGCTCCAGCTCCAGCTCCAGCTCAAGCTCAGGCCCAGCAGGTCAAGCTGGCCAAGGTGCGGGTACTGGTGCTAGTCCTGGTACTGGTACCCAAGCTGGACCTGGCCCAGTCCAGCCCATCTTGGCCCAAAGCCAACATCCCCTCGCACACCACGACTCTTTTACACCATTTACCTTTGCATTTCGCCAGCCCTCCATCCGCTTTCCCCCAATACCCATGCCTTCTCAACAGTCTAGCCACCCGAACCATTCAAACCAGGCAAACCATCTAAACCACCAAAGTCGCCCGGCGCACCATGCTCAGCAGCAGCTAATGCAGCAGCAGCAACCACCACAGCAACAGCAACCACAGCAGCCACCGCCGTCGCAAATGTCTCAACTGCCGCAGCTAATGCAGCAGTCGCAGCAGCAACAGCAGCACCACCACCAGCAGCTGATGGTTCAGCAGATTTTGAGGCATCAGCAGCAGCAAATGCCAGTCCCCCCGCAAACTGCCCCGCACGGTGGCATCAATCTGCCTGTTTTGCCTTCATCCTCAGCACCGACTCAGCCGTCGAACATGCCGAGCTCGGGAGATTCCAGTCCTACCGCCCCCGCCGGCCGACAGTCGACGCACTCTGAGGACTCGCCACGGGGAACAAGCCGCGGCAACGGAAACAGTTCGTCGCCCCGGACGACTGCAAGCATCTCGCAGCCTGCCCGACCGATCCTATTCGGCGGGCTAGAGCCAGCTCGAGCTGAAGCTGGCCCGTCCGTCGCCGTCTCCTCCGACTCAGACACACCCCCGCCTCCGAGATTGACCCCACCCATACAGCCGAATACTGAGCGCCGCCGCAACTTCATCCCTCGGCCAAGATTCAGGCGAAACACGGCTCTGAACTCGGATTACGACAGCGAGGAGGATCCCGATCAGATCGAAGATGACGAGCAGGCGCTCCGCTTCATTGAGCAATTTTCGGTCGGCCCCTACCATCGTGACTTTGACGAAACTCGTGTCCGAGCTCACCAACTTCTCCGCGGCCAGATGAGCAATAAGCGTGTGGCGTCCAAGAAAGCTCTTGCCCAGCTACAGAGTGTCGATCTCGATTCCCTTGAGGAGAGCGAGCGGAGTGGGTGGTCCTGCTTCTTCCCCCCTCAAGGCGGTGCGCTAACAATGACTTTCCCCAGCCTGTGTCATCTGCTACAATGTGTTCAGTGTGGAAACCCCAGAGGGAGTGAAGGAAGCGCCCCTGCGACTCCCGAAATGCAAGCACATCTTTGGTGACCACTGCATCAAGAAGTGGTTTGAAGAGTCAGACAGCTGCCCATATTGCAGGGACAAAGTCCATTCGGAACCTGCATATCAAAGCAGTGCCAACGCGATTCGAGAGTTCCTGCGGGCGTCTTACGGCAATGGCACACGATTTCACCCTCATATGCCGCCTGGAGAGACCAGACCCCCACCGTGAGTCCCCTCCCCTCCCTCTGCTTTTGTCAGGCAGGAAGACTAACTTGTGTAGCTCTGGGGAGTTCATTCGCCTCGCCGCTCAGAGAGACGACAGTCGGCCTGACAATAGCCCGCCAAGGACTTGGCAAACGGGGGAGCGGAGGTCCCCTCCTTCAGAGCCATCAAGCAGGCGGACCCGAGCCAGGCATGGCAGCTTCAGGGGTTCACCGTCTACCTCGACGACGGCGACTGCTTCAGCTAATGCCAGCTCTAATAATAATGGCAGCACCCGACAAAACCCGCCCGCGGGGACGAACCCGGCAGGGCCCCAGCAGCAGAGCCCGGCTCGTGAACGTGTAAACCACCCCCCAAACTTTTCGCCTAATTGGTATCAATTATCACACGAATCACGCCGATCACTGACACCACTATTGGCGAGACAGTTTGCATCAGGCGGCCACCGCCCCTATCAATACCCTGGCAACATGAGCCGCCCTCCAAACATGCCCCTTTTAACGCCCGTGGATCTGAGCCAGCAGAACCTGCCGCCCCAGCTAATAGCCGACTTCACACCGATCATGAGGCCAAGGGATTTTCTTTCTTACCCGTTGAGCCCGATGAACGGGGGGCCTGGTCACCTGGCAGGCGAGACGGAGCAACTTCCTGGCCCCACGCACATGGCGACATTCCCGCAGCAGCTTCCCCCTGTCAGATTCGTCGATGGATCCAGATTCTCGGGCGCCTCGAACGCAGCTAATGGCCCTCCTAGCGCTGGAGAGGGCTGGCTGCAGTAGAGCCGCAGCCTTGACTGGCGTACGGGTATTCGCCAGCCTAGAGAATTCGTGACTTATATCGGCATCCCAGCTGCCGCTATGGAGCTGGTCCACCTTGGCGGGACAAGTACTCATCGTAACCCATCGACTTTAATTGTTCTAGTCAGGGACGATGTGATACACAGACACACACCTCTATGCACACACATTTTGCTCATAGATTTGAGCATTCATTTCCCCACGGCATTGTTATAGATTTCCCCACTCTTCTCATGGTGCCCAGCTGAGTTTGGTAATTTATTTTTAGGGAGGCTTGGGGTTGTTATGACACCGGCGTTTGACTTCGGAGTTTGAGGTTCTCACGATTGCGTGCTAGATCACCCCTTTTCCTTGTTTTCCTACCTCATTCCTCAGACTGCAGCAGTTGCGGCACGTTTTTACGACCACAGTCATACGAAGGCTCCGGAGCAGGGCAGCACGGGTCTTGTGTAGCGGTGGGCCCCTTTCTCCCGACACTTTTTAGTTTCTTTCTTACCCAGGTCAAGCAACAGGCAGCAGGATGCGGCTGGCGGAAGGAATCCGCGCGAGAATTCAGCCCGGCACATGACCTGGAAACCAGGGGTCTTTTAACGTCTGTTATGATAGGAAACGGCATCTATGAGAGCACGAAGGCGGGCATGGGACAGGCAGACGGATCGGTGATATCATGATGCATGAGGCAGAGAGACCTATCAGATTGGCAACGCAGTCGAGACGGAGTAGTAAGAGAAAATCAAGAAACCTGATAATCTCTCCCTAAAAACTAGCACCGTGTCTTTGCATCAATTCGTAATGCCCTTGAAAGGTGATTGCACTCTTCTTTCTTTTCCCCTCGCTTCCAACTAACCTCTCTTGGGGCGATGAAGATGCAAACTCCAGGATATAGACTCAGTCCTACCTGATGGAATGAAAGGCCTTTTATAGCCGTAGTTTGCCTGCCTCCCAGCTGAACCTTCAAGATTAGTATGTGCTGACGTTTGTCGGGAAGGAAGCTCCAGCAGCCAACGAGCCGGGTCCGAGATTGGCCTCCCTCTGACGCCCAGAGACGACGCCGAGTTCAAACCCGTGCCGAGTGTGCTTCTGACCCGAATCACGACGACCCCAGCTCCCACGATGCGTTCTACTCTCATTACTTCCGGCCCCCCCCTTACCGCCCAAGACAGAGCGGCTAGCAGACCTCGTCTATATCCGTATTGTAGCAGCCTTTTGAGATAATGAACACGGAGGGCGGTAGCGGTGCGGTTGCACCCACCCCACCCCAAGCGAACCTCGAGCCAGCCTGTCTAATATACCGGGCATCTTATCAGCCAATTAATTATTGGCCTGCACGCCTTGGAAACCGGCAGACCTATCTACCTACATCTGACCAGCTGAGCCTCTGCTGGCAGTTGGGTCTCTTTAATCATGATATTTTGCCAGTCTTCCGTGGAATAGGTACCGGCTCGTTCGTTTCCACCGTGAAGGCGATGAAGAAGGAACTGTTACCAGCGAGTACTTATGTCTCCTATTGACACCAACCTCGACAATGACACCTTCAGCTTGCAAGCTTCTCGTCCCCGCCGATTTCTCTCAGTCTCTGCTCTTCTCGATATTCGATATGCCTACCCTCTCAACCTTCTACAACAGCCAGCTTGGCGATGTATACGAGGCTTCCACGCAGGTTACTACGGAGCCGGGAGTGATCGAAGCTCTCGCAAGCTGCTCGTTGCCAACGGCCTCCACGATGCCTACGACATCCGCCTCACTCACAAGCACTTCGACATTGCCGACGGCGAGCAGGTCGTCGGCTTCGGGGGCCGGGATGTGATGCTCGGCGCCGTCTGCAAGAATGGCGAGGTCCCAGTCGATCTGCTACATAAGCACGGCATCCAACCCCTGCCCAGCGGCGTCTTTACCCCGAGCGACTACTTTATCAGCGATAAGGGCGAGACCATCCCCTACGAGTTCGTCTATACCGCTACCACCGTCGGTGCTGGCCTGGCCTACGCCGTCAGTCTATCTGCTGCGTCGATGCTGTCATATTTCCTTATACTCCTTCGAATGACCCCAACCAATATTGTACGTTGCTATAGCCAGTAAAACGAATAACGCTACGAGGTATGTATGAACACCTTGTTCAGGCGTACCTGCCTTTCCTTATACCCAAACCCCCCTTCTTAAATAGACGACGCCGCCGCCGCAACGGCGAAGCTGTCGAAACGGTCATCTTAACAGTGTGCCGCAAAATAACAGTGTCTTCGTCTTACCCCCTAGACAATCTTACGGTCATGCCGGCTTATCTATGGGAGAGCGGACGGGATCCCGAGTTTTCCTATGATTACCAGTCGTATGTGTAAAGTGTGCCGAATTTGAAAGCCCTGGAGTCCAGGAAGTGAGATAATAAGTTCCGGAAAATGGTATGCATCTGACACCAGAAAACCGGGACACCTGCGGACTTTTAAAACAACATGATTTTGTGTGATGATATCATCTGTTTAATAATGCGTCCACGGCCATCAGTCAGCTGCCAGACGACTAAAAACTCGTGCATGTTGACGTTTAGGCGAATATAAACTAGCTAACCAGCTCTTCTAACCGCCGGAGTTGTCGGGATTACGATGGTGTCCGAGTAACTCTTCCTGTTAGCGGCCTTCTGTGCCTCGGCGGAGGGCGGGTGGTCTTGTGTGAACGTTCCCATAGTGATAGCACTATGCTGTAAGCGTTTTGCGGGGATGGTGCCAGGATGGTGGAAAGTTGAGTTTGTGTTCCAGTTGTCAAAAACGAGGGCCCAGAGCCTCTTGCGCTTCTCCTCAAGGTCCGCTTCGGTTCCCAGGAGGGGAGTTCCATTCGCTTCCGACAATACGTATAGAATATCGTCGCATAGGGTCTTTTGCACGCTGGTCATGTCCAGAGCGCTACTGAGAATGACCTAGAGGTCGGAGCGGGGCTGGGAGGAGGCGGGCAGGTCGACGAGAGGCATGGTGGGCGGTTCTTTCTAGTGATAGTGAAATGAAGGATTGATTGTGTTTGAGGAATACCTTGAACTGATGATATTAAGGTCTGGATGAGAAGACGCCTTGATGCTTGGGTCGTGGAAAAGACGTTGATGGGAGATTGCGAGAGGTGGTGAGCAAAGAGAGGAGCTCGAGAACGCGGTTTTGAATAGGCAAGGCAAGGCAGGAACGCGTGCTATTGTAAAATTCTATTCTATTGTTCGATTGGCAACGCGCCTATGGGATGGAGAATCTAGGTCTGCTTGAAATTCGGATGGCAGATAACCTTTGCGCGCGCCTTTCATAAAAGATGAATCGCACGCCTTCTTTGCTCAGTCGAACGAGGCCCCTTCACCCGTCCTCGAATCCTCCTTGACTCGTCCTCGGATCCTCCTAGGAGCCTCCTTAGGAGGAACTGGTTCCAGCAGCGGCTTCAGTCTCGGCCTCAGCCTTGATATCCTCGATTAGGCGATGGACGATGGTGTCCACGGACCCTTACTCGTCAATGTCCACGGGCTCTACCCTGGATGTCGGGGCCGGCCTCACAGAAGTTCGAACGGCCTTTCCCTCATTGTCCAGAGGCCAGGCCTTCATCGTAGAGACGGTAAAAGACTTTTCGTCGAGGTCAAAGATTTCGAAGTGGAGACCTATCTTGTACCATATGGCAGCTTTCTTGGCTGCTCGCTGCTCTTCGGTGATCAATTTCTCCGTCTCAAGTGCGGCAAGATCCTCAACAATCCTGTCAGCGAGTTTAAGTCACTGCTTTGTGCGAACCAATTCGTTAATGTCCGCGTGGGCGACTTCGTTTCGTTCGGCGTATAACTTCATTGATGCCCGTGTGTCCTCATACGTAGTATTGTTGACAAGGCAAACAAAGATTGTGGAGCAAATCGGACAAAGGGGTGCTGACAGAAAGACCACCACTCGCCTTCTTGGCCTGCTCTTCCTCAAAATTTAAAAGTTTGTCCAGCTCGATCCACTTTGTAGAGACAAAATGGCGGAGCGCCTTCTCTTCGTCGGTGAGAGGTGGTGGTGCGGGAGCTGATGAACTATCGCCACCGTGACCCTTGGGAGCTGTCTTTTCCCAGAATTTTTTGGTTTCTTTGTTGGATCGCATTTTCGCAGCAGCCGCTGCTGACTTGGCCTTCTTGACCATGTCTCGGGCTTCTTCACGGAGCGCTGCCAGGTTCGTCGCGTGGTAGTCGCCATATCGGAGATACCAAGCATCATCATGCTCTCAAGCTTTGTTATCGCCTCCTGATACTTCTCGTCAGCCTGGAGCCTACGCGTGACCTCTTTTCGGATCGTCTCGAGGGTGATATCTCGAGTAAGTCGTTCTCGTGTCTCTGGGTCGGCTTCAGCGGCTTTTGTGTATTTCTCGACAAGGAGGCGGAGAGAGGCCTCCGTAGCCGGGCTCATAACCCGCCTGCCCTCGGGCGTCCCGTCATCTTTTCTTTCGCCAAGTAGACCGCTGATCCATTCTGTTGTTTCGTGAATGAGGCCCAATGCTCTGTCCTCGTCATCCTCACGCCGCTTCCGACTGAGAGTGACGGTGCGGTCGCTAGTGATGTCAGAAGACATTTCCATGTTCGCTTTATATACTGTGGTAGAGCTTAATGAGGGCCAGGAATGTCGAGTTTTTAGTATTGAGAAAGTTATCGAGGATGGCTGGGTGTTGGGTGGGTTGAAATACGAGCCAGGACGAAGGGAGCAGTTGCTCTTTACAGGTGAAGGAAAAAGACAAAGCTTTTAAACTGTGGTAGGAAAGCGCCCTGTGGCTCCTTATGCCAAGCTTCAAGCCTTCCCGCCTTCATAGTTACCTTTAGCATTGCAGTCTGACGCCACCCGGCTAAGCCAACACCCGCCAAAACTCAAAGAGCAGGCTAGTCATTGCCTCATCCGCCAGCCTGACATCCGCCAGCCTGACAGCGTCAGCACAGCACCGCAAGTCGAAGGCGGCAGGGACCACTGTCAGGCGAGGCCCCGCCGCGACTGCGTCCTCCCGCCAACTCAATTTCCACGTGCTGCCCCATCGCTCCCCAGATCTCCTCCAGCATCAGGAACAGACACTCTCTGACTATTGCGTGACGCGACGGCCGACCCGATACCATATGAAACTCAAAACCACGATCAGCCCGAGTAGACCGGCGATCGCGGGCCGGTACGAGCGGAAATCACATGACCGGTGTGGGGATATGAGATCTGGAGGTGGCAGGTCCAAGGAATACCGGGCGTGGGATTAGCTGCGATGACGGGGATGCTTGGAAGTACGATGGCGGGTGCGATGACGACGGGGATGGCTGGGATGGCCGGGATTGCGATGCGGATGGCGATGCCTGCGACGCCGACCGACCGGGATGCCGGAGGGGATGCCCGGGAATGACGGCGACGGCAAGTTCCAGACGCTGTGGCGCGGCGTGATGGCGGTGATGGCGGTAATGGGCGACGGTATGGAGATGGACGACGATGGGCGATACGGATAATCTGGTGATTTTGGCGACGTCTTGGGTCATTTTCGAGAGCCGGGCATTATGTAGTGTAATCGATTGCCATGTCGAATCGCCGCTCATGCCGTCTCGCTGCGCAGGCCGTATATCCGCCCCGTCCTCAATTGGCTTCTCCATCGTGTTTGCCGCAGCCCGTATAAAGGCGGAGAACATGTACTGGGCGTATAATGTCTTCAAAGGGCTGTATGCTTCGACTGCCAAAGGGGCATCTTTGCAAGGGGATTCTGGAGGTTTCTGGTTATATTAACAAATGTCAATATCCAGGGAAGGGAGCGACTTGGCATTGGATGCGAATCCGACAACTCGATGGGCCTCTACCTCCAGGCTGCTGCTGTTTCCCGAATTTATGTCATCAACCTCAATAACCCCAACAGCACCATTAGGCATCCGCCATTGGAGGCCTCGACGCAGAGTCGCCGTGTATGAGCCTAGAAGTCGAAGGCTGGGTTTTTCTGGCGTCCCTTTGGCCCGTAGCCATGTGTCATTGGCTTTATGTAGAATCTTGTCCTCTTTTTTTATCTCGCCCCTGCTCCTTGTTATGGACTAAAGCCACAACGACAGTGCTGCCTCAAACTCATCTGAGTATGTTTTCCACCGCCCAGCCTTTGCTCGTGACAAGCGGAAATAGACTGGTTCGCCGCACACGGTAAGAGACCATGTAAATTTCCCGGTGAGAGTGTCAAAGAGAGCGTCCATCGTAATCTCAATGGCCCTAGCGAGGGAGATAGCTTCTGCAGATGCAGGGCCAAGCCAGTCTGTGAGTTCGCTGAGATCTCTCCTTATCCTCATCAATCTATGGGCTTTTAAGGGACCAGCAATATCCAAGTGGTGTTTCAGGATCTTGCGGTTCACTGGATTTTCAACCGCGGTGATTTTCCAGTCCCAACCGCTATCATCCGCCGGAAGGCTGGTATCTTTATTTTCCTAGGGTCTGCAATCGCTGTCTGCTCAGGGCCTGCAATATTTGCTCCATTCCCTGTAGTCTCTTAGGGGCTGTAGCCAGGGAGCATCTGTATGCTTTCCAAGTGTCATTGCCAACCAATCTAGCTGATGCCCGGAAACAAGGAGAGCTTATCTAGTTTCAAGCCCCATGAACCTTGGCCTGCGCCAGTTGAGCCGTATCGAGCCACAATGGCCAGGAAGGTTCCGTATCAAAGCCATGATGGCTAGGAAGGTTACGCCAGTGAGCGCCCACAAGTCATCATTTGGAATGACAGAGAACTACGGTCCCCAGAGGACCCATGTATTTAGATAGACACACCTAGCCGAGAAGGGCAAGGACCTTCGAGGCCATAGTCAATTATTGTGATTCAGAATAGATTTGTTCAGCGCCCACAGGGCCACATACTGTTCCAAGCCGCTCCCACAGTGCCTGTGGCAGCCCCTTGTCACATGGAGTCTCTAGAAACGAGCTTTTTTTGGCTGAGCCCGCCTTATGGCCTCCATGACATGGAAATCGGCAGCGGCAACAAGCGCCCTCCAGATTATAATAACGGTCGAGGCATGTGTGACTGTTCGCATTTTTGCGCACTCGCGCGCGTCGAGAACGATGCGTATCTGTAGTACGTTCTGTACGTAACTTTTTAAGAAATACCTTAATCGCGTAGAGCCCCCTATCACGGCCCAGAAGAAACTCTTCCCAGGGGCGAGCCGAGTCTGTCTTGGACAAACGACAGAGGCTGTACAGCCAGCTTAGCGACGAGAAGTCACTTATAAAAAGGCTTGCTTACCCTTCCCAGAGCTTCCATATCCAGTGCCTTTTAAAGTTTGTGGACTTGTCGATAAGAGGACCGTTCTGTTTATCTGGCCGGCTCTGGACGTACTTGAAAAGCAGCTGGAAATCCCGCTCTTGCTCGGCAGGCTGGGCGGACACTTGGTCAAGCCAGTCATATTGAGGAAGACGGCCGGCCATCGCGTTGATGTCGTTAGGAGCTGGTAGCAGCACGAAGGGCGCTAGGGGCTGGTGTTAAACTTCAAATGACCGGCGAAGGCACACGGGAGGAATGAGGGCAGCTGAAGAGATAACAAAATAAGGGCCCTGGGGAGGAGAGGGCAGGGAGAAGGGTGGGTTAAGAGCACCGCGAACACCACAGGATTGCCTTACTCCCGGGTCCCCGGGTCCCCTCTCGCTTTCATCCGTCGCCCACAGTAGGGGGTCAAAAGAGAGGAATTTGGTCATGGTGTGCGTTGAGATGGTCGGGAAGGGCGGCCGGGGGGGAGGAGGGGGTGTGAAAGGGGCACCGAGAAGCCCGGTGCTCCTCCGTCTCTCAAGTAACGGTATCCGAGAAGAGCGGCGGCCATATCAGCTACGTTTTCAAGATCTTCCGGCGCGTTGCACGTGATATGAAGGGTCGGGTTGATAGACGAAAATAAAACCTGGGCCGCCCCACGCGGCCCCACCTATAGCCCCACCTATAGCCCCACCTATGTGGAAGCGGGATCACCATTCTTCCGGCGCCTGTGGTCGTATGTGGAAGGGTGGAGAGCAAAAGTCGGTTATGAGGGCATTCATTACTCCCTTACGACACTCGGCAGACAAGAGTGAATTTCCTTCGTAGTAGATTACGGGATCGATTCTCGGGGCTAGTTGCTACTTCCTTTTAGAGTTCTTCATTGAAAGAAGGCATTGACGGGTGAGTATCCGTATGGACTCAACGGGCTTCGTTGAAACAAGCAAAATGAGGGAAGGCCAGCCAGCCATAATCAAGCTGCAGCAGAAACACCGTTTTTTGTAGCGATACAGAATACATAAAATAAAACAAGCACAGTCCGATCCCAAAATGCCTACGTATTCGTGTGGCATCTATATGTGGGTAAGTACCTGTGAAGAATAAAGACGGGATTACATAGGCTGGCAAATAAACCGGTTAGGAAAGACTTTTGGGCGAACCGCAAGGTACCTAGGTAGGTAGGTATTAAGTTGAGACCTTTCAAATCTCCCGCTAGCAAAGATTCAAGTGTTAGATTGTAAACAAAGCAAAAAGTGCACGGCTTCACATTTAGATTAAAAAAATAGGGAGTTTATTATAAAAACAGCTCCTTCCCATCCCTTCCCCTCCCATCCCTTTCCTTTCCTTTTCGTTCCCAGCCTATCTCGACTCCGCAGATACATGGAGACATAGATATCCTGCCGCTCATTTCGTCCCTAGATTAATACCCTGCCTTGATTTTCCCTTTGCCTCCTCTCCCGGCCCAGTTCAACCATGCCAACTCGCTAGCTCGCTCGCTTGTTGGGTTGCTGTTCACAACACACATGCGAAACGCAGGTAAACGAAATCGTAAACGAAGCTGGCTGCCCGCCCATTACTTTCACCACCGCACAATCCCTCGGCGTATATAGGCCGGGACGTCAAGACCAAAAAGGGGGAGAGAGAACATCTGCCCTGTCCTGCCTTACGTGGCTGCCAGCGCACAAAACACAGCAAAGCTTCTGCCACGGCGTGTTGTTTGAATCACTAACCTCCCAAATCCTCCAACACCGGCAGCAGCAGCAACATCAAAAAGACAACCAGAAAAACTACGCGTAGTATATGGGTGTATATGTTTTTTTCTTCCATCTTCCTAAAAAAAAACCCAGTTAAACTCCCCATGCATTTACCCTCGCTCCCGGTCATCCTTTCTCCCCCTTCTTAGCTTGAGCATCAAAACCCACGCCCATCACAGCCTGCCGTGGCGGGCCCTAAATATGGCGACCTTGTCATCATAAAACAAGATCTCCCTGATCCGTAGCGTGACCTTGCCCAAGTCCGGCTCGACAAAGCCGTCGTCGTCGTCGTCATCCTGGTCGTCGCTATCCTCGCCATCCTCGTCCTCATCGGCCGGCGCCTCTTCATTGTCGCTTTGCGTCACCTCCGGGTCGCTCGTGGCTGTCGTCGGGGTATTGTCGTCCTCGTCCTCATCTGTGGACTCGGCCGCATTGTCTCCGCCGTCGTCTTCTTCCGACGTCGTCTCGTCTTCGTCCTCGTCGACTACGTGCCCCGCATTGTTGCCGTTGGCGCCGGCGCTGGCGCCGTTTACATGCGCGTTGATGTTGGCGGCGGCAATTGGGCCGTCCGGATAACTAGCCCCGGTGGCTCCCGAAGACGGGCCCGTGTCGCACGTCTCGAGAATCTCAAAGCACTTGTTCGCGATGCCGGCATAGCACAGGCGAATCTCGGGCTTGAGCGTGATGATGTCGGCAATCTGGTTCGCGAGCTCTTTCGGCTCGAAATTGGCAGTGACATAGTCGGCCAGGTGCGGGATGTTGATTGACCGGAGCTGCGTAAGGTTGGGGAGACGCTGGAGAAAAGTATGCTACATGCCGCGTTAGTGACTGCCTCTCTAGCCAGAGGCAAACGGTTGCGGATAGAACTCACCCAGTCCCTGTAGTCGATAGAAACGGCCAGCTCTCGCAGGTTCTTCATGCGACCGCTTGTGATATAGCGCAACACATCCGTCGTGAGCACCCAGGCCCGCCACCGCGTGTTGTCGGCGGTTGTCGACGAGCCAATGCCAGTCTGCTTCGCACTGCTGTCCAAGAGAAGCTTCCGCAGGCTCAACCGGTGCCTCTTCAGGGCTTTGAAGACGACTTCGAGTATCACGGGCGGGGGCCCAGAGCCGGTGCGCCTGCGATCCTGCAGAAACAAGACCTCAAGCGAGTTTGGAGCCAGGGTCTCCTTTAGAAACGAAACCAGGGCAGGCGTTGTCGTGTCGGTGTGTATGTATTTGAGGGCGAGATGGTACTGCAGATGGATTTCTGGCGGCGATGTCCTGTTGCTGGATGCCAAGGCGACATCGGACACCATAGGCCCAGGCACGAAGTGTTTTCGCAGCATTTTCCAGAGGTTTTCATGCTGCGAGCAGTCGAGCAGAGTCAGGCTCGACAGTACCGTCCAGTCAATGGCGTGCCTGCAGACCGCCATCGACAGCGGAATTCGCTCGAGCTCCAGCGTCTGCAATTTGAGCTTGCCGTCCAGTCGCTTTCTCGCCACCTGAGTTGTCTTGGCTAGCTTGGATCCCCTTGACTGTGTTTGCACCTTTGGAAGCGCCTGCTGGCCACTCGCGGCCTGTGCAGACGAGGGAGTGCCGACCAACGGCGTGGCGGTAGGTGTCGCTGCTGGGGTGCCTGTTGGTGACGCGGGCATGGTTGGTGACGGTATCTCTACGATAGAAATATCGGTGCTGGACTTGTCCTTACCTCTTGGTACCCGTTTCCTAATGTCATATATGTGGCCCACCAAAACTCCTAGAACACCCCCAAGACGTCTCTCGCTAATGGTGCTCTCGCCGGGCCACCGCGCTTTGTGGTCTATTTGTCTCAGGGTGGGGCCGTCCCACGTCTGCACAAAGTCCTTATGCGACGCCTTTGCCGATATCCCAACCCTGAGCTCCTGCAGAGAGTCCTTGGAGCGCTCTATGAGCACCGCCATCTCGTCCAGATAGGCCAGCTCGTCAATGTCCAGCACCGTCAAGCTCTTGAGCGGCGGCAAGACGCTGAACGTGGGGTACTCGCATGGATATTGCGAGTACGACAAGGACCCTCTAGGGGTTGGGTGGCTGGCATTTTCCGGCAGCATGATGCCGATGGGGGTGAGCTGGCTGCCGACAGGGACCAGGGCAGGGGCGACGGGCATGGGGATGGCATTCGACGGCGCCAAAAGAGCGCTCGGGTCTGAGTTGTCGTGCCATCTGATCCAGACGCGGCTTAACTTGCATTCGCGGTCGGGCTGGTCGGGCTGCGACGCCAAGGCCATGAAGATGTCGGAGAGCACGCCTGTCGGCATGTCCCAGACAAAAGTCTCGAGGTTCTTCATCTTGGTAGCCGCAATGGCAACAAGGGTGCCCAGCATCTTGCCGCTCTCCTTGGTGATCATGTACTCGTTGACCCACTCGCCGGGGCCGTTCCCCAGCGAGAACTTCTTGATGTATTTCGCATACTCGTTGCCTGCGAACTTGGCCAAGGGCCGCGTGACAGGCTGGAAGGCCTTGCGCGTAGAGCGGGCAAATGCGCTGCCCAGGCAGAGCGTCGACAGCCCGTAGGTCAGGGCATCGACGTTCTTGGACTGGGCTGACAGCGTGTTGCCATCGGGCCACACAATATCAAACCTCGAGTAGATTAGCGGCACCGCGAGGTTGTAGAGGGCCGAATTGGCCAGTGCGAGAGCTGTCAGGTCGTTCGTGTGCGTTATCTGCATTACGTTAGATTGGGGACCTGTTAGCTAGACTACCTCGGCAGGCTGCGGAGTAGCAGCAGAGTCAGAGGGGAGGGTATGGGTATGGGGGACAGCGTGCCTCCCTAACTATCAGGCGCAGAATGTCGACGGGAAGCTCAAGCAGTGTGAGACGGCCCTTTCGTTCAAAGAAGGCCTTCCATTGCTGGTCCTTTCCCTTGAGGTAGTCGGATACAACCCTATCCGCCTTTTCGTGCAAAGGAGCCACCTGAGCCGAGGCCATCGTGGCAGTAGCGATATCTATCGCAGCGTGTGCAGCAGGGTCGATAGCTCATCCGAGGGCGCTCTTCACGGCCCGCGCGTTGAGCGGGAGTCGGGGATTTGAATTTGGATTTCGGGACGAAAAGACGCCAGCAGTAGCACGAGGGCGGCCTGGCGTGGAAGCCGCCCGCAACGGGCAGTGTAGGCGATCCGGAGGCGGGATCGCCCAAATACCTAGGGGGATTTGCTGGATAGTGTAGAAAGTGGTCAGGATTTGTGGTTATGTTATGTTGAGTTGTGGTTGTGGTCGTGGTCGTGGCCTTGTCGCAGTTGGGTCGTAGCGGTGGCGGTGGCGGTGGGCTTCCTTAGTGCGGTGTGGAGAATGGGATGGATGTTGAAGCTGCCCTGGTGCCGCGCTGGCGCTAGAGATGAGAGCGGTCGATGGAAAGAGCGTGCGTCGCCACCTCGCGCGCGAGCGCCTATCGTGTGCTCTTGTGAGTAATTTGGCGACTACCTTAGTGCCGTTGCACATGGGCGGGGTATTGAGACTGGTGAGCGAGCTTGATCGAGGCTGTCTGGCTGGCGCTGCGCTGCGCCGCGTCTTGTTGATGCCGGATAGGTGTCGGGTGGTGCGAGTGATGAATTGGTTTACCTATGTTTCGTGCAGGCAGTCTGATATCCCGCCCGCTGGCGGCTGCCCAGGCCAGAGTACCGAACTACTTAAGCGGCCAGAGGCGCCGAGGAACACCCTGGCAGTGCTTACGGTCCCGACAAGGGCCCCGCCGCGCTCTACTAAGTAGACCGGGTCTGGCCTGGACCCCATCAACCCTGGATTCTGCCCGTGCGTCTTAGGCCACCCCAGGCCATACTTTGGCCTCCCGTCTGAACATGTCCAAAATACCAACTTCGCAAAGTAGGAAACACGCCGACAGCATCTAGAACTACATTTCCTTGACATTGTACCATTGCACCATTGCGCCAGAGATGAATCGAGAAAACGTGCAACAAGGCCCAGGGGGCGGTAAATTGTTCTCAGCACGGATAGAGTGCGCTTCAGCGAGCAGCTGGCGAGGGCCACCAGGTGTCTTGTAGCCCGGCCAGAGTTGGGCTACGCACGAGGCCTTCCAGTGCTGCTGTGTAATGTAACCTACATGAAGATTTATTTACCCTAGGTACCTACAGCACGCAGTACATACACTACCTCGGTACTACGTGCTGCCTTGTAGACTCCCGCAATACGTAGCTGGAGAAGCTGGAAGAAGACGTCTGGAACAGCGGAAACCCCGCCTGTCCGCATGCCTCAGTCCCGTCCATGGCTGCCCTGCCCTAGCCTATCCTAGCCTCCGGCTCCCAGCAGGACAGCATGCGGCTGCTTATCTCATGACAACCTTGCACCATGAACTTCGGTGGACGGGAAACAGGTTTGCCCGGCCACCAAGCACCAAGCCATATCAGCTGGGAGCGTGCCGATCGAGCTGCCCGACCGGGTTGTGCGTTGGTTGTCCCCAGATTCCCAGCGATAAGCTTCTGCACTCCCGTGATGCGAGCAGCGGGACAGCAGTGACAAAGAGGAAACCTATGGCACACGAGTGTAGGATAGAACTACCTTACTGTATGTATGTAGGGATGGATGGCAACCTTAAGCAGCTGGATGGAAGCAGGGCAAGGAACAAGCTCCGGCAGTCGGGCGGGCTTGAGGGGGAGCCCACGCCAAGCGCCCCTCCATCCGCACCCCCCTGGCCGCCCGAGGCTTGGGAAGGCACGCACCTAGGGTCTCCTCCCCTTCCCGCCGGCGCTATTCGGGGCTCTTAGTAAGTCAAGGAACGGGGGCAACGTCGCGCATCGAGCTTTCTGTTCTATGTGGTAAGTCGAGTATTTTCGGCAGTTTGCGCGTATGCTAAGCTGACTCTTTTCTCTGATCTGACCAGCATAGTATAACTGCAAAGTGAGCCCCCTTGTTCGTGTTCCGGTGCTGTCAGCTTGTTGTGCTGGTTCATTTGCACTCTGTAGTTTCGGTACATACGCCGGGTCATTTTCCTGCGTTGTCATCACTGGAGGGTGGAGGGGAGCCTAGATCAGGTAGGTAGGCCGCCATATCTCTCTGCCTGACCACCGGGCCTCCCCTTCCATCCCGTGGCTGGCCCGATACAGACCCAAGTGCTTTCGGCCAGACAACAAATAAACACCACGTTGTCCATAAGATAGTAACCAGTACCCAGCAACCAGACTAGTCAAAAGTGTGAGTCAAAGGGAGCGAAAGGGAGCGCGAAGACTGTATCAACTTGTAACGGTGTCTTTGGTCGCCTGCTTGTTTTTTTAGGCTGCCGGTTTTTCTCTGTCGGGCTGTTTAAATAAGGACCTTCCTTGCCTTACCTTGACCCCTCGCTTTCCGAACCCCGAACTCTCGGGCTGATGAGGAATGCTTCTCTGCCAGTCGCAATAAAACAACGGCCTCTCATACCCGCCTATGATCCAAAAACGCGTCGCCTAGAAGAGCTGCAATTGTAAACGATACTGCCATAAGCGCAACCCCACACGACGCGATATCAGAAGCGATCCTGCAGCAGGCTTATCCCTGTCGGTTGAAAAAGCGCGCCTAGCTTCCTTAGCCTCGAAAGCGACAAGGGAAGCGAAAAAGAGACGACGGCCAGGTCGCAACAACAAAAGTCCATTTCTCTCATCGCGTCCCCTCCCTTTCGGCCGAGAATCTATCTAGGAACCCCTCGTCTCGGTCGGTAAAGAAAAACCATGACGTCCTTTTTCCGAGACCTCTTCGAGTCCATCTTCACGCCGGGCCCCACGCCGACGCTCCTGGTCGCCACAAACGTCACGTTCGCGGCACTGCAAGTTGTGCTCGGCGCGCTCCTCATCGCGACATACAGCGTGCACTTTCTGGTGCTGTCGGGCCTATGCGGCGGCCTCTGGGCGGCCATCAACTGGTTCGCGCGGGAGCTCAAGGAACACCAGCAGCATGAGGAGGAAAAGGCGCGCCGCGCGGCCGCGGCCGCCGCTGGAGGGCCGCCGGGGCTGACGTCTGAGGACAGCGAGACCGAGGTCGAAGGGACAACCGCGGCTTCCACAGCGAGCCTCCGGAAGGGAGGGCGGTCGGGCCCTCCGAAGCCCCCGGCTCCGGCCGTTACTGATCCTGCCGCCGCCACGGCCAGCAACGAGGTCGAGGCCTTGGAGGCGCATGGCGAGCTGAAGCACAGGGCGGCTGCTGCCGTGGCCGACGAGGCCGCGAGCCAGGGTACCAAGAGCAGCGCCAGCACCGAGGACGAGTGGGAAAAGGTGTCGGAGAACGAGAACGAGAAGGACAAGTGAGCTCGGCACTAGGGCCTAGACCCCTCAGTGTGAGGATCTCAGGGTTATTCGGGAGGGGCTACGGCTGTGTTTGTTAGGGATAGCGGCATATCTCAGCGGGCACCTCTTTGGTCTGTATATACATATGGCGCACTTGCCGGAATGGCGGATTGCCTACGGTGTATGTGGATGGTGTTTACATCAAGCGAGTAGTGGGCTAGAGCGCACTTGTCTAAACAAACTTTCGATGCTGTTGTTGTGTTCGGCGTATACTTAGAACGTGTAGTAACCGGTGACTGGAGGCTTTGAATTCACGACTGGGCTACGGAGGATTGGGCTAGTGCTTGTAATAATGTCGTCGGCCCATTTTAGTAGTACTTGGGATTCTTAATCCTTCACGCGGCCACAACGCCGTTCTTGACTGGTTTCACCTTTGTTGCAGCAGGCCGGATGACAGGTTAGTATTCGACAAGCTTTTGGGCCTGTGTTGACCGCGGGGCGACAACACCATTGACGGCGGCGGGGTATATCAACCCACGTTCCGCACAAGGGGCTTTCCATTCTTATCACGCGACTGATAAGGCGATAAAAGCAGAGTTGACCAGAGCCTTACACGTGACCACAGGTGAGCGCTCGAATCAACTCTGGCTCAACTAGCTGGCAAACGGCGCTAGTGCAGATTTGGGGGCGGGCCAAGCTTTAATTCTGGACGTTCTCGATTGACGCACCTGCCTTCAGCGACTGGCTAGCTGCTTCAATAGGGCGAACTCCCAAACGCGACCAAAAAGACGAAAAGACAAAAAACCACCAACACTTTTCCACACAAAACACCGAGCAAGAACCCAGCACAAAGAGGACAATAGCTTCGTCGTCAACGAACGAACCGGCAAAATGAAGTTGGTCAGGTAAGTTGTAGCGCACACCGCGCGCGAAGCTGGAGGCGCGCCTTCTACCTGCCCGCACCGCACCCGCCCGCACGCATCGCAACTGAGCGAAACCTTAGGCGTTGGCAAGACACCACAAACCCCCCCAAGAGCAATGAACAAATTGAGGGGCTTGACGCTGACTGAAGATGCGGGTTTCTAGATTTCTCATGAAATGCGCCAACGAGACGGTCACGATAGAGCTCAAGAATGGTCAGGATTCCCCGAGCTGTGCCCCGCAAAAAGAAGCACAGAAAAGAGAAAAAAAAACCCTGGTCCCTTGGAGATGGCGAAAGAGAATTGCTCTTTTGCGTGTGCCGGAATACGATGCTAACCCTCCCTCGAAAAAACAGGCACCATCATTCACGGCACCATAACCTCGGTGTCGCCGCAGATGAACACGGCGCTGCGCAACGTCAAGATGACGGTCCGCGGCCAGGAGACGCTGACGCTCGACTCGATGAACATCCGCGGCAGCACCATCCGCTACTACGTGCTGCCTGACTCGCTGCCGCTCGACACGCTGCTGGTCGACGACTCGTCCAAGCCCAAGAATAAGGCGCGCAAGGAGGTCGCTGATCGTGGCGGGCGCGTCATGCGTGGCGGGCGCGGCAGAGGCCGTGGCGGTCCTGGTGGTGGCCGTGGCGGCGGTCGCGGTAGGGGACGGGGCTAGACGGGTTTTCTCCCGTGTTCTTTCTTCACATGGCCCTTATAGCAAAATGACAATAGCAAAACAACAAAGACTAAAGCAACAAAAAGTCGATCATCTAATAGGTAATTACAAGAAGAACAATCGTGAGAGTGCCGCGGCAATGTTTAGCTAGAGGCAAAGCAACAAATCCTCAAGCCCCCACCCCTCCGATACAACCACCTATTCCCCCACATATCCTCTACAGATCACTACGTTCTATTCCAGTGGTAAATACTCCTCAGGTGACCATCTATAAATTAACTACCAAGCATCCTCGTATCACTGTCATGTCTCTTCAGCATATAGACACCGGCCTCTAAATCATGGCCGCTGGTTACGCCACACGGGGCAACTTTAATATACAACCAGCCAAGCAAGTTTTCATCGCGTGTCCTACTCAATGTCATCCATGAGCATGTCGATTTCTGTGTCTGGTTCAGCGGATGACAGGCGAGACGAGCTTGCAGTCGAGCCCGGCACCAACTCTGATGTGGCATTTGACTCAATCGGGCTGTCAGGTGTTTGTGGCGTTTGGTTGGTTTCGTCCAGCAGCTCGGAGCCAGACGGGCTTCCCAGTGCTCGTGGCGTCTGGTCTGCATCAAATATTTTCGGGTCTACCAGAGTATCCTGTGCTTGCGGTGTTTCGTCCGCTTCGAGCATTTCCAAGTCAGCCACGCTGTCTTGTGCTGGCGATGTCTGGTCGGCCTCGAGCATGCTCGAGTCAGCTGGGGTGTCAGCTGGGGTGTCCTGTGCCGGTACTGTCCGGGGTGTTTTAAGCATGTCCGAGTCGGGCTGAGCGGCTGTTGGCGGTGGTCCCTGGCCGACATCGACAGCTTTGGACGGGGCGCCTAAGGTGCTTGAAGCGGGAGCTCTGGATGTGGCACTTGCGGTGGGGGCCCTAGGCGTAGTGGCACCTGCGGTGGGAGCTCTGCGTGTAGTGGTTACGGCAGCGGTCCTTGGCGTCCTAGCAACAACGGCGGCGACGGCGGCTGCGGCAGCATCAATAGCTGAGGAAGGGGTTGTGCGAGGAATTGGCACAGGGGGCTGTTTTTGTTGATGATGGTGATGATACTGGGGCTGCGGCTGTGGCGGAGGCGGAGGCGGTTGGCCCACATAGTGAGGCGGTAGCTGTCCTGGGTAGTAATGAGGCGCATACCCTGGATAATGAAGAGGAGGATGTCCGGCATAGTGGGGAGGAGGGTGGCCCGGGTAGTGACCCGGGGGAGGGAGGCCTGGATAGTGACCCGGTGGCGGGGGACCTGGATAATAAGCCACCGGTTGACCTGGGTAATAGGGTACGGGCTGGCCGGGATAGTATGCAACAGGTTGGCCAGGTTGTTGTGGAGGATGGCCCGGATGTTGGGGCGGAGGATGGCTCGGATAATAGGGTGGAGGGTAGCCTATATAGTGAGGTTGAGGATAACCATGAGGTGGTGGCGGTCCTTGGGGTACTCGTCCTTGGGGGGGAGGCGGTCCTTTTGGTAAAAGAGGTTGTTGTCCTCTGGATAGGAGAGGCTGTCCCTTGGCTAGAGGCTGTCCCTGAGCTGGAGGCTGTTCCTGGGCTGGAGGCTGTTCTTGGGACTGAGATTGCCCCTGGGCCGAGGGTTCTCCTTGGAGCGAAGGCTGTTCTTGGGTGGAAGGTTGTCCCTGAGCAGAAGGCTGTTCTTGAGGCTGTTCTTGGGACGGAGACTGTGCTTGTTTTTGAATTTGTCCTTGGGCTGGAGCCTGTTCTTCTGGTGAAGGCTGTCCTTGGTATAGAGGCTCTTTTTTGGTAGACGGTTGCCCCTTGTCTGACGGTTGTCCCTGGGTTTGAGGTTGCTTCTGGGTTGTAGGCTGTCCTTGCGGCTGAGGTTGCGCCTGGGCAGAAGATTGTTCCTGAGGCTGTCCTTGGGATGGAGGCTGTCCTTGCGGCGGATGTTGCCCCTGGCCCGAAGGCCGCCCTCGCGGTGGGGGCTGTCCTTGCGGTGGTGGAGGGTGACCTTTCGGCGGAGGCTGCCCTTGCGGGGCAGGCTGGCCGTTGGCAGAAGGATAGCCGTGATGGTAGATTTGGGGAGGGGGGTAGCCATGAGGGGGATAGCCTTGAGGGGGATAGCCTTGGGGTGGGTAGCCTTGGGGTGGGTAGCCTTGAGGTGGAGGATAGCCGTGTGGAGGGTAGCCTGGTGGGGGGTATCTGTGAGGCGGAGGATAGCCTCCAGGGGGAGGGTTTGGATACACTGCCCAGTTGTCGACTGGGGCAGGAGCCGCCCGAGGCACATAGGTGGGCAGGAAACTTTCAAGAGTATGCACACGCTGACCGGGGGTTAACGCAGGTAGTTGGGGGTATTTGTTCTGATCGTACGGCGGCGGCGTCATCGTTTTCTCGGCAGGAACGGGTGGGTTTGCGGCACCGGCATCGGGATTCGGCGTTCCCTGTGCGGAGCCGGGTGGCGCGGCGGCTGTATTCTGGGGGCCGGTTCCCGTTGGAGTTCCGGTCTCGCTGGCAGCCTGCGACTCGGGCCCAGCGGGCTCCCCTGGACCCGCAGGAGTCTCATCCTGGGAGACGGCCGTCTGTGCCGGCGTGGGCTGGCCGGGCAAGGTGGGTATGATGCCGCTGTGCTCGACTTTGGGCAGCTCGACGCCGGTGCCCTCGAGCAGCTTGTCGCGGGCGTCCCACCAGCCCTGGATGGTGGGAATAGGTATCTTCCACCACTTGGAAGCCTCGGTGTATGTGGGAGCGCGGTACCAGATAGGCTCGCCGTTTTCGTCTATGATGACGGGCTGGGTGGGGTCGTCGCGCGGCTGGCCGATGCGCCGTCGGGGCACCTTGAGGGGGAGCGCGTCGGGGATGCGGTGGTTGAGGAGATACAGGAGCACGGCGATCTTGCGCTCTCGCGTGTACGACCGTTCGAGGCGCCTGATGGGCTTCAGCGCCTTGGCTGCGAGTTTTTCAGACAGCGGTTTGGGCGTGGGACCCGGCTTTTTTCTCTCAACGCCCTTAAGCGTGAGCCGGCGTCTAGGCGACCCGGGCGGCTTCGCGTTGGGCGCCATGGCGGCAGCTGCTGCTACTGAAGCTGGAGCTGAAGCTAAAGCTGCCGTCGCGATCTGAGTTTGAGGGCTTCGTTTCCACGACCGCGTTTGACATGGAGCTTGATTTTCGGATTTCGTGCGGCGGTTCGGTTCGGTTTCGACGTAGAGTTCAAGCTCGATGTTGATGTCGACGAGACCCGAGAAGAGACAGCCGGATTGGTCGGGTTTAATTCGATGAGCCTTTTCTGTCGCTCTTGCCTTCCATGGGGGTTCTTTCTTACAGCCTAGTCGAGCTTGCTCTCCCAAGATACTAGCACTGGTAGTACCCAACGCGCTCTGCTCCTTCCTGTTCAGACTCCTGCCAGGTCTGCCATGGAATGGCCAGCAGCACTTGCACTTGCACGTGCACTCACACACGCACACAGGGCAGGCAAGAGGTGAAAAGAGGAACCAGAACTCCACGCACCCGAGCAATCGGAACTGCCCTGGTTAATATTGCATGGTATCGCGGACTCACGGCCTCGGATACGGACGAGAGACAGTTTGTGGCTGGCGAGATGCAGCTAGTTTCTAAATACGGACTTAGTGCGGCTATTCTCAACCAATTCGACCGACACTAGGAGGCACTAGCGGCCGTCAGTCGGCCTCCAGAGCCAATAGGCACCCTGCGTGCTCGCCAATTATCTGCATCAGCAGGCGATAGCCCGGCTTGCGATTGCCCAGAAATCCGCTAGGCTGTGATGGATTTGTTGGGTAAATTAACAAAATGTCGAGAGAGCTCTGGAACAGTTCACCACCGGTGTCATCGGCGACAAACACTCTCAATGGGTTCAGCTAAATAAGAGAAATGAGACAATCAAGGGGAGAGAATATGTGTCTTGAACCAGGAAATATAGAATAAAAGCAGAATGATAAAAAGATATAAAACACAAAAAATGAAATTGCCCAGTAACAGGATTGAACTGTTGACCTTCGCATAACCAGATACTGCCTTTCGACGGTATTAGTACGACGCTGCTAACCAAACTGAGCTAACCGGGCTTTGTGTCTTATAACTCGTCTTCAGAATCTCCTTCTATATTCAACTTCCTGCAGAAGAAAACGAGTGTCCAAAGGAGCTGCCTGACATGACAACTTTATTCCGCGGCTAAGAAGAGCAAAACGGCACAGAATTCTTCCTTCCTACGAGCCTTCTTTTTAACATGTTCCCAATGCATCTGGGTTCACTACTCGGTTTCACTGAGTAGTGAACCCAGATATACTCCGTAGGGCACACTGACTTTGACAAGGTGAAGTTATTATTACTGATGAATGATTAAGTTATCTTCCAATTTCCACCTGCAACTACGGAATAGACCTATTTTTCTTACATGCCAAGATGGCTTTGGGTTTTCCGATGCACGTCTTGCCCACAGACCTCGTCCAGCATCAGAGAATGATGTTCCATCTCCAGCGCATTCCGCCTGACCAATCTGCACTCTGCCTCGTTTTTACGATGCCCCTGAGACACTTTGCCCTGCCTGGAATGGCGATGCGCGGCTCGAACGTTACCAATTTGTGGCGGGGATGGGGGGGCGGCTGCTGCTCCGCCCCAGCGACAGCGCCAGCGCCAGCGCTCTCCCTTCTGCTTCTGGGCATGGAACACCATCCAATCTTCAGAGCCGCCCAGCCGTTGAAAGGCTGAAGAAGGCTGCAATGGCGCCTGCGGCCTCAAGAGGATCTCAGCGCGAACAACAGCCGTTGATTGCTGCATAGTGCACCTGAGTAGGTATAACTTCTTCTTCCAGCTTCTTGTCTCGTTTTGCGCTCAGAAGGTGCGCCTTTGCCGGGCAGCAGCCGCCCCATCCAACCAGTTCTTTACTTATACGCGACCCCGCCGTACCCGCCGCCCGCAACGATCCCGTCGTGCCGTAGCTAGACTGAGTGGCCAGTGGGAGGGAGCTGCCAACAGACGAACAAGAAAAAGAAAAATAATAGGAAAACAACACGCAATCAAGAAAGTCGGGCTCTCTGTACAGGATAGAGACGGCCAGCGACGCACCCAACGCACACGAAGCCGATTCCGATTCGAAACCGCCCCCGACGACAGACAGAGACCAGCCAAACAAACCACCTGCAAGGAGCCACAGCGTTCCGTTCGGTCCGGTCCGTACTGTACAACACCAACACAAACACAAGTTACTGTGCATACAGTCCCGCAGCCGGCCTGATCTCGTTTGACTCGGCCATGGGCCTCCGCGACCTCCTCAAGAAGAAGCCGGGGCTTGACGACGACGACGGCGACGATCACGGCCACGGACAAGGCCACGGCTCGCGCCTCGCCACGCCCGAGTTCACGTTTGTCCGCTCCGACACATACACGGAGGAGGTCATCCACCCGCCCGGCGCACCGCCCGGCAGCGGCCCCGACGGCGACGATGCCTCGTCGTACCTGACAGTCGACTCCAAGTCGGGCAGCAAGTCGCGCCTCAGCGGCGTCTTCCGCAGCAGCGCCCGCAGCCGTAGCGAGTCCGTGTCGAGCAGCAAGAGCGCCTCGACCGGGGGCAAGCGCCTGTCGCAGCGCCTGCACCTGAGCCGCAGCCCCGCCAGCTCCGAGAACGTACCCGAAGACCTGCCCGAGATTAGGCTGCCCGCCGGCGCCGACAATGACGAGGGCACCGAGCTGCAGTGGGAGGAGCGCGCCACCATCCTGGCCCGCAAGAACGAGGAGAACCGCAGCCGCCCGGCCTCGCCCACCCGCGGCGTCAACTACGACCTCGCGCACTTGCGCATGGGTGGCGGCGACGGGTCGAGCGAGGAAGCCCCGCCCTCGATCCCCGGCCCCCAGAAGGGCGTCGTGTCTTCCAAGGCCATCGACGAGGACATCCAGGAAGCCATCCGCCTTCACGAGGCCGGCATGCTGGAAGAGTCGACGGCGCTATTTGGCCGGCTCGCGGATCCCAAGGGCGCCAACAACCCGCTGAGCCAGGTTTTGTACGGGCTCGCTCTCAGGTATGTGCTGTCTATGTGGTGCTTGCGTGTGTCTTGTGTGCCTTCCCTCCCTGTTGCATTGCCGCGCCACATGCCCGGACCCTTCGGCTGTCTGCGTGCGCGGGTGGAGGAGGGGACGTTCCGCTCGGCTTCCCAGTTCCCCCCCCGCGCCCCGTACGTTCCTCATGCATCCATGGTCACAGCCCTCGGGGCGTGAGTTCCTCGTGGGGATGCATCGTATGGCCATGGCAGCGGCCACGCAATGGAGGCATTGCCCAGTCACGACCCATTTCACGGGCTTACACGCGAAACTAGGCACGGATGGGGATGCACCCCCGACGCGGCGGCGGCCGTCAAGTACCTCTCTGCTGCGGCGTCAAACGCCGCCGAGATCGAGCAGCTCGCGCTGCAGGCGGGTCTGAAGAAGGGAGGAGCGGCCAAGGGCGAGCTCGTCCTGGCCATCTTCGAATTGGCGAATTGCTTTCGCCACGGCTGGGGGATTCCTAAGGACCCAATCGCCGCAAAGCAGGTTCGTGTTCTACCGTCACCCCAAAACTTGCCGTGATCGGACGGGCCTTGAATTGACGCCCTATTCCACATTACTAACGCGAGGAGGTTGCAGTACTACGAGACGGCCGCAAACCTGGGAGACACTGGTACGTTGTCAAGCAACGCAACCCAAATTCGCCCCTTGGTGTTTGGTAGCCAGAGCTGACATTCTACGCCCACGCTAGACGCAATGAACGAGGTCGCGTGGTGCTATCTCGAGGGATATGGGACCAAAAAAGACAAGGTCAGTGTTGTCCATGTCTCAGAACAACCATTGTGGTGGCTCTTTTTCTATCACATATCACGCCACACCGTGGACGCCATGGCGGGTGCCGGTGCCCAACAATTAGCCCTGGCCAGCTGTGGCCGCAGCGCCGCGGCTCGTGCCTTCCGGGGCGCCCCCTGAGACAAGCCCTCTCGTGCCGACTGGAGGCAGCTGGGGCATCTCGGAGTTGGGCATCAATGAGGCTTCGGCGCGGCAACGAATCAGAGCCGCCGGATGGCCCATGTTCCCCCCGCGACGCCGAGGCCCTTCCGAGAGACGTATCACACGAGGCTGACTTGAAGGGGATCGCTCCCCTGGACCCTACAGTTCGCCGCCGCGAGATATTATCGCCTGGCCGAGAAGAACGGGAACAAGATCATTGGCAACACCTGGTAAGCCATTTTAGATCCAACGTACCTCCATGTTTCTGTGGGGTCGTCCTGAGAGACAAGAGACTCCATCTCGTGTCGGCCGTTGAAGATAACTCGCGAGCCTATCTTAGTCCCCCCTCCCCTGCAATGCATTCAAAGTGCATGCATGCATGTATGACAGCTTTCCCCACGTCCACAAGCTTCTTCGTCCGCCCTGCTTTTTTCGGGTCGCTGCATCCACGCCCCTCCCCTTGGCTCTGTATCCCTTCATCGGGCGGTCCCTTTTCTTCGTCTAGGCCAAGCGGTTGGGCGTTGCTGCTGCTGCTACTGCTGCTGCTGCTGCTTTTTCTGCGCTGCCATTCATTCCTCAATCAAGTGATGCTTTCCGATTGGACATGCATACATACACACATTCACACCAAGTGAACTCCAAAATGCCCTGCGGCGAACCTCCGCTCGCGGCGGGCCGCTCGGCAGGCAGGTTGGCAGGTAGCATAGCATGCATTTGTGTGTTGCAACAAACCGACCCCTTCCCTTCCCTTCCCTACCCTCTCTGCTCCTTTTTTATGTGTCTTCCGTGTTTACCCATGGCGCGGCCGGCTATCTTCGCATTTCCGTATTCCCCTATCCTATCAAACTGCTGATGATGACACACCTGCTGCTACTAGGATCTGGAAGGACAAATACGACCCTGCGAACGCGAAGAAGTAGTGGTAGTTGCAAGACGGAAAAGAAAGAAAGAAACCTCGCGGGCTTTCCTGTGTGTGTATCTGTCTCTCTGTCCGGCAGCCAACCAACTCCCCTAAATGGAATAGACGACTACACATGCAATACACATGGGTACTCACCCACACACGCCATGAACCCCCCAACGAAACGAACCGAAAGGAATCTCAAATCGAAAACAGCTCCCAGAGACGAATCATATCCCCCTCGCTGAAGGAAAACTCCGAGGGCGTGCGACGCTGCGGCAGGTAGCCTTGGAACCATTGGACGTTTGGATATTTTATTTTCTTTTTATTTTTCTTTTCCTTTTTTTTTGGCTTGGTTTAGATTCTGCAACTTTGGCGCGGGTTTCCCATGGTCCCATGTCCGCTGCCCATGCCCATGTCCATGCCCATGCCATGCCATGCCCCCGCCCATGCCATGCCATGCCCCCGCCCATGCCATGCGGACATACATGTCCTCTGCGCGCGGAGTGGACGGTTGAGGAGCTCTTTTTTTTAGACTCAACGGACGGGAAGAATTGAAGCGAGACAGGAGCGCTTGCCGCGTTTATTGAGTCGGCGGTTGTGTAAGTTGTTAGTCTGTCTGTGTCCGTCTCATCTGTTGGAGGGGGCATGGTTTATTCTTGGCTTGTTTGTTATCGTGGTTTTGGTTATGGTTTTCTCGACCATCCCCCCCCCTCCCTTCTTCACCACTCCCCCAATCCAATTGCTATTCCATTTCCATTTCCATTTCCATTTCATGCGGCATGGCTATATCGGAGTTTGTTCTTGGCTCTACTCGTTTTGTGTTTGGTAGTTTGCTATCTTTTTAGGGAGAGGTGGGCGGGAGGGTTCCGCCGCTGCCGTTCGTCTGTCCGTCCTCCATCTAGAGTACAAATCATCATATCGTATCATGGACTATGGCTTTTACATGGAGGCTCCGGCGGCAGTTTTTAGATATAGTATTCTACCATTAGTTTGTTTAGCTTAGTTGGGGAGTTTCATTTTCTTTATTTCTTCTTGGAAAATATACCCCTCCCTGTCTATCAACTAGGTACCTATTTTCTTGTTGGAACTACCTGCCTACCTAAATAGGAAGATTGCGTCTCTTTTTTCTTTCGTTCCGTCTTGGATTACGGTCGTCTGTTGTCTGCATGATGTGTATCGCTGCCTCTCTCTGTCTGTTTGTGTGTTTTATGTCTGCCTATCTGTGTCATGTCACATCATGTCTGTCTATCTATTCATCTATCCATCTATCTGCCAGTCTTTCTACCTACCTGCATGGCCTCCCTGCCTCTTCCTCAGCCGGTATTCATGCTACGTACGTCCGGCAATCATTGGGTCATGACGTCGGCAGCAGTGCATGCTTTCATTATCACCCGAACCGGGCTTGCTTGCCACTGGGATCTGCCTGTCCACCTTCTAGCCAGAACTTTACGGTCTGGACCTTTTGAGAGTGGTAGCATCCTCATGCCCCCAATGCATACACATCGAATCTTGTCCGCGAGTGGAATGGTGGTGTCTTTCCGATAGGGTAGGTAGGTAGGCACGTTAGACTACAATGTCGATGGATGGATGGATGACAGACACATGCAAATGGTGCTTTTGATATAAGATTGGTCTTGACGCTCTCTTTTCTCAAGCTGGCTCCGTTCGCGCTGGGAGAGGCAAATAATGGTCGGATACTCGGGGGGTACTTGTGCGGAACCAGGGGACGACGACTGTACAATGGTGATACTTTCCCTGTCTTGGGTCTAGACAGACAGACAGACGTCTGGGCCTTCTTTCAGAGATAGCTGCCCTTGCACCACCCACCCGAGAGGCTCCGATGATTGGCAAATGTGTGCAGCTTTCCCACTGTTTTTTTGTATCGGTGGTCTCGATCGTTGCTCTCTTGAAGGGGTTGCAGTTGGGTTTTGGTTGTATGGTGTGTGTTGGATGGATCTTGGAGGAGGGAGGCAAACGAATAGTTGCCATCCCCCCCTTTTCCTTGTTTTAAGCACATGCTTGTTTGGCCGAGGGCTCTCGCCACTCACGTACATAACCCCCTCGAGAGGTAAACAAAACATTGATTGATCTACAATAGCACACTAGCCAGCGGCTGCCCGTTTGGTGTGGGATGCTGGCAGAGCCCCCCTCCAGTGCCGAGGTGGCGCAACGTCTCGAGACGCGCGGTTGTAGCGCTACTCACGGGGGCACAATGTTTCCCATTCACCGAAACAATCCGTCTTTTCTTGGGGGCCGTACGACTGCCCGTCGTGAAGCACAGGATGCCACTTTGGAACACCGAGCCTCACTTTGTCCACGGAAGCACCGCCTATCCGCCAGTGCCAGTGGTAGGTAGCTGCAAAGGACGCACTAGCTGTGGTCGCTGGGGAGTAGAGAGGACGTCAAAATGCTGCCGCTCTCACTTTCTCCTTCTGTTTCAACGCCGGCCAAGACCCTTTGGTAACACGAGGCAAGCCAAGCTGCAGTCTAGGTCAATACAGTACAGGGCCGACGGTTTGTTTGCCTCGTATTGGTCTTGTCTCGGGAGCGTCGGGCTGGGCTGTGTCGCGGGGAAACACCCGCCATATGGTGCCATGGACGACAGCCGTGTGTCGCTCCCGTCACACATGGCACACATGCACACACACACACACACACACGGACGGGCGGGCTCCGGACATGCGAGCACTGGAAGTGCAGGACGAGGAGACACAGGCGTGGGCCTTTAGGGGAATTCTAGATTCTAGCAGCAGCAAAACCAAAAGCCTGTCCATCGCACAGCCCGTCGGTTGCGCAGTCGGGACTATTCAGGGGCATCAAGTCTTGCCGGTGTCAACCACGGTGGCCTGACTTGGCAGGGCCGGGAGAAGGCCTGTGTAGCCATGGCGAGCGAGCACGACAGGAGTGCCTGTGCAACAAGTGCTGCAGCGACGCCGTTGAGCATGCACGCATGCATTCAAATACTATTTCATTTCTTGGACTGTTGGTCGAAGCATATGCTGTGTAGCGCAAAGGGCTTTTACTCTCGGGGCCATGCAGGTTGAGGTGGTCTGGTCGGGAGAGGATATTCCAGGACAGCAACGACTTTCGGCAGGGGAAAAAGGGGGGGCTCAACAAACAAACAAAAATCAACATCAACACCAGCATCAATACAAGAATGCACAGTGCACAGTGCAAATCCACGGTAAGACCCAGCTGCAGACTCTCAAGTATGTCTCATGCAGCTAGGCATGGCATGCCCATTTCTGCATGCCGGCCGGCCTCCAACACAGAAAGAGGGAGAAGGTGGGCAGCCCTCGCAGCCAATCGACCCGTTGCTGCCCAATGGCCTGGGAAGGAGCCTTGTCGTCTCTTGTTCATTTTCCCGCCCGCTCTGGTTAAATAGCAAGGAAACCGACCAGTCAGCTCCCGCAGAAAAACCACCTCTAGAGTCTTGGATTTTTTCTTTCTTTTAATAGTCTGCATGCACCCCACGTCAGCGTTCTTCTCTTTCTCCCTACCGCGTGCGTCGTTGGGGTTCCCACACACACTTTCTCTCACGCCAACGAACCGAACAGAAGACTAGCTGCAGCTGCACTGGGGCAAGTGCCCCCGCCCCCCCGAAAACCGACCTCTCACAAAAAAGACAATTATTAAATCTTCCCCGGATTTCCTGCTTGCTGACAGGCCCGAGGGAAGGGAGGGGGGGGAGGTTGCGTTCGGCTACCTCGGAGACCTACCAAGGCTCCCAGCTGAACGAGACGAGGGCCGGCAGTTGCGTTTCTCTGCCCTACTGATCCAAGACTGTCCACGCGGATGGGGTTTAATGAAAATGTCAAGAACACTACGTTCGCTTGTCTCGTGAACTCTTTGTACATACATACAGGCAGGCAGGCAGGCAGGCAGGCAGGCAGGCGTCCAGGGCCGTTTCCAGAACAGTCGGAGCAGTTGTTCCCCATCTATACCCGAGCACTTTCCTACGCACCTTACCAAGTAAATACCTTATATACCTCACCTTACCTGGTAGACGAGACAGAGAGAGGCAACCAGACAGAGATTTGATCCGGGGCATGTATGAATATAACAGAACAATAATATCCCGTCTCTCATGCTGGGAGAAACAGAGACAGACAGATAGATAGCCTTGCCAACTGACCTGTCCTGGCCAACTGCCTGTCTGTCCATCTGTCTAGCTGATGTAGCATCCTCGGGGCTCAGAGGTGGGGGCGGGAAGAACAGCAGTAACATGATCTCGCGCCTTTTTCTCCTTTCTCTGTCCCCCCCCCTTCCACCCTCACACACCACACACCGCACCCGGCATATGCACGAGTCCAATGTCTCAGCTCTGGCTACCACTTGCCCGGATCGCGGTTAATACGTACGTACGTACGTTGTTTCCATGTCATTGATTGCCTGCCACCATACGTATCCACCTGGTTCCTTTTTGACATCAGCCCTGTCTGTTTCAGACCTCTTCTTTTTACTCTGCATTATCTTCATTGTATTCTAGCACGTCACGTAGTCGGGTCACTTGCAAAAACGGTCTCGTGTTGGAGAGGTAGAAAGCATATTTGCCAAACTGCCTAACTAAAAAAAAAAGTGTCCACGATAGTTACAAGAAGTTGGTAACAAATATGTTCAGGGAAAGTTTTTTTTGTGGCGTTGGGGGGGAAGTTTTGCCCTTCAGTCTCCTATCCTGTCGGCGAGAGACGAAAGGGAAAGCTCCAAACAGAAGCAGCCTTCCAAAAGCAAAAAAGAAGCCCCCCAATAAATCATATATTGTTGCTAGTTCATCTGGCGTCATTGCTTCGTTCGTTGAAAAGAGAATGAGTGCCCCCGTCTCGCTATGCGCGCAGAAGACCAAAACAGTACCGTCTTCCAAAAGCCTCCCCCCGCAAGGTGAATTTGCAAAGACTTGGTAGTTCCTCCATCCAGGCTATGCCGCTTTTCGTGATTGACAAAAGGAATCCTCCTCAAATGAGTTAGGTAGGTAGGTAGGTAGGTAGGAAAAAAGGGACAAAGGAAATTCGTCGTCAGACATGTGGGTTTTGCAAACTCGCAGCCATCCGGCTCCTCTGTGTCGCTTGGGCTGCTGTTCCCTGCGAAAAGGAGGTACTTCTGGCGCGCATGTTGCATGCAAATAAGTCGACCCCCGGATCCAACCGTTCCTTTCCAATGCTTCCCATATTCCAATCTGTGATGCGTCGGTCTGTCTGCCCGCGTGAGACTGGCTCTCTTTCAATCACAGCTTGTGCCTGATTTTGCCGCTTCGGTGTACAAGAAATAAACCCAAAAAGGAAAACAGGACGGGATCGTTAAAAAGCCATCGTCCTTGGAAGAAAAGAGAAGAGTCGGCCCGGAACCACCGTATGTAACCTGCCCTCCGACCTCGCGGCAAGGCTTTGCTCAAGAAAGACATCATATGATTGCGCCAAGGAAATTAGGAAAAAAAACATATGACAATTAATATAAAAGAAATGTTTGACAAATTTCAAATGCTCGCTCGCCTGCTAAGTATCTCAAATCAAATATCAAAAAAGCAATAAAAATCAAGCTAGAGAGATAAGGAAGGTGCCCTGTCGTGTACAGGATCGCAAGAAGTGATCAACTTTCGGCGCGTGAGCAGCGGATGTCTGAGTGTGTCGCGGGAGCGGGTGAAGTGTATGTGGGCAAAAGAAAGCTTGCGAGCCGGAAACACTAGGATACCAAGGAAAAGGAGCGCTTCGGAGTGGTGGAGTTGTGTGCGTGGGCCATAATGTGTGATTCGTTCGTGTGTGTTCGTGGTCGTGATCGTAGGTGTTTCGTTTAGTCATAAAGTCGTCAATTACGTGTTGTCGTCGCCGCCAGCAGCCCCTTGTGTGCTGCACTCGGCTACCATCTTGGCGAAGCTCCGCACCACGTCGCCCGGGATCTGGTCCCAGAGCAGCGAGCGCGTGTAGACCTCGGCAGCTGACTGCTTGTTCGAGCTGCGCATGTTAGCGAGAGCCTCGGCAAGATTCCGTCTGCCCTGGCTCGTCGACCTTTCGGCCGGAGCGTTTTGCAGGAAATCTTGCGAGCTCAAGCCGTTATATTGCGCAGCCGACAGCGAGAAGAGCTGCTCGTTGGTCTGGCGCTCCGTCGGCTGGGTTAGGGCGTCGGCTATATCGCCAAGCATTGACGGGGCAACGCTATCCATCACCGGAGCGGCAATGGGCAGCGACGACCCGGAAGACTGTGTCCAGCTGTTTCCCGACGGCCGTGGGGCCATCGCGTCCATGCTGGGAGCGGCCTGGGGGACGCCGGCATCCTTGAGCACGCTCTCCAGCAGAGTGGCCGACGCGGCGCGGACATCCTCCGAGACGCGAGGGATGCTCGGCGTAGATCGGCTCGAGAGCACAAAGGCGCCGACGAGGAAGAGCATGAACAAGAGGCCGCCCTGCTGGGCGGGCTTCTCGGACTCGGCCGGCAAGGCAACCTCGGGCTTCTTGGCGGGAACGATCTGCATCTCCGGCTTGACCTCGGTAGTTTGGTCCAAGGGATACTCGCCAAACATGTGCATGTTCTCCCAGGAGCCGTCAATAATGCCCTCCATCTCTCCGAAGGAGCTGGAGAAACCAGACGCATTCTGAGCCGTCGGCGGCGTCGTCATGGCGGCACCCTCAAGGGCCTGCACGTGGTTGGTCAGGACGCTGATCTTCTTACGGAGCTCGCCCGTTTCGATGGTGTGCCTGCCAATCATCTCCTCCTGCTCCCTCTTCAGGTCGTCGACGTAGACCTGGTAGTTCTGCTTCTCGCGGAGAAGCTGCTCCATGTCGTCCTGGAGCTTGGTGATGGTGTCCTCCAAGTTGGTGATGACCTCGCTGTATTGCTTCTTCTCGTCCTCGAGCCGCTCCGTGTGCTGCTTCTTGCGTTGTCTCGAGTCAAGGCTAGGGGGCTTGTCAGTGTGGTAAACGTTGTGCGAAGTAGAGGAATAAGTACTCACGCTGCTTGTCTGTTGCGCAAAAGGCGTTTTTGCTGCTTCAGCTCCTTGATCTCCTGTTCGTCGGTCGACTGCGAGATCAGGTGATCGATGTTGCTGAGATTTCGCTCGGCCGGAATATCGAAGCGGGCATTCTTTTTGCGGATGCCGTCACCCCTGCGCAGGTCGTTGTGCGACCGGATCAAGGGGCTCGTAGGCCGGGGCCGCTTTGCCATGGCCTGGTTCTTCAGCTCCTGGCTCATCCAGTGGTCCTTTTGCGGTGACGTGGGTATTGACTGCGAGTGCCCGAGCTGCTGGAACATGGCGACCTGGTTGCTGGGGTTGCTGAAGGGGGTCTGGGCTTGAATGGTGACTGGCCTGTGGAAGAGCGAGACGCCGTTGTCGTACTCGGCCGGTAGCCCGTCGAATGTCTGTAGGGGTGTTACGGACCCAGAGCTGGTCATGGGCCAGGTGTGGCTTTGATATGCCGCCTGCTGGTTCTGATCCATCCGTAGGAAGGGGTTGTTGTTGCTGTGTTGGTCGAGGAACGGGTTGTTTGACGGGACAGACTGCATCTCTACAGACTGCCAATCCTCCGTCTTTGGTGAGAAGAGTGCCGACGAGACCGCAAAGGAATCTCTCCTGCTTTCTACCATCGGCGGCGACATCTCCAAGCCCGAGTCAAGCCCGTTCTGGTCGAGAATGTTCTCGTCTAATATGCTCGCATCCTCCTCATCGAAGAACTTTTGAGCGTGAGTGGTGTCGACCGTTAACGGCGCCCTGTAGAAGGACTGCATTTGGAACGCTGAGACCATGGCGGGCCACTGCGTGTGAGTATGTGCGTGTGTAAGCGTGTGCTGGAATTTGCTTCCGGGCAGAAAAGGTACTGCAAGATGCAAAGTACCGGGTTGCAAAAGTGTGCGGACAGTCTAATATATGGCCGACTGTGTTAGTGGTTGTTGGGCAGCTTGGCTGATGGAGCGGTGAGGGCAAGGCCTTCAAAGACACCGCTTTATTTTTGGAGTAGCCGGGGTAGAGTGGGCAGGGGATGCTTTTCGCGAAAGCATGGGTGCCCAAGAGCGCAGATATAGCCTAGACCCGTTTATGTCTCTCTCTCAAGACTTGGGATTGTGGGTAATGCGGCGATGTTGGAGAAAAACATAAAAGCCCGCAGGAAGAGGCGGAGTAGGAGAGTGAGGGGAGTTAAGGTATGGGGGGGGAAGGAAGAGGTAGTTTAGTTGAAGAATTGGAGGATAATGCGGGTTGATAAGAGGCTGGTTGGAGGAAAGCTGGGGGTGAAAAGGCGGGGGGGGGGCATATAAAAGAGAGAGCGAGAGAGAGAATGTGCGTGAGAGTGAGAAAAGGTGGGAGAAAGTGACACTCACGTTCGTTTTTGGTGTAAGTCGCACTGCGCTGCCGTCTTTGGAAAGAGGGGTATCAGACCAGAGGCGGGATTTCGTGGAGTTGGTTGAAGAATGGGGGTGCTGTGGGTGAGAGTCGGCGAGAGAGGGATGTTCGTGTGGTGTGTGCTTGAGTGAATATCGGCAACTACTGTTGAAGAGCAAGAAGACGGGGGCTGTTTCAAGCACCTCGCAACGCAATAACAATAATGGTGATGATAAAACACTCGGTTGAGAAACAGTTGCGAAGATGATACTGTACAGAGTCAATGACAACAATTGTGGAGGGGTGCCGAAGGGGTGGTCCGGCTCTTGTATGTTTTGGACTGCAACTGGAGCTAGAGGGTGGTCAGGCCGGAGAACCAAGAGTCTCGTCGCGAAGCAGGAAGCAGGGTAGCAGCAGTCGTCTGTCTCTGGTACGTACCGCCAGCCCAATTGTAGAGAGCGAAGAGCCTGGAATTGCAGCGGGCCTGTGTACCTCGAGGGCATGTTGCGGAGGACCTGGTTTGCGCGCGAAGCTGTGGATGAGGAGACTCTCTAGAGAGGGGGTGGGGGGACCTTCAGGGCTGGGAGGGGAGTGCGACCAGAGATCCGATTGACGGGACCGGGGTGCCAAAGTACTTGCGAAGACACCCGAGCAGTACCTTAGCAGGCGGCGACGAACGGAGCTACCTCAAGCTAGTTAGAGTTGGACGGCTGGAGAGAGCCCCGGAGAGCCCAGGCCTTGCGGGCAGAGCTACAGGACAGGACGGCCAAATAGACGCTTGAGTCGGGATTGGGCACGTCGTCGACGCCGTGGGCAATGGGCGTCGGGCGGGGGGGGGCGACTATCGAACAGAGTCACAGACAGACAGACAGACAGACAAGCAACCATTGCTCTATCGCTCTCGCCCGTTCGCCCTTCGCCTCTAGTCTGTTGAGAGACCTTCCGCGACAGCAGCGGTACATGCAGCACGGCAGCGGGAGACTCGCGGGAGACTCGCGGGAGAGCTGTTCTGGCCCTGTCTCCGTCAAGCCCTGGTCTTGGGTCTCTCGAATGTACGTCCATACATACTCCACTTCAACTACAGGGTCCCTGATGGAAGCTATGTTGGGCAAGGTAGGTAAGGTAGTTACTGTGTATGTACTTCTCCTGAGTGGTTCTGGCATAACGAAATGAGACGAGATGAGAGACGAGGGCTACTGCCCGGCGCAGACTGACTGACAGCTTGACAGGTTGAGAACAAGCCGGAGCCACAGACGACGTCCCAATGAGGCATACGCCAGTTTCTGGCTGCGCGGGGGCGTGCACGCTGGGAATGGCAGAGCGGAGACGGCCCAGGAAAGCCATGGCAGTAGATCCGAGATCGAATCAGAGATCGCTACAGGGTGTGGGTTGCGGGCCTTCTGCTGCCCTCGCCCAACGTGCCTCTCCCAAGCCGGAGGATGCAGCAACGGGGGGCGCGGTCCCAGAGGGACAGCCCTGAGGCGCCCGGAGAGGCTCGACCATCCAGAGAGGAGACCAGAGGAGAGGAGAAGAGAGAGAACAGGAGGAGCCCCTATGTGCAGTACCAACAGGGGCAGCTGGAAAGCCTGGGCGGGCACTGGGCAGCTCACAAAAAGCAGCATGGACTTGGACTGGACTGCAACTGGAAGCAACTCAAGCGACGATGGATGCCCCCGTGATTGGGTTGGAGGTAACGAATGGTGGTGGAGCGACCGCCCTGGCTCAGGTTGGGCAGAAATGGCCTTACGGGCATCGATACCCAAAGCCCGCTCCAGTCCAGTGGCATGCCATAGGCGTGCAGCCGCTTCCACACCCGATTAGAAGAGCCGAGAAGCTTGCCAGGGTTCGCCAGGGTTTCGCCTGGACCGTGGACACTGGGCGCCCCCGTGAGAACCCCCGTTTTTTTTTTGGCGCCTTTTCCCGGGTCGCCAAGGACGACGAGTCGCTTGCTAGGAGCGAGGACCTGTCGGCTGTGGGGTGACTGAAGGAAAAGCCCGCGCTGCGTCCAAGAAACCGGAATAGGTAAGACACGATCTAGCGAGAGGCGCTGCTCAAGTTCAAGAAGTTTCAACGACGGCTGCTTGTTTTGTTTCCTCAGCAAATACGAACGAACAGCCATTCACGGCTGTGGGTTCTGTTCTGGCTTGTCTCTGGCGAATAGAACGGAGACGTCCTCAATCATCAGAAGAACCGAGAACCTAACAGGCCGGACGGCGCAGATGGGCAGGCCCCGATCCGGGGTTCGATCTGGGCAGGCTTTCCGACTTCCGTTCGGGTGCTCTCGGCAGATAACGTGAGATGTTCTTCAAGTCTAAGCAAGTTATGGCCCGTATCGTTGCAGCTTCAGATGGCCCAAGTAAGGTAATAGCAAGCCATGGCACCACCTCGTCTGAGCACGCCAGGCTAGGCATCCTGCGAACGGGTTTTCGTCATCGTATACGGCACCAGCATCGGTATCATCGACATCGACATCAACGTCCAACTAGGGAAAGAGACAAGAGCTTGGAGCGATTCTGGGCATGTGTGTGTGACTGCGTGTGCCTCCAGTAACCTCGGTGCCAAAAGCAGGGCGAACGAAGGGGGCAACTTTCTGTTCCGGTGGTGCCATCAGCTGGTGTGTCCACGATTGGCAAGACCGTCCAGTCGCAAGTTGCAGCTGCAGCAACGGATGGCTGAATGCGTCTTGCGGGATGCCGTGATGGCTCCCCCGTCCCAATCACCGGCTGTCTCGTCTTCGGCAGCAGGAAGGTACGAATCACGGTTGAGTGCTAATGGCGGCATGCTCCAATCCCCGCGACCCCAACATTCCCAACGACCCCACCAGCCTCCAAAGCTCATCCCGGATTCTTCAAGCCGGGCTGTCGCTGTCTCGAGCTTGTGCCACCCATTCACTCTAGTCCCGAGAATGTAGTTGCTAACGATCTGGTAGCACCCCCAGCCAACGCCTAACGGCGCGGTCACATGACGGGCCCTCGCCTTCCCTTCTTGCTGTTCTGTGCCCGCGCCCTGCTTCGAGGACGGCTTCCAGAACCCGGATCCTGTTGTCAAGTCTGTCTGCGCCTTCCTTGTGTCATCCCCCCTCCCCTCCTTCCACCCCTTCCCCTTCCCTGGACGCTGCTCGCCGCAAGACAGCATCGCCGCCCACAAATTCAAACGTCAGCCTCTTCTCTCGACTCCTTTAATTGTAGATGGTCAATCCAGGCGCGACTGCGGAATTGGGCGCCTGTGCCTCCTTACCCCAGACAAGACGACATGCTCACTCGCGCCTGCCTAGCTTCCAATCAAGCAGGAAAGGAAAGAATACCTCAGCTAAAAATGCGGTGGCTGGTTGCAGCGCGTGTCAACGGTTCAGCGAGCCCCACCATCGTGGACTTAACGGAGCTTCCGCGAGCTCCTGGCCAGTCAAGATGCAGCCTGAAGCTGCCCGCCCATACTCAGCGTGCCCGTGGCCGCATATCCAGAGGCCCGCGCCATGGCATGTCGACCCAAACAAAAGCGCAACGTCCATTTCTACCCAACACAAAATAGTCGGTGTGTTTCTGCTCTAACACGCGAAGGAACGCGTCTGCCGGATCTCGACCCGTCGGCGAACCATCTTCACTACCGAATCTGAAAGCAAAACCCGCCAGAGGCAGTCAGTGCGAATGTAAACTGCACCCTATCCGGCTCTTGTTGCTCTTGTTTTGCTCAGGCACGAAGTGGCCTATCTGGATGAGATATTCTGGCCGCACTCCCACGTTAGCTTTTTCCGGTGATCCTGGCCCAGAGGCTACCTAAGGCATCTTTACGAGCCTCGATGGCTCAGGTGCTGCGAGCTCCCTAATCTGAAGGTCTTCAGCGCAGCCATGATTGCACGGCACCAGGCATCAAGTCGAGCCTTCACAGCGGAAAGTTTACGCAGCAAGTGTCCACCTGCCTAGTTGATCAACTTGCACCGAGTTCTAGTTCAGCATTTGTCCTTTTTCCCCTCAGCTTGCATCTCGGTATCTTGTGCGGTGCCCCAGCCTATCGCCGTTTACTGTCTTGCATGCTGGCTCTCCAGTCCCCCAGTCTGCTTTTCGAGGCTCTTTGACGAGAATGACAAGGCATAATTGTTGGTGTTTTTGCTAATGATTCGAATTCGAGTGAGAGAGAAGCTCGCCGTTCTCATTGCAAACATGCTGAATGGGGCTTCAAAGCGGGCCCGTCGAAGGACCCAACCGCGAAGCGAAAGCGGGCAACTACCAATCACTACGTTGAGGCTGTCGTCTGGTCCTGCTAGTCATTGGACCCTGGATTTTACTTAGCCACGACGCCGCAGTGCTGAGAGTTCTCAGGGCCGGACTTTGGACGCGCGGAAACGCTAAACAGCTCCAACTGCATTTCACATATCCAGTTGCTCATGTCCTATTCGTACGGACATTATTGTTGGGTCCAATGTCGGGTTCCAGGCGCACACCCAACTTTCCTCGGACAGAGTTTCGGAACTCGTGTCCAATCCTTCATCCTGAGCTGTCACATCGTCTCTAAGCTAGGTCTCGACAGGACGTGCTCGGCTTCCACAGCCGGCCCGGCATGTGTCTCCTGCAGAGACTACCGCAGGCTTGACGCCTGGGGCCATCAAGGCCCAATATGTGGATCTGGCGAGATCCTTTCACGTCAGATCGATCTTGGAAGGCTGCAAGCACATCGACCAAGTGTTGGATTTCCTGCCCAACGGCGAAGACTTGCCAATACGAGTGCGTTTCGAAGGTCTTTCAGCATATCCACATGCCATGTGCCGTCTGATGACGTTACTCTGATGGCATCGTTCAAGGGACCTGGACCAAATCTTTTTCATTCGTCCCCAGTTCTGAGGCGGCGGTCTCGCCGGCTTCCCAAGGCGGCCAGGCAAAATCGTGACGACGGCGATATCTACCTGACTGAGTCACGGCTTGTTTTCCATATCGCCGGTGCCGGCGACCTTGCCCCATGGGCATACAGGCTTCTAGGGTTTCCAATATGGGAGAATGGCAGCAGTGAAGAGGCATGAAAGCTTGGGACAGGCCTCTCGGCAGTATCAAATCGTCCGGGTTTCTATGGCTCTCAGACCCTACTACCATCCAACATTCCATCACAAAGTTTGTGCCCCCAGCTAGAAGACCTAGAGGAATACTTGCGTAGAGGCGACCGAGCTCCCCACTATGTCAGGATTGCACGACGAGTTGTCATATGAAGTTGCTCGTTTACGGCTAGTATCTTAAACCATTCTCGCCGTTTCCTAGAAGTCTAGATATCAGCTGCAGCTAATAATCCGAGATGCGGTCTGTCTTTGTTTGACCGGCATGGTGCAGCAATCAAGGTGCAATCTGCAGGAACATGGGCTTTGAGACCGTGTAATAAGCTGTTGTGCTTGCTATTGTGGGGTGTGGACTGAAGATGCTCTTTCTGCTGCGGCGGTTAGCCATAGAAAAGAGTCCTGCGTTTGCACAGTTATTTTTTTCCTAGGTTTTTATTATGAGGATTTTGGTTGACGAGGGTTTTACTCTTGCTGTATTTTTTTGTCAATACGCATTCCCGCCATGTTTATTACAGGGGGAAGGGGTTGTTTCAATGTAGCGGTGAGCAGCACTTGGGACTTGGCTTAGTTTGCGGGATGATGCCGCCCGCACGCGATCGATCTCTCTGGCCCCTGACATCGATTCGCACCCATACCTACCAAGAAACACACAATCGGCGATCTAGACGCGCTGCGGCTCATGTGCACACTGGAATGCTCTGGGCAATCACGTATGTTCATGCAAGTGGACGGTGTGTTCAACCCTCGGTTTAGCTGTCGTCTTGAATTTGATATCGTCTGTTGGATGTCTTGACGAGTTCGTTTTGGTCCTCCTCATTCGCGTTCTCACTCCCTCTTTCGCTTGTTACGTACGCAGCCGTGGGAAGGCCGGGGTCGAACTCGCCGCATGACCCTTGCTTCTTCCTTCACACACCGACACTTTGGACAGTATTGACATTTTACTCCTCCTGTGTCTGATGTAAGTGGAAGGCAGGCGCAGCCGCGTGGCGTAGCGTGGATACGGGTTGCTCGGAATTTTTCAATTTTTCAGCTGAACGGGGCCACCGTAGGCGAGCTTGCGAGCCGGAGGTGGCGTACGGAGTAGAGAGGCTGTATTCTATGAGGGTGCCGAATGTTTCTCGCACAAGAAGCTGTAAATCTGTAGACCCGAAGTTTAGCCGGCGATTGGTGATCCATGCGGCACCTACAACCTCGCAACATAACCTCAATCAATCGCACGTACAATATATCGCTTTCTAGCTATAAACAGGCACGCCGAATACTTCACGATCATTAATCTATTGATCCCTGCTAATATATCAATAGAGACGCGTATTTCTCGAGCCGCCGCGATGGCTACGGTCGAGGTCCGCGATGCGGGCAACCTCCACGCTCTCCCCCTTTATATTGGTGCCCGGGTTATGTTGACAGAGAATTTTTGGACTTCTGTTGGCTTAGTTAACGGGGCTACGAGCTATATTCATGATGTCACTTAGGCTGCCCACGTGGAAAACCCTCACCGCGGAGCTCCCTTTTGTCCTACTTGACAGGATGGATAAGGATTACGGCCCAGCTTGCTTCGAGGCTATTCCGAGCAATGTAGTGCCGATCTTCCAGTGCTTCCGGAACTTCCAGAGCGATAATGCGGCTTACTCTCGCCGCCAGTTCCCGGTTACTATTGCGTACGCCATCACGGTTCACAAGTCACAGGGAGCTACGTTTAACAGGGCTGTGCTTGACATCTCTGAGCGGGATTTCTCTTCAGGGCTTACTTATGTGGCTATCTCGCGCGTCACTAGTCTACAGGGCTTGATGTTTGACATTCTTTTTACCCTAGACCAAATCCAGGTCAAGAATGACATTACCGGTGCATTACGTGCTTCCCAACCAGTTGTTTTATAATGGAACAATGCAAAATTATTTGGTCGGTCCAGATCGATTCCCGCCGTCGGTAAAGGCATTCGCGAGCTACTTGAGAGCCCTGAACCCGAGCAGGAACGATGCCAATGGGAACGATATATGCTGTATCGCGTGTACGAAAACTCAAAAAGGCCAAGATGGGATTGCACGGCGAAGAAGAAATACCCCAAGTGTCTCCAGGAAACAAAGCATTCTTTCGAGGATTGCGAGGCTCGCGATAACGAAGCTGGTCGAAAGAATGGGAAGGAAGCTCGGCCTATGACGTGTAAAAGATGCAACGAGCTTGGGCATAAAGGCGCCGATTGTCCGCAAAATCCTCCAAAGAAGTGCCACCATTGCAACGAAACTGGTCATTTCAACCAGGAGTGCCCCTTGCGTATGGAGGCGAAATGCACAGCTTGCGGGAAAACAGGTCATCTCAAAAAAGGATGTCCCAATCGGATTTGCATTTTTTGCAAGTCGAAAACCCACAAGACTTCCCATTGCCCGATCACCGCTAGCGTTCCTCAGATGGATAAGGGCTGCGATTAATGCATCATCTCCCTGAATGACGACAATCTCAACGTTGACGATGTTCTCCGCGTCACGAAAACCTTGAGCCGGGCTGATCAATATGTCGCCATGGGTGTCGAGGATAGCGGAACTGATCAAGTCGCTCAGTTGGCCACCACGGAGCATACTGGATGGGGTGTCGAGGATAACGGAGCTGATCAGGTCGCTCAGTTGGCCACCACGGAGCAGACTGAACCGGATAACCTTTGGTAGTCGTCTTGAGTCTTACCCATCCATTATATCCATAGTGGAACTAATCAATTCGGTTTTGGCGGAGGACGAAAGGGAGCCACCAGGTGGTGTTAGTACAAACCTTGGGGGTTTAGACACAACCAACGTAGCTATCTAATATAAAGAATAGTTCTCCCCAAATATTGTAGTCTCAGACGCTTAAAGTTGAGAGGGACGAGTAACCCCGCCGTCGCGCGGCCTCGTTAATGACGGGCAGTACCACCACTAATAGGGGCGAAAGAAAAAGGGCAAAGGCTTCCGCGCCCCAGTAGTAAACGGAGGAGATGGACTATATCATAGTTCAGCTGCTACAACTTCCTCTTCAGACTCCCCATACGAACTAAGCTACAGAACAAGTGAGGTAGAGCAGTTAATATTGATTGGAACTGCAACTAGTCTCTGCACCCTGGCTACGGAAGATTAACTTGGCCTTCATTTGCTGGCTGCCGTCAGCGAAAAGGTAGGGGATTAAGGTGCATTGTCGCTTTCCCCAGCCACTTCTTTCCTAGTGCGCGATCACGGACTTGTTGCCTTTGTAATCGTACGTTTTATCGTCAATGAACTCAAAGGGCATAGAGGCCTCGTCGACGTTGAGGATTTGGAAGTAGGGAAATTTTCGAGGCGATGATAAAACAGAAGCAACACTACAGGGCGGCGGGGTGACAGGCCGCTCGTTAAGGTTGTGAGACCCTCCGAATATAACGAAGGAAGGAATTCGTGAGGTCAACGTAGTCTGAAGGGAGCTTGGAAGACTGCGTAGTAGTACGCCGAACACGCGGCGTCTCATGAAGTTGCGCTACCAACCGTTGGTAAACCGAATTGTTGTATAGCTTCAGGGGTACAATTGCTCATAGAGCTTCTTCGAGCGCCTTCTGAACCAACCGAGCCGAACGATTTAGCGTGCTTTCCTTCGTGTAATGAAGTCCTTGAAAAGCAGGTCTTCCAACTCTGGCCAGTGAGGCCGAAAGCAGACCGGCCTGCCCTCGAGGATTTGTTGCCCGGGAGTATGTGCGTTCGGAGCGGACAACGGCTGGCCAGGGCGGGCCCACGGGCATCGAGTTCGCCGCAGAGCTGCACGACCTCATCTACGACGGCCTCGCCCGGCTCTACCCGGACCTCCTCCGCTTCGTGCGCATAACGGTGTACGACGTCACGCCCAAGGTTCTGCCCATGTTCGGCCAGGCCCTGGTCAAGTACGCCATGGACACGTTTGCGCGCCACGGCATCGACGTCCGCACAGAACACCACCTGGAGCGGCTGCGGCCGGCAGACGAAGACCTCGGCAACCGCCACGGCGCGCTACGTATCAAGGTTCAGGAGCTCGGCGACGACGAGGTTGGCGCCGGCCTTGTGTTCTAGAGGACCGGCCCTATATAGAACCCGCTGGTGGCGAAGCTGTCCGGGAAGAAGCTGTCCGCTGTCCGCTGTCCGCTGCCGGCAGTACGGGGAAAGCCGGGCAGCGCTTAGCAATAGACGCTAGGACTGGAGGGCTCGTTACTGACGCGTACCTGCGGGCGCAGACGACCTCGAGCGAAGGTAACGATTCAGCTGCTGGCGCCAGTGCTGGCGCCCCCCGGCCGCCAGCGGCGGACTGTTGGAAGATGTCTTTGTAATCGGCGACTACGCTATCAATACCGATTACGCTGCTATGTGCGGACCGGCCACGGACCGGCCACGATACCTACACCTCGGTAGTCACCTTAACCACACTGAACTCGGCACGCTGAATCCGTAGCCAGCTCACTTATGCCCCACCACCGCCACCGCCGTCGCCACCGCCGTCGCCACCGTCGTCGCCACTGTCGTCGTCATGCTCCCAATTACCAAGCTGCTTGCAAAACCAAGAAGCAGCAGTGTATATGTACTATTATCTGCTGGCAAGTAATCACATGGATGTTAGCAGGGGCATGAACCAAGATATACATACCCCCAGCAACCCATTTTGTTGTAATGCTGCGTATTGCAAATTCATCCACCCCAGCCTTTTGAACTAGAAGAGGTTCCATGGAGACATTTCGTTCTTGAATTGGGCGACTATCTTATAGATGTCAGAAAGTTTGTCGTTAAGCAATCCAACCTTGTTGTTAAGCATTCTAACCTTGTCGTTAAGCTTGACAAGTTTGGTTTCGATGCTGGCGATTCTTGTTTCAGTTCTGATGATCCCCGTGTCGTGACTGTCAAGCCGGGCTGCGATATTGGTAATGGTCGACCGGTTCTGGTTTTGCGAGGAAATCCTTGAATACCTCTGGATCGACGTACGGGGAACGGGAGGTCGTATCAGCAGAGATCGTGGTAGATGTGGACGCATCATGGAAAGAAGTGAGCGATCCATAGCAGCAGGCGCTGTGTTGTGATGGAATAATAGCGTATTTCCAATGCTCTGATAATCTAGAGAGTTGAGAAGTTTGTTCGATGGTTGACAATTCAAAGGAAACTGGCAGAAGCTTTGGTCGGTTATTAGAGAATCGGTAATCCATCGTGACAGCCTAGGTTTGTTCGGGAAAAGAGCAGGAAGGAACTTACTTAAGATACGCTCTTGCCATTGGGTATCTTGTTCAGGAAGGAAGGTTTTGCCGTTGAGTAGTTCAGTGTCTTGCTCGGGACAGGATGCAGTTTATTTTTCGGTCGTGACCCAGGACCCCCCAATGTATGTAACGAAAGACCTGCAAGTCATTAGATACCAAAGGAATAACTGCCTGCATGATCCGATGAAAGGCCATTGGGGTCGATGACGGAAAATTTGACGAACCTGGAGGCGCGGGCGTTCGCCCACGAAAAGCTTGTCCTGGACTGCGAGGAAAGCTTGTCCGGACTGCGAATGCTTTTGTTTGATCAGTTCGGCACCGAGCGAACCTTACTTTTCTTAAATCTATCTCTTATAACGCGCACAACGCATTCAAATCTGCATTTTATATGTGTGTAAGGGGCTTCTGCCCACAGACCCCCCCCCCCCCCCCCCCCCCCAAAAAAAAAAAACACAACGTCCTTTCCCAATACGATCAGCATCGGGGGACGCTATACCTAGTTACGCTTCCGCTCCGCCAACTCCCTTCTAGATCTTGTTTCTTCCCGTCACGGTCTCGGAAAGCAACGGCTGGGAGAGGCGAAGGAGCATGGATACGGCAGGGGCATTTCCCGGTTTTTCCTACGGGACGCTATTCTCCGAGACATTTGCCGTGGTATATCAATCTCTTATGTAAGCGCGGAGGGTGGGTGTCGTGTCCAACATGTGGCTCTCACGCGCCCGACGGCAAGCCATGAAGTGCCCAGAGGCTCAGACAAGCTTCCGAGACTTTTCACTTCCACGGACCTGTGCACCGCAAGGCTCCGGAACACGGCCAATTTCAATCTCCATACCTGCAACTTACGAGGACCCAAAGTCCCATAGACTGACGAGCAGACTGTCCTTCTCCTCGGGCGCCGCCGTGGGGCCGACATCGGTAAAGATGTGCTTAGGAATCATGAACTCCACCACCGGTGGTTTCCTGATATTCTTGATCATCTCCGCCTCGAGGAGCTGTGTAAAGTCATCTTAGCTTAGCTGCGTCGCAAGAACCACTGTTAGGGGTACTCACACTGCCATAGGAGTGGTCTAGAAAGTCTTCCAGGTTGTAAGACTGTTTTGTGAACTGCTCCGAGATGATCTTTGCGATGGTCGCAATGTTGGGATGGTAATGCGACTGCAGCTGCACAATCTCCCAGAGACAGCTGTCGAGTGCGCGCGTCTCCATGGGGTCTTCCTCGTCGGGCAGAAAGGGATCGAGGACGCCCTCGCTTTCTATCAGCTCCTTCTCCTCCTTTGTCCGCGGCACGCGGTGCATCATAAACGTGCAAAGGGGGTGCTTCTTGAATAGGTTATAGTACCACGGCACGATGACCGCGATCGCGCTCGGGGGCGCATTGAGCGACAGCCGGGCTAACCGCTTGATGAAGCTCGCCACCAGTACGGCAGGCAAATGTGAAGACGACAAGAAGGTGTCGAGGAGACGGAAGAAGCGAGACCGGTGTTTTGAGTGAAGTATATCCGCGTCGAGCAGCGAGTATAGTTTCCTATAAAACAAGGGGTAGTCGAGATTGCGCTCCTGGATGAGATAGAAGACTCCCGAGAGCGCCAGGAGCGATATTGAGCCGCCAGAGTTATAGCAGTCGGTCAGAAAGTCCATAAACAGCTCTGGTTTGGTGAACCAAGGGGCAATCGATGTGGCCATAATCTGCAGGATCTTCTTCCTCTGTCCTTTGCTGAGGCCTAGGTTGATGAACGCTAGCCACGCCTCCTGCGCCTGCTTCTTGTGTTGCGACAGGAGATAAAGCGGGTGCTTCTTCTTTGCTGGCGGATCAACGTAGAAATCGCTGAGCTCCTCGTTTGATCCCGGCACGTCCTCGATCCGGAGCAAAAGCCCAAAGACGCTACTCCGGAAGGTCTCGTCCTCGGGCTGGCCCTCCTCACTAAGGATGTCGCTGTAAACTGTCAGCACGAAATTGGCTGTAATGGTTAATGGAGGGGACCTACGCAATCGCCTGGAATGTGTAAAATCTGATATCGTCATATTCGGCGATGAAGTTGTCATAGAATGCTTGCCGCAGTTCCTCGAGCGGCGACTGGATGAGGGCGTTGATGATCTTCTTGAAGGAACTCCGGGGGAACGTTGCTTCGTCTCTGCCGTCCAAATGCTGCGCCTCTGCCTTGAGGACAGCCATGGACAGCATCAGAGCTTTGAGCGCCGGGCCATTGGTTTGGAACTTTGACAAGAGGACTGCCTCGTAGCCGGCAAAGTGATCCCTGAGCCATGCTGTGACGGTGGCATCTTTCTCCGACGCGTCCTGCCTCCGTACGAGGCTCCCCGAGACCAGAAGCCGTACAAACACCCGCCCGAGCGCCTCGGCAGCAGCCAGGGCGGCCTCTATATCGTCCTCCTGCTTTGCGGCGATTTCGGTCAAGGTGGCGATGTTGTTGTAGTGTTTCTTGGACTCGAGGATCTCGGATTCGAGGACTTGTATTTGCGATGCCAAGTCATTGTCAACGCCCTTGCCTGATTTCCTCCGCTTTTTGGACGGTTCGCCATTCTCTGGGCGCTTCCTCTTCGTTACTGGCTTGTCTCCTCCTTCCCTTGTGGCTGCTGGCATTTTGGCGGTTGTCTGGATCCGTCCGAATGTCGGTTTGTTGAGGTAGCAGATTCACAAGCCACCATCGGTTTACAAAATTTAGGTGGGGCTGAGCTGCCCAGCGCAGTGGAAATTTCGTCGGCAGCGCCAAGACAAGAACCCCTCCACTACTGATGAACTAGGTTGGATAGTCAGCTGGCTGCGCACGTGACAGACAGCTGCCGGCAAAGTTGGAACTCGGACAAGTTGCCCATTCCGATAAAACCTCAATTCGGGTCTCGCAGCATTCGCAACGTCCAACGTCGTCACCCAATCCACGTCCCGCATTTCCACAATGGCGTCCCGTTTGGCGAGAAGTGCTGTCGGTGAGTAGGCTGAATTCATTGGATCCGGGCGATGCAGGGCCAAGGCCAATTGAGGAGGAGAGTCGCTGACGAGAAGCAACCGCGTGCTGCTGCCGCCGTAGGGGCCGCCCGCCTCCGACCGACCATCTCCGCTCCGCGCGCTGTCCTGCCCGCCGTCTCGGCCCTCGCGTCGTCGCGCAGCAGCTCGTCGACCAACGTGCCCGCGGCCGACCCCAAGTCCAAGGCCCACTCCATCATCGACTCACTCCCTGGCAGCAGCCTCCTCTCCAAGACGGCCATCCTGTCGTCGGCTGCCGGTGCCTCCATCTACGCCATCAGCAACGAGTACTATGTCGTCAACGAGGAGACAGTCGTCGCCTTCTGCCTGCTCAGCGTCTGGGGCGGCCTGATCAAGTACGGTGGCCCTATGTACAAGGAGTGGGCTGAGGCGCAGAACGCCAAGATTAAGGGAGTCCTCAACTCGGCCCGCGACGACCACACCCAGGCCGTCAAGAGCCGCATCGACGATGTCCAGCAGATGTCGAGCGTCGTCGAGATTACCAAGTCCCTGTTCGATGTGTCCAAGGTACGGCCTGTCCGCCGTGGCTTCATGTGCCCGTGGCGAGGCATTGCGGGTGTATGCCGTCTCAGACTGACGATGGTGTGCTCGCTTTAGGAAACCGCCAAGCTCGAGGCTGAGGCGTACGAGCTCGAGCAGAAGACGGCACTGGCTGCCGAGGCCAAGACTGTACTTGACTCGTGGGTGCGGTACGAGGGTCAGGTGAAGCAACGGCAACAGAAGGAGCTTGCCCAGTCCATCATTGCCAAGGTGCAGAAGGAGTTGGAGAACCCCAAGGTCTTGCAGCAGATCCTCCAGCAGAGCGTGGCTGACGTCGAGAGTAAGTCTTTGTCACCCCCGTTGCAGCTTAAGCGGCTTTCTGGCTAACTAACGACCCTCCAGAGATTGTCGCGTCCAAGGCTCAATAGACAGGCCTCTAGAATTGCAAGCGCAAAAGTTCCCTTATAATTGTACCACTGTCCATAAACCCCATGTGAATTAGCCAATACAAAACTTGAAGTCTTGCCTCCGTCCCGTATGTCGCTCGGCCCGCTTGGTTCGGTTTGGGAGGAGAGCGGTAGGACGTCCTGTTTGGCTTGTTCTAGAGCTTTATGGGGCATTGGCCGCCGGCAGGAAAAGACAGCTCTTGACTTCTGTAAGGGAGCTGCTCGATGGCCGAAATAGCGCCTCACGCCGGCGTCAATGGCAGGGAGCTGCTCTTATGTTCTTAGATATCACTTGTTGCACTTTTGACAGTTCAAGTCAATACCGACGTAGTTGGCAAGTCTACTCCATATAACCCATTACTAACGTGTTATGCAGCAACTGTCAAACCAATACAAATACAGGGAGAAACAGGCTAGCATTGGCTCTCTGTTGAGTTGTGGCGAGGTTCATTCTTGGGCAAGAATGTCGAAGGCTTAAGAGTACCATTATCAATGGTCAATGCAAGGGAGGAAGGACAGTAAATATTTAGTCACTCCCCAACTGGCAGCTGCGACCTCGGCTCAACTTGGTCCAGTGCAATGATTCGCATGGCAATGCTGTGGGGCGGATGACAAGAGACCAATCGAAGAGGCTGTGCCAGAAGGTTGGTAATACAGCACGGTACGGAGTGGAAGAGAAGCCGCACCAAGTCACCAACAGCGTCCCGAGATCTCAGCCGACCAGTGAAACCCTTACGGGTTGGTGGGTGGTGGTGGTCGGAGGCAGCCCGTATTTATATCCCTCATACGCCCGAGGTTCATAGGTAGGTAGGTATGCATTATAAATCTGTAGCTTGAGGAATCCGTGGGAGTGAGCCCAGGTGTGCCCCGGATTCGCAATTCTGCGAGATAAGCGATGAAGCTTTGCTTATCTCATGCACGTCTCAGATGGCAACCGGCGGGTCGTTGGGTTCGACCTAGCTCAGCTGCTGCGTCTCCCATGTTTTCCACACGAGGCTTTTTCCGAGCAACGGCGTAGCGGGTATGGTCACGAGAAATTATTACTTAGTAGAGACAAAGAAAACGCCTCATATCGGCTTTGTAACATGAGGTTTGGAATGCCGGGTGTGGTAATGCAACGAAAAAAAAACGGCTTCCGAAGCCTGTAACTAACTCACTCAGTGAAGCAAGCCACTGAGAAAGAATCCCCAGCCCATTGGACCCGGGAACCCATCAGTGGGGCACGGCAGGGCACGAACCAGATCCGGATCTCTGTTGAGTGCTGAGGGGCACGGCTGGACTGTGCAACTGCGGCGCTAACCAACATGCTAGAGTGCCAAACGTGCCAGCCGTTTTGGGGGATGAGACGGTGCTAGGTAAGGTATTAAAGGGACGGGTGAGAAATTATTATGCCATCGTCCAATCGACAAGATGATATCATAGACGAGCCTACCTTAGGTTGCCCCCCGCGCCGTCATTTTGCCGTTCAACTTCAAACAATACTCTAGATGTTTTTTCAGTCAAACTGAACTAGCTTTTATCATCTTTATTTACGGAGACTGTCTTTTTTCTCGGGCTGCCGGTGCTGACGACCGCGATCCCACATTTTAAACCTTTTTTCCCCGAGCTAACGGTTTCGCGAGAGAAGAAGGCTGTCTCTTGGCATTACCTAAATTATTCCCTTGGTGCGCGGCGCCTTAGGCTGTCGGAGGCCGAGGGAGTAAGCGTCAAGGGAAAGAGAGAGACGTGAGACATGGAGCAGCAGCAACAGCAGCGGCTGGCGACAGGGGCGCGGGCGACGTCGCTGCGCATCGAGGAGCCGCCGGAGCGACGGCCGCTCCTGCAGCACCGGGCAACGTTCCCGCACGAGCTGGACCGCAACGTCTTTTGCTGCCACACGGACACGCACACGCAGTTGCCCGTCTACACAAACATCCACCGCATCCGCCGCGACATCATCTCGGTCATCGAGGACTACCTCAGTCTCGACCAGCTGCGCGACGTGCGCATCAACGTCTCGGTCGTGCGGCCTTTGGTTGATAAGCTGTACGAGCAGGATGACATTTCTATTGGTACGTTTCTTTCCATTATAAATATATATAAGAAAAGAAGAAAAAAAGAAAGGAAGATGAAAAAAATCTGACACGCCCAGTCTACTGCCTCCTCATCAACCGCGCCCACTTCCTCGATGAGCAGTCGCACCTGAGCAACCGCCAGAATGTCAACTTCACCCGCGCCATGCTGTGCGAGCTCATCGCCACGCGCATCCTGCGCCGCTTCAACGAGGACAACGAGGGCCCCGACAACCTGCTCGTGCTGGCCCACGTGCTCATCGCCGGCTTCGAGCCCTTCCAGAACTGCCCCGACGAGATCCGCCCCGACGTCCACCAGTCGGTCACCTGGCACCGCACCATCCCGGCCCTCGAGGTTGCCATTCTCAGCGAGAGCAGGCTGTTTCTCAGCTCGACCTCGTGTCAGAAGATGTGAGCCCCCTCCCTATCTCTGTCCCTCCTGTGTGCTAAGCAGAATTCAGCGTCGACGCCATCTACGAGGGCCGCGTCATCTACACGCCGTCGAGCTGGCTGGACCTGATCCCCGACCGCTACAAGCAGCGGCCCATCTCGCTGTACAACCCGCGCGAGGCCCCGCTGCTGAACCAGTACCGCCTCATTGTCCCGCGCACCAGGAACATGCTCGAGATTATCCAGTTCGTCATCCTGCTCGGCCTCTACGTCGCCTTCATGACCGAGAGGGATGCCAGCCAGTTTAGCACCCTGGAGGTGTGCTTCACCGTCTACGCCGGCGGCTGGGTCCTGGACCAGTTTGCCACCATCCTCGAGCACGGGTGGTGAGTTCCCCCCTCCTCCCTTTTCTTTACAATCTACCGTCCTCGGTGAGTTGGTTTCTGACCCCAACCTTGTAGGCGAGTCTACACGCAGAATCTCTGGTCGTTTCTCGACGTGACCTTCGCGGCCATCTACTGGATATATCTGGCCCTGCGCGTGTACGGCTGGAAGACTGGCGGCATCGGCCCGGCCCAACAGGCCCTGGACGTCATGGCCATGGCGGCCCCGGTGCTCATTCCTCGCCTGGCTTTCAACCTCCTCTCGGACAACATGGTCTTTCTGGCCCTCCGAGCCATGATGTCCGACTTCACTGCGCTCACCGCCCTGGCTGCCTGGTGCTTCTTTGGTTTCTTGCTGTCATTGGTCTGGCTTGGCAATGGAATCTTCCCCGCCGTGTGAGTTCTGACCTCGTCAATCCGGACGCCACACCACTGACAACCCCTGCAGGACTATCAGTAAGTGGATGATTTACATCTGGTTTGGCCTGGATGGCTCCGGCATCCAACACTCGGTTCGTGCCCACATATACGCCTGGGTGCCGCTTTAAGGATACATGGCTAATCAAACCTAGACTGATTTCCACGAAATTCTTGGCCCGTCGCTGATGGTCGCCTTTGCCTTTCTCGGCAACACGCTCTTCCTCACCATCCTCGTGTCGATGCTGTCCACAACGTTCAGCAACATCGCGTCCAATGCGTCTGCCGAGATCCAGTTCCGCCGGGCGGTGTTAACTCTGGAGGGAGTCAAGGCCGACGCCATCTTTGCCTACCAGCCTCCTTTCAACATCCTCGCCATCCTAATCTTCCTACCGCTCAAGTTCTGCGTGTCGCCCCGCTGGTTCCACAAGATCCACGTCTTCAGCGTGCGCCTGATCAACCTCCCCCTCCTCCTGATCATCGCCATCGCCGAGCGCCGCATGCTGTGGCCCCAGTCGCTGGAGACGCCGCGGTCGAGCATCGTGAGCCACGACGGCAGCGGTAAGCCGCGCAAGCCGCGCCCGTGGTTCTGGGAGAAGTGGGGCTTCTCGTCGTCCAACGACTTCTCGACCGTCTTCGACACGCCGCCGCCCGACTCGGTGCTGAGCGAGATCGCCACCGACGACGACCTGACGAGGAACCTCATCCGCCGCCAGTTCACGCGGCACGGCACGCTCGACGCGGCAGGGAACCAGCCCCCGGCGTTTGGGCTGGCGCCGGCGGCAGCAACACCAGGAACCGCAACGGGAGGAGGGTTGACGCCGAAGACGCCGAACCACCAGGGCAAGACGCTGAACCGGCGCGACAGCATCGCGCCGTTCCCCGGGCTCAGGGCGGAGCTGCAGGGCGTGCTCAGCGAGAGCGACGAGGTCAGCGCCATCACGACGCGCCTCGAGGCCCTCGAGGAGAGCACTCAGCGCATCGAGTCCATGCTGGAGCGCCTCATGGCCAGGGTCGACGAGGAGACCGAGTCGGTGCCCGAGGACATTGTCGGGTCGGGGAGCAGCAGGACGACGTTGCGAGATGATATTGGGTGAATTTTTTGAATGATGAGGCATGAGATGAGTTCAACATGATCCTGATTTGTGCTCTTTTTTCTCTCTCCGCGTTGCAGTTATTACTTACTTACATTTACATTTACACCCAACATACCCCGGATAAACGACGTGGTCGGTTTTGGCTTTGCGTTTTTGGGGCGGAGTTGAGTTGGATCATAGCGATTTGGCTTCCTGGCGAGGATTCCTCTGCTTAAGGTCTGCAGTGGGCTGTTTTTTGTCTTGTTAGATTACTCTTGTTGGGAATACCTATACAAGTACATTTTCATGTGGACGAGTGAGTGTCCCACACTTATTCTTCTTCCGACGGCCGTGGCTGTCGTCTCAACGTCGTGTGTCACCCGTCTAGTTGTGTTCATTCATCCATCCGGATGTCCACCGGTCTTGTTTGCGCCGTGCCGTCTGGCACCACTTCGTGTCGAGGGGACGAGGGCCCAGTGATTAAAATCGTGCGGTGAGCTCGAGCATGTTTTGGCCAAGGTACTAACTAGCACCTCCTGCGGCATTCACCTCTGCGCTTTCTTTGGTGTCGCTTCCTCGACAGGCGCCAGTTCTCATATCCCCCAGTTGCGCCTTCCGTGTCTGGATTACTACAACACCTTCCTCCCAGCTCGACAGACGAAGAAATAAATAGCCAGAGGCGTTTAAAAGATCGGCCCGCGCTCGGAAGGAGAGAGGTTATCGCTCCGCATCTCTCTTTCGTTCTTTCCTTCTCCGCGGAATTCCACAGCCAAAGCAACGCGAGAAACTCCTCGAGGGCCGCTGCCGCAGAACACACCTACCTTACCTACGACGGGAGTCAACTTTCCTACACAGGAAAGCAAGCCTCGGTTGCATTTATGACATCGCGGCACACGAACTAATACAACCAACCAACCAACCAACCACCCTCCCCCTGCGTTTTCTCCAGCGTGAATCCAACCAACAAAGCAGGGTGGAAGGAAGAAATACATCCAAGACAGCCAGCAACAACACACAACACAACACAAAAAGAGAGAGATAACGAAAAATGTGCATCTCAGAACACTACACCGACCCCACCTGCCGGCACACGTGGGCGCGCATCTGCCAGCCCTGCGGCCCGGGCATGGGCTTCACGACGTGCCCTTCCTTCTTCGGCAACGACGGCACGTGTATGTACGCGCGCCGCGGAGCCAAGCCGGCGCCGCGCGGCCCGTTCGTCGTCTACTGCGAGCCGTGTCCCGTGTGCGACCTGCGCGGGGCTTACGATCGGAATGCTGTTCGTGTTGTGGTGGGCGTGCGCCGCGGTGTGAGGGCCGGCGCTGGGCCGGGACGCGGCGACCCGGGTGTGGATTTCACGTGCTGTGTTATGTGAGTGACGGGACGCGGGTTAAGATAGGGGTTTGGTTGCTGGGAGGATGGGTTGAGGTGAGTTGGGTTGAGTTGCTGCGGTGTGTTTGTACATGGTGGAGGTGTGAGGACTGGTCTCGCTCCTGTCTGCGGCGGAAGATGGAGAGACTCATTTGATGGCTGGCTCTCTTTTTCTGGGCGAGGATCTTAAATTTGCGCTGTCTTGGTGTTGCAAGAGGGGTACCTACCTACTTACACAGGGGCAAACTGGCGCCGCAAGATATCAAGTAGAAGAATCCCAAGACAACCCCCGCCCGCCACAAACACACGCCCCCTAAGCTTACGGGCAGCAAGGAGCATCTATTCACATACCTTACCTACATCACGTCTGCGAAAAGTGCATGATGGGGGAGTAAAGAGACAATGGCATCATGTGGTCCTGAGCTAATCACGTGCCATCAGTTAGTTGCCTAAAATATTTCATTCCGTCTCCTGGGACAACCTGCCGGCCAAAATCACAGCACAGCACACGTCCGCACCCCCAAAAAAGGGTGAAGCAATCTCCAACCCCCTTTTTTTTTCCTTCAGATATCTCGCCCTCGCCCCCTTTTCCATTTGCCCGGCCGCCCGCGCACACCCATCTCCGCAAGAACAAAAGCCCGACCAGAAAAAATGCTGCCCACGCCCGACACATCGCACGTGCCGTACGCGCGCGTGTACGAGCCGGCCGAGGACTCGTTCCTGCTGCTGGACACGCTATCGTCAGCAAGCGAGACGGCATTTCTGGCCTCGCGCTTCGGCCCTTCTACCCCTTCCGCAACACCCACTTCCACATCCACATCCACAAAAACAACACCCGCACCACTAGTCCTGGAAGTTGGCCCGGGGTCGGGCGTCGTGGTGGCGTTCCTGGCAGCGCACGCGCGCGCCATCTTCGGGCGCGCCGACGTGCTGGCGGCCGCCGTCGACGTGAACCGCTTCGCGTGCGACGCGACGGCCGCGACGGCCGCCAAGGCCGTTTCCTCTTCCTCTTCAGGGGCAGGGTGTTTCCTCGACGCGGTGCAAGGCGACCTCGCCGCGCCGCTGCGCGCTGGCGTCGTCGACGTGCTCGTCTTCAACCCGCCGTACGTGCCGACCGAGGCGCTGCCACTACCACCACCACCGCCAGAAACCTCACCTGATATTATTGAGAGAAAGACAACATTTGAAGAGGACTCGCACCTGCTCGCGCTGTCGTACGCGGGCGGGCGCGACGGCATGGAGACGACGGAGCGGCTGCTCGCGGCGCTGCCCCTCACTTTATCAGCGGCGCGCGGCTGCGCATACGTGCTGCTGTGCGCAGGCAACCGGCCCGACGAGGTCAAGGCGCGCGTGCGCACGTGGGACACGGACTCTGAAGGACGGCCCTGGAGGGCCGAGACGGTTGGTTTGAGCGGGAAGCAGGCCGGGTGGGAGAAGTTGCAAATTGTGAGGATCTGGCGGGACTTGGTTCCTGCCGCTGCTGCTGCTGCTGCTGGGACTGGGACTGGGACTGGGGCCGGGACTGGAGTGACAGCTGGTGGTGGTTGTGGTGAGGATGGGGGTAGTTAAGTCGTGGGTTGCTGAGAGAGATAGAGGCAGAGACAGAGACAGACGTGAACACGAGATGGGGTGAAGAATGGAAGGGTTTTGCGTAGACACTGAAGTCGCTTTATTACTTACCTAGGTAGGTACTGTAGGAGGACGGAAAGGAGACGACATCGCCATGTCATACTGCTTGCAACAACGATACATATCATATCCTCACGCTGAACAGATTAGGTACTTTAGTTTTATTTTATTTCGGTTCTGTTTAAACCGCAGCTCCGGGAAAAATAAACCAATGAACCCATTCCATTCCATTCCATTCCATGCCCACCCATTTTAACATACCTACCTACCGACACGAACACCGAACAACAAAAATATAGAGAGATGATGTTTTATTTTATTTTCCCAACATCTTATTTCATTCCTTTTATATTTAGATCCAACAGCCCTGGCCTGGGCTGCTACGACACGTGGACAAAGGCGCGCTTGCGGAGGGCCGAGGCGTTGGCGGCCTCGACGTCGGCGTCCCACTTGTCGTCGACGTACTCCTTGACGCTCATGTCCTGGAGCTGCAGACCAACAACGCGGAGGGCGGCGATGTTGAAGCCCATCTCGTCCTTCTGGCGCTTGAGGGCGGCGCGGATATTTGCGCGGGTGCCGTCGAGCATGGCGCGCATGGTGCGCGAGGCGACGATCTGGCGGTGGTGCGTCTTGAGCATGAAGAAGAGGATGCGGCACGTGAGGGGGATGTTGAGCGAGCGCAGGGCGAAGAGGTTAAGGAAGGTGAAGAGCATGGGCACCGAGGCGAAGGGCAGCACGAGCAGCGCGTCGTGCAGCGCCGACGCCTTGATGCGCTGCAGCACGCTCATGACGTAGACCTCGGCGGTGATGTTGCCGAGGGCCACGAAGATGGTGTGGCGCTGCGGCGGCGCCAGGTGCGGGTTGCTGACCTTGGCTGCCTCCCACTCCTGCATCGTGTTGAGGTCCTCCATGCCGAGCGTGAGCGCCTCGGCGATGCGCTCGCCCGCCATTAGCGTCTCGACCGTCTGCTTGCTGGCCGCGCCCACCTCGCGGTCCGCGTCCTCGGTGTCGGGGTCGTTCTCGAGCGACGTCGTCAGCGTGTTCTCGTAGAGCTCCTCAATCTCCTTCTCGCGCTCCTCCTCGAGGAAGATCTGCTCGTCCGTCTCCTCCCACACGCGGATGCTCTTGTCGTGACTGGCGCTGACAAGGAAGCGGCCGTGGTGGCTGACGGCCAGCGCCCAGATCTCGCCGTGGTGGCCGTCTATGCGCTGGATCTGCTCAAACTTGTCCGCGTCCCAGTACTTGATGGTCCGGTCCTTGCTGGCGCTGAAAAAGTGGTGCCCGTTGCCGTCCGAGTTGTGCGGCACAAAGGCGACCTGCAGGACACTGTCCTGGTGTCCGAACAGCGCCTTGTGACAGTCACCGAAATCTAAGCCCCATATCCTAATGTTCTTGTCTGCTGAGCTGGTGACGATGAGTTTGCTGTCGTACGAAATGTCCATGCTGAGGACTGGGAGTTTGTGGCCGTAGAGGTTGAGGTACAGCTTCAAGCTGTCGGTGAAGAAGACCTTTACCGTGCTGTCGAGGAGGGCGACAGCGAGGAGCTTGGAGTCGGGAGAGAAGCGTAGGCTGAGGATGTCGTCGGACACCTTGAGTATCTTCGACTGCACGAGCTTGAGTCTTGGCGTTGTCCTGGTCGTGCCCAAGACCTGCTCTTGGACGATCCTGAACTCCCAAAACTTGGCCGTCTTGTCGGCGCCTCCTGACACGACCGACCTTCCGTCTGGGTGGACCTGCAAGGCCCAGATGGCGCTGCCCTCGTGGGCGTTGACGCTCTCGAGCAACGTTGCCGAGGCTACGTCGTAGAGCTGAAGCTCACCCTCTTTCGTCCCGACCACCACCACCTTGTCGCCGGGCAGAAAAGCACAGCAGAGGGCGTAACCGCAATCAAAGGTGCGGATGCATGTCTGGGTGCGGATATTCCAGATCTTCAGCGAGCCGTTGGCCGCAGATGCCAGCATCTTGTCGTCGGAGCTGACGGCTAGGGACCGGATGTCTGTGCGGTGTCCGGGAAGGTCGACGGCCAGGGCCCGGTTGTAGTCGGGGGCGTCGGTTTTTGTCTTAAGCTTATCCCTGCCAACGACGGTGTAAAGCTCGATCAGGTTGTTGGTGCCTCCGACTAGCAGTTTGAGGTCCTTCTTCCCCTGGCTCATGGCCCAGTCGACAGAGCGGACTTTGCCAGTAGTTCGGACTATGACGTGCTGCGTGAACACGTCTGATATCTCGGCGTCGTTGACGTCGTCAGCCTCGTCTTTGCCGTCCCCCATATCCAGGTCCCCCTCTGCTGCCTTTTTTCCTTTGGTGGCGGCAAGTTTCTCTCTCCTCCTCCTCCGCTTCCTGGCCAGGGTCTTCTTGACCTCGGTCTCGGTCCGCATCCTCCAGACCTCGACGGACTTCTCGATTCCGTGCACGGCGAAATAGTCGCGACGGGGATGGAAGGTGACCTCGACGGCCCTCTCCTTGCTCTGGCGGTGCAGCGTTCCCCTGTCCCGGAGGAACTTGACGGTCTGGGAGAGGTCGACCTTCTGGGCCGACGAGGACAGGGCGGCGATGTCCAGAGCCCACACCTTCATCTCGCCGTCGTTGCCAGCCGTGATACAGCCGCTGGAGTCGGGCGACACGCCTAGGGCCCAGCACTCGCCGTTGGTCTGGGCCACGTGGGTCTCGATGCAGTGGCGCGACGACAGGTCCCAGAGCTTGATCAGGGCGTCCTTGCCGGTTGTGAGGAGGAAGCCGTCGGCGGGCTCGCTGTCGACGACCATGGCCAGGTCGTCGCCGCCTTCTGTCTGCACGTGGGTCTCTGGCTCGACGAAGCGCAGGCCGGTGACCTGGTCCTTGTGGCCGCGCAGCTTGTACTGGCCGACCTCGGCAATCAGATCCCAGACGATGACATCGGTGTCCTTGGCGCCGCTGGCGAGACGCACGCCGGTCTTGTCGAAGGCCAGCACGGTGATGGGCGACTTGTGGCCGTTGAAGCTGACGACGGCGGTGGCGATCTTGCTGTCCCACAGGCGGATGCTGCCGTCGTCGTAGCCGACGGCGAACAGGTCGGGGTCGGTGCGGCTCTGGGCGATGGCGGTCACCTGGGCGCGGCAGTTGTCGTCGCGCCAGCGGCTGAGGAGCTCGCCCTTCTTGACATGCCACACAAGCACCTCCTCATTGGCGGCGACAACGGCATGGCCAGCGCCAGTGCTCGACTTGTCCTTGGCGGCCGAGGTCCAGACGAGATTCGAGGTGCTGGTTGCGACGAGGCCGAACGACTTGGAAGGCTCGAATTTGCTGTCAATCACACACGGCACGCACGACCTGGTCAGAGCGTGTCCTTCACTGCTTGCTTCCTTCCCTGCTTGGCTTCCTTCCTTCGGGGAGGGGCCCTTTGGTTATGCAACTCACAGATAGGACTTTACCATGTTGGCGATGCGATGGCAGAAACAGTCAATCCCCGAGTCTGACGGCAAGCGCAGTTCTCAATGTCAGTGTGTCGTCGTCCATTAGCGTCCTGGTGGAATGCGATGCGATTTCGAGTTCCGCGACTTTTTTTTTTTTTTTTTTTTTTTTTTTGGCTGCGATAAGATAAGAATTTGCACCAGCCACAGCACAGCACTTCACCCACCAAGGTTCCTGCACCATGTCCTGGCCTTAGTGCTGTGGCTTCAACTACAGCGGTCACGGATGCGGCTGGTAACTTCACTGCGGGGCAGCTCCTCAACAGGGGTCCCCGTAACGTTCGGGAGTTGCAGGGGTTAGGGTCCTTGGGGTGCTCTCTCTCCGCAGCACATCACGCATCGTCAGCCTTCCCACCTCAGAACGGTCGCCGCCCCACCACCGCCCTCATCGTCGACAGCAACAGCAACAGTACAAGGCCGGCCCGCAGCGCAATTGAGCAAAGATGCTGCTGCTCGACTACCAGAACGTGCTAATACAGGCGGTGCTCACGGAGCGGTTCTCTGGGTAATTATGCTTGCATCTCTCTCCCTTGTGCTGATGACGGCATGGCCATTCCTTGGTCGTTTCGTGGCTTGGAATTAAGAACAACTACTGACTTCTGACAACTTCTAGAGCGCCGCCCGTGTCCATCGACCAGACCGTGTCCGACTTTGACGGCGTCATCTTCCACATCTCGACGCCCGAGTCCAAGTCCAAGATCATGGTGTCGTTGCAGATCCGCTGCTACAAGGATCTCGTGCGCTACGGCGCCGAGCAGGTCCTCAACCGCGAGTACGGCCCCTACGTCGTCGCCCCCGAGATCGGCTATGACTTCTCCGTCGTCGTTGACCTCGACAACCTGCCCGCCGAGAAAGAGGCGCGCGACGAGCTAGTCAACAAGATCTCCCTGCTCAAGCGCAACGCCATGGCCGCCCCCTTCGAGCAGGCCTACCAGGAGCACTACCGCCTGCGCGAGGAGGCCGCCAAGTTCACGTCTGAGGAGGCCCCCCAGGGTGTGCGCGAGGGAGGCGCGGTCAAGGCCATCCAGTACCGCGAGGAGGAGGCCATCTACGTCAAGGCCAGCCACGACCGCGTCACCGTCATCTTTAGTACCATCTTCCGCGAGGAGACGGACCGTGTCTACGGCAAGGTCTTCATCCAGGAGTTCGTCGACGCCCGCCGCCGCGCCATCCAGAACGCCCCCCAGGTCCTTTTCCGCAACGACCCCCCCCTGGAGCTGCAAGGCGTGCCCGGCGTCAACAACACGGGCACCGGAGAGGTTGGATATGTCACCTTCGGTATGTACTGCAAGACGGAACCCCCCTTTTTTCATCCGAGTGCTGACGAGAAGTCGGCCAGTTCTGTTTCCTCGCCACCTCACGCCCCAGCGCATGCCCGACGTCATCTCGCACATCCAGACCTTCCGCGACTACTTCCACTACCACATCAAGGCTTCCAAGGTAGGCGACTTCTTCCCAGTTTCCGGAAAGTTGATCGCATGCTTAAACTCTCTTACTTCCTAAGGCATATATCCACTCTCGCATGAGACGGCGGACGGCAGACTTTCTGCAAGGTGAGTCCCCCAACCCCCTTTTCCAGACTCGGCAGCTTGTTGTCGCTGACACCACGCGCACACAGTTCTACGCAGAGCGAGGCCCGACAGCGAAGAAAAGGAACGCAAGACGGCAAGTGGAAGGACGTTCAAACAGGGTGTTTAAAGCGGCTTCTTGGCGTTTTTCTGTATCCAGCTCGGGACGGCAGCTGTGGGGGAATTCCCCGGCCCCTTTGGTGTTGTTGGTTGGGATCGGCATGACCAGAAACGACATGTAGCCTGCGGATGCGATATGCAGCAAAAAGTTGATTTTTTTCTCCAACGAGGTACTATATCCCGACTGCGGTACGCGTGAAGTTGCCTCACTTTCTCTCACCTCGCGGCAGTAAGAGCGCTCAGATCAGTTCGGGCACAGACTGTATGGACACTCCTCTCCTCGCCTGGTTAGGCAAGATTCTCACTGACTTGCGCCATGCTTACTGCCTACCGCAGGTATCTAGGAGCCATTCTATTCATACCAGTTTCTAGCCGAATGAGTCGCTGGTGAAATTCGGTCTGAAAGGGTGTACTGTCAAATCTCTTGCCCTGACTTCACCCCTGCTCCTGGCCTCTTTTCTGCCTTGGCCCCCTTCAAGGTGTTGTTGACATGAAAGACAAAATTACAGCTCTGCAAGATTTCAACTCTACAAGATCTCAAACGAGTATAGTGATCTCAAATATTTCTTAACCCTTTTTTGAGAAAATATTTGTCTCCGCTAGAACCCCAAAGCCACGGGCGCATCTCAGTACGACCACGGCCGCGCCTTGTAACGAGGGTTCTCCTCGGGTCTGCTGCCGTAGGGGATCTCGACCTCGTCCGGGTTGATGTACCACGAAGGGTCGCCGCTGGTCTGCGTCGTGCTCCAGCCGTTGCCGAGCCAGCGCAGCGCGTTGTCAGACCCCCCGTCTTCTGGGTCTCTGACGGCCTCATAAACCCAGTCCTCCCAGCGCGGCGACCGCAACGCCTCGAGCGCGTGCAGCGTCGACCCGGGCCACAGGCCAACAATGTGGTCGCCGCGGCGGTACCAGCTGCGGCAGTCGTCGAGGTAGACAGTGTTACGAAAATAAGCGGCCACGTAGGCCGAGAAGTCGCGCACGCGCGCCGCCTTGGGCTCCATGGCCGCGTAGTCTTCCTTCTGCAGCTTGCGGATCGCCGCCACCACGTAGTCGGCCTCGGCCTCGAGGATCTTGGTCAGGCTGCCGAACCCGATCGCCGAGTTGGGCCCAAACATCATTAGGTAGTTGGGGAACCCGTCGACCGCCACTGACAGGTAGCTCTCGGGCAGCGCCGCCCACCGCTGTGCGAGCGTCTGCCCGCCCCGCCCGACCACCTCGAAGCTCGGCGGCGCCGACACGTGGAACCCCGTCGCGCACACCAGCACGTCGACGTTTGTCACTTGGCGCCCCGAGGCTAGCTCCACCACTCCCTCTCCCCCTTCAGAGCCACCACCAACACAGACAATCCCATCCCCGAACACGGTCTCGACATTCTCCGCGAGCAGCGCCTCGAGGAACCCCTTGCCCGGCGTCAGCCGCCGGCACCCCGGCGCGAAGTTAGGGATCAGTGCCGCGGCCAGCGCTGGGTTTCCCGCCAGCGCCGAAGCCATGCCGGCCCTGAACACGGCCTCCACCTCGGTCTGCATCCGCGCTTTGAGGACGGTCGACTCGTGGATCAGGTTGCCGCCGTCCTCGAACACTTTGCGGAACTGCAGGTACTGTGCTGCGTCGGCCGCGAGCGTGTCGCACTGCTCTTGCGTGACTGTTTTTTTGTCAGTTTCTTTTTGTTCTGGGGGGGGGGCTAAAACTCACACGCCGTGACAGCCGGGTCGAGGCCGAGCAGCGCCATGGCCTGGTCGCCAAAGGCCGACGAGATCCACGTCGGCGAGCGCATGAAGCACGTCAGCGACGCGCCCTCGACCTTTTGCAGGCTCGGGATGATCTGGATCGCGCTGCTCCCGTTGCCGACGACGCCGATCTTTTTGTTGCCGAAGTCGTAGCTGTTGTCAAGTCGAGTCAAAACACGAAAACCCCCTCGTATTGTCTGCTGCGTGAGATGGGGAACAGCTGACCTCTCGTCCCACTCCCCCGAGTGCATGACCTTTCCCGGGAACTTGTCGAGCCCCGGGATCGCCGGCCACTTGGCCTGATTGAGCTGCCCGCGCGCCGTCACCACGACGTGCGCCGCGTCGTCGAACGAGGCCCCCGTGGCGAGGTTCTTTACGCGGAGCTTCCTGCGCCGCCGTGAACTGTATTTAGCAAAGCTACCATGCATACATGCACTCACCCCGTTCCTAAACCCCGAGGCACAAACAGATAAAGGGGGAGAGAGAGAGGGGGGGGGGGGGGGGGGGGGGGGAAACATACCACTGCTTCGCGGCGGCGTCCCAGGCGCAGTGCTCGACCTCGTGCGCCGTCTTGATGAAGCGCGTGGCGCCGAACTTGGCCGCCACGTCCTCGAGGTACTGCCGGATCTCGCTGCCGGGCGCGTAGAGGTTGGACCAGCGCGGGTTGGGCGCGAACGAGTACTGGTACGAGTGGGCTTTTTATTCGATGGTCTGTGTCAACAGGCCTGGACGTGTTTTTCTGTCTGGTGGTGCATGGTAATAGTAAAGGGGGCAGCACATACACGGGATGTCGCAAGCAACGCCTGTATGTCTTTGTTAGCCCTCTTAGTTCCAGCTCTTTGCCTTCTCAGGGGTTTATGGCGTGCATACCAGGATATTTGTTCAGTAACCTAGATAACACGCAAATTCCACCCCGCTGGTCAGCAAAAAGTTTAGGAAGCCAGGGGGAGGGGGCAGTTCAAGTCCGGCTGCCTTTCCAAAGGGGCTCAAGATGGCTCAAACGCTGCCGCGCTGCTCCTACATACCACACGCCGCCGACGCCGTCGTTCTTCTCGTACACGGTCAGGTCGATGTTGCGCAGCTTCTCGGGTATCCTAGTTTCGTCTTGTCTTAGCGCTCGCTGTATACACACACACACACACACACACACACACACACACACACATATCATACCACTCCCACGACTTCAAAAGATACACATCTCTCTCTCTCTTTGTCTTTCTTTCCACCACCACCATGGGAACTCAGCTGCCTAGCTAGGTAGGTACCCACCTGATAGCGGCCAGGATGCCCGCGAACCCGGCGCCCACGACGACGACGCGCAGTGGGCGCAGGTTCTCGACGGGGACGGGCTTGAGGGTGAACAAGGGCGGTGTGTCATCCTCGGCGGCGGCGGCATGGTGGCCGTTGCCGTTGCTGTTGCCGTTGCCGTTACCGTTGCCGTTGCCGTTGCCGTTGCCGTTGCCGTTGGGGGCAGCAGCAGCCATCTCTCCTGACCGACCGTCCGTCTCTTCGATTCGCCAGACACGGTCAGAGTTGTTATATATAATCCTCCGCTGTTTTCCTATTCCCTCCCCTTGGCATCAAGTACAGAATAAACAGATAATGTATGTCCAAAAAACAAAAATAATAACGTGCTGCTTCAGGGTATTTATTCAATCTATTGAAGACGGGTTCCCATCTCCTCTGATACACACAGATATCAAGGATTGGAACGAGTCCGAGGCAGGGATGAAGGCAAATTGGAGGATGGGCCTGGGAAGGGATTCGGAGATAGCTAGCTACATAACCTCTCTCTCTCTATATATATATATAGACTACTAGCACATACAGTTAAGCACAGCACAGGGGAAACACGCTGTATCCCGCCTCCCAAGGGCAGCGGAGTGGAGTGGGGTGGTGGGAGCTATAGGTATAAAGTAAACTCGTTCGAAATCGGGATAGGCTACCGGCTATGAGGGGGGCGTTTTGGGGTATGTATGTGACTAAGGAACGAACTAACAAGCCGTCTGCCGGAAGTCCGCCTCGTTCCCTTTTCCCTTTACCTCGACGAACACGTACGTGACTGAATACCCGGGGCGGCATAATACCCAGGGAACCACCACCCTCGGTACCTACCGACCTACCAACCTGCCTAGCCATCTAACCCCCCATCGAAACCATCCCACGCCGCGAAAGGAACCCAGCCGAAAAAGGAGACAAGATACGGGAATAGACAGAAGACAGACAGACATGGAAGCGGGGAAACGGGGATGGATACCGGCACCCACCTAGCCCGAAGAGGAAGGGTAGAAAGAAGGGCCAAATAAAATGCGGAGGGGGAGCTGACGCCAGTATTGGTCATCCATCCATCCATCTAACCTTTCTATCTTACCTTTGTCTCTGGTAATGGAGAACCGTGGACACAGCGTGGCGTGGCGTGGCGTGGCGTGGTGTGGTGTGGTATGGTGTGGTGCGGTGGATGGATGGGTTAGTAGCAGTGCAGTGCAGTGCAGGCAAGCAGGCAGGCAGCACCTTGGACAGTTACACGACGTGTGCGCCTTGGTACGTACATACACCATCAACCGGCCCGGGTATAGCATCCGACCGCCTGCCCAGGCCAAGGACGGCAGACCACGCTGCGGCGTGCCGAGCTGTAGGGCGGGGTTCGGGGGAGGGAGGGGTTTCACACGTCAAATCAAAGCCAGACAGGAAAACGGTCGCCGAAGCTTCGGCTCATGTCGGACCCCTAGTCACAAAAGACAAGACACGCCATCACGATACAGTACATAATTTTCAGTAATCCTCTAAGGATTCTATGGTAGACATCTAGAAATAACTCGCACCTTCTTCCTTGTCTGGCGCCCATGACTTCACGTCAAAGGCGTCCGTCACCTAGAAATAACTCGCATCTTCTCCCTTGTCCGGCGCCCATGACTTCACGTCAAAGGCGTCCGTCAAGCAAGGTGCAGCACACTTCTGTGCCCGCGTATACCACAGACCTTGTGGTCGGCCCATCCTGTCTCTTTCTCTCTCCATCAAAAGAGAACTTGCAAGGGAAAAAAAAATGCCAAAGGGGTATCGAGAAACGAAGCAAAAGAGCCGGCGAGCAGAGCGCAAAGCGAAGGAATTAGGTAGGAGTGCAGACTATCACCATCACAGTTCGATGAAGTCTTTCTGCTCCGAGAACTCGAGACCGCCCGTCTCGTCTTGGCCAATGAACTCGTCAACCTCGTCAGAGTCCACGTCGTCGCTATTCACCGACTCTCCGTCGTCGTCGCTCGAGACATCCTCCATCTCGTCGTTTCCGGATACCTCTCGGGCGTTGGTCGCTCTGCGGAGGACGCTTGCCCTCTCCCGGTGGGGCAGCTTACAGCCCTTGGATTTACAGACGCCCGTGTTGCTGAAGTCAGGGCACTCAAAAGCATGGCGGTCAGGGCAGCTGGCGCCCTTGTCGCAGTAGCCGTAGAGTCCAAACGCTTGACATACCGGGGCAGCTGGAGAAACTTTCACGTGAGCATATCTGCAGTGAGGCTTGGTGCAACTGTCTCGCACAAAGTGCAGGCAAGTCGGCGCTCGCTCCGCCTTGATGTCATGCGAGAGATCACACGACTCTCCGTTGGCGCACTCCCCTTGTTGTAAATAATCCTTGCAGGCAGCTACCTTCTCCGGGTCGTGGATGTACCGGCATCGCGGCCCGATCGTGCAGGAACCTGTGGCTGCGTTAGTGGGGATTCGCGGACTTACCGAATCCCAGTCGACCCGATATGGTCTCGGGCCTCGTAGTTTGTTGGGGACAATGGAGTTACCGGTCATGGAGAACGCTTTGCAAGGCACGTCGACCTTCTTAACCGCTCCGGCTTGTCTACCAGACGCTCGCGTCAGTTGTTGCACGCAAAAACCCGGACGCACATACCGCTGGGCCTTCACGATTCCGTGTCGGTAGAGGTTCCCGTTCTTGCTTCGGTAGAATTTGACCCCTCCGACGACTGCCATCTTTGGCGTCGCCTTTGCCGAGTTGCCGTCACCTAGATCCACATGTGTGAGCGCATGTAACGAGCATAGTAGCCGAAGTCCTGACGCACCGGGAACTTTGACAAGCTTGCTGCCGTTCTTAGCGACGAGGAAGCGAATGCCCTGGACGGCAAGCTCGTACTTGCCCGCGGGCGCCTGCTCGCTCGCCTGTCCGGATCCTGTGCTAACAACATTTGCCATGCGATGTAAATGTTTGATTAGTTTAGTTCGCTCACGCTCATCTCTGGCCGTTTGCTTTTGGCGGCGTGTTTGCTCGATGGCCCGCGTCCGTGCCTGCGTCTCCTTCTCGTAAATCGAAGTGTTGATCAACTGAAGATGGCGGTCGGTTTTAGTAACCCACGAAGGGCTAGACGCGTCCGACGCGGTTGCCGACTCTGCGTCGCCGGGGTTGGCGTTGCTGGATTGTGACGTATTGTTGAGGACGAGTGATCGGTGGCGATGGACGGGCTGCACGCGGGGGCTGTAATGGCTGCGGTATGGATGGCCTCCACGGTGCCACGAGCCCGAGGCTCCAAAGCTGTGATTCCGCTGAGGCCGGGCGCCGTGCACCGGAGTGAACCCTGCCTGCTGAGTCTTGTGGCGATTGATGTGGCCAGCGACACGGCTGATTCGCGCCATAATTTCCTGATCTTCCTCCGACATCTGCGCGGCAGACCTTTGGTTTCCTATCTCTTTGGGATGGAGGCAATTGACGAAGGGGGATGGGTACATACAGGCAGTGCTATGTGTTGTGGGGGGAGGGGACGAGAGGGAGGAACGCGTTCGTTTGGGGTGCGGGAGGGAGAATTTGAAGGGAAGGAGATGTCGGGTGAGCTGAAGGCGAAAATACTCGGGTCAGCTTTCAAGTGAACGCGCGCTAAATCCGCCCAATAAGGTCCTGCAACCGTCATCTTTCACAGGCGATATTTCTTTGTTCTTCCATTCCCGTCGTCAAGTCCTCCGGGGCAAGAAAAGAATCAATTCACGCTCCCATCACCATTACCGGTGTCTCTCGGCTACAGCACAGGGTATATTCTTGCCACCTCTTCATTTTCTTCCTCTCCGAGGCGCTCTCTTCGATCTCGTTTGCGGTCGGATTTGGTTGCGCGGCCTTGTCTGCGGGGCAAGGTGCAGCACGCTCCCGCTTTCCTTCCCTGGTGTTGGTAGGGATAGGGTCTCCACTTTATTCCGCCCGAGCCCCATTTTATTGACCTCAGCGTCTTCAACGGCCTGCACTTCAAGTGCTGCTTTCTCGCCGCCGCATTTCGCCCTGTTTCCGGCAACCTGGAAACAACCACATCCCACACCGCGCACTTCGCCATACACTAAACAAGCCACTTAGCACGTGCAAAGATCATTCCAGTCAGCCCACAGTCGCGCGGACTGCGCTTGTAAGCTCAAGAAGATGGCCGAACCGGCAAAGGTGAATCAGGAGCCCGACGTCGCCGAGTCGCCCTTTGCCGACGACGAGCTCGACGAGTCAACCGACCTCGAATTCTTTGACACCAACGTCGAGAACAACCCTTATGGGCGCATGTACCTGGCGCGTCTCCCTGCCTACGTGTGGCAGGCGTGGGCCAAGCTCGACGAAGATGCCGAGATCAAGATTGGGCGGATTCGCCAGTGGCAAGACGCCAACGGGAACCTGGTCAGCCGCGCCCGGTGATGGATTGCCTATAGACAATGACTGGAATGCTAACATGCATATGTACCTATTTACAGAAACTTCAAATGCTGCTTCGGTCAGACCTCGCACAACACCAGAGCATACCAAAAGAGTATAACATGGACATCACCAACCACGAAGTCAACAACACATTCATCTTCAGTGAACAAGACCTGCCAAGCTATGCCGCCAAGAACAAGGAGAAGGCGGCAGCTATTGCCCAGGGCATTCCGGCTCACCTCCTCCGTCAGCAGCAGCAGAAGATGGCCGAGCCGCAGCCACCGCAGGAGCGGGGCAAGAGATTTGTCCCGTACGCTCGACGGGCTATCCCTAGTGAGAAGCAGCCCGAACTGTTGCTCCAGAGACATTCTGCTGACCCTTTTCCCAGAGAAAACCGCCGTCACCGGCACTGTCAAACATGAAGTGGCATGTGTGCCGGAGCAAAATATCGAAACCGACGTGTACATGTCGAGCATTTCGAAAGAGGCCGACAACGCAGCGAGGAAGACCAACCTCGTCAAATCGGGCCTGCCACCCAATGGGCTCAACAGCAACCAGAGCCTGGACAACTTCATCGTATGCTTCCTTTTAATTTTGTGCTTGTGCTGCAATGCTGACACGAGGGCGTCTAGAAAACAAAGGAGAAGCCCACCAAGGCGAAGAAGATGGAGAACAAGGTGGCTCGCTGGGAAGAGCAGAAGCTTCTGGACAGGATTGCCGACTGCTTCTCGCAGTACAAGTACTGGGCGATCAAGGCGCTCCGGGGTAGGATCCCGCAGCCGGAGGCCTTCATTCGGCAGACGCTGGAGAAGATTGCGCTTCTACACCGGTCTGGACCTTATGCCAACACGTGGTCTTTGAAGCCCGGATATGCAGACATGATTCTCAAAAACCGCTCCCAGCCCAAGGGCGAGGGGGTCGCTCCAAAGCTGAACGAGGACCTGGCATCCGACGACGACGACGACGACGACGACGTGCAGATGGAAGACGTCGTCATTTAATTGTCTTGTATTGCTTAAAACCTTGGGTGATTTGAGTTTGCAGGTTTGCAACACGGTATTCTCAGGGGGGCGGCGTTTGGCGGTTTGCTTCTCTCCGGTTCGGAGGTCTGGAGTTCCATGGGCCACATAGATGATACCCTTTGCATCACGAAAACAAAAATAAAATAAAACAGAGGTTGGTGTAGAGCGGCACGCCGCAGCTGTGCAGGCACAAGGCCATGGAATCATGGGATGGGCCGGCATGCGTAGTTATTGCGCGAGGGCGCTTTTGGAGATTTATTCGAAGTATACTTGGTATTTATACGCGGTGCTGCAGCTGCAATTGGCCAGCCTTGGTCGGCCATCCAAACTGGGCACCTGGAGCGTCTCATTCACTCATTCACACATGGCGACATGTAAGGTACAGGTACAAAAAAAGCCTTCGAGCCGGGATATCTGCAGCCATCTCTTGATTGCGCCTGCTCCCTGCTGTAGCGTTAAACCTGCACCGTGGCCAAAATGTGGGGTCCGCCATTTATCATCATAACCTCCGTCCCAAGACCGAGATGTCTCGCTGCCCTCGCCGTCGCCGCAAGTCCCCGTGATATGCCGAGGCATTGCAGTCACGTCGCTGCACACTTGCACTTATACTCACACTTACGCTCACACTTGCATTCACGTTTACACTCATGCTCACGCTCTCACTTACACGTGTCGTCATCATCACCCTATCTCAACGCTCTACCACAACCACCACCGCCCCCCATTATCAAAATGAAAGGCCTCATCGTCCTCGACTTTGACGGCACCATTACCTGCCGCGACACCATCGCCGCCCTCGCACACCGCGCCATCGCCAATCAAGACGACGACGGCGGCGGCGACGAGAGAAGAAGAAAAAGGGAATCATGGCGCGCTGTCGTTGATGCCTACCTCGCTGACTACCGGCGCCACGTCGCCAGCTGGAAGTACAGCTCCCCTGCTAGTGGTGCTAGTGGTGGTGGTGACAATGGACTTGCCGGTAGTGGCGATGATGATGGTGATAATGGTGGCGGTGCTTTGGCTCTTGAGCGCGAACTGGCCTTCCTCGAGAGCCTGTGTATTGTCGAGCGGGCGTCGCTGGCGCGCGTCGCGGCGGCGGGCCTGTTTCGCCGCCTGCGGAGGGCCGATTTACTGCGTTTTGGTGCTAAGGCTGTTGCGGCTGCTGCCGGGGGCGGTGCTGGGGATGTCAAACTTAAAGGGGATGGTGATGGCGGCGATGATGCCGTCTACCTCCGGGCAGGGTTCCGTGAGTTTGTCCACGAGGTCGGGGGAGCTGTGGGAGGGCGGCGGGGTGATGGTAGGAATGGGGATGGGGATGGGGATGGGAATGGGTGGCGCCTCGGTCTTGTCAGTGTGAACTGGTCTGGGGCGTTTGTCGAGGGCGTCCTGGGCGAGACTCCCGCGCGGTTTGCTGCTGGGATGCGGGTCAACGAGGTTTCCTGGCCTGACGGCCGCATCACGGGCCCGTCGCCGTTGTCGCCTGCCGAGCACGGCGAGTCGCCGCCGCCGCCGCTTCTGACCGCCGGGGACAAGCTGGCGGCGTTTCAGTCACTAAAGAGGGCGTCGGCGGCGGAGGAGGATGAGGAGAGGAGTAGAGAGGTTGTGGTGTATGTCGGCGACTCGGTCACGGATCTGGCGTGTCTGCTCGACGCTGATGTCGGCGTGGTCATGGTCGACGGCGACGGCGACAAGGCTGACAGCAAGCTGCTGCAGACGCTGCGCCGTCTGGGGCTCACTGTGCCTCGCGTGGTGGAGGGTGGTATCTCGTCGCCGCTGCCGAGGCTGGTGTGGGCGAGGGACTTTGACGATATTCTGCGGAGCAAAATGCTGGATAAGGCTCTCGTTGCGGGGCGGCAATGACAATGGCGCTTATTGGTAGTTGTATTCTGCCTTCTGTTTAACTTCAATTTCTGTGGGGGAAGCCGTTGAGCTGCTTCTTTGACTGTTTCTTGTTATGTTGGGCGCTGTTGGGCATGAAAGGCTGGCACCTGGACTAGTTTCTTTGTTGCTGTCAAACTAACACCCGTTTTCTCTGTGGACGCTGACACTAAATAGTCTTATTTGTTATTGTCAGGCATGTTCTAGAACAACAGACATGCCTGTTTCAACAGAAATGGCGGCTTTAAAGAGTATATCAAAGAGATAACGCCTACTGCGTCTCCAGTATGCAGGTTCTCGTTTACTCTTGTGGTGTGGCGACTCCTTACGGCCGTATAGACCTGATCTTTCGTGCATAGCAACATACGGTGATACCCCCCCCTATCTCCAGGTCATCATGTGCGTTCATAGGCGTGTGATTTTCACCTGCGGGCACTACATGTGGCAAGACCTCTTGCTGCCATGCCCTACCGAGAGGGCGTTTGACCGCGGCGAGAGATTCGAGGCGTGCGACATCATGTGGTCCCATCCCTATAGCACGGTCAAGGTGGAGACGGGCTGCCGACGCTGCGTCGCGCAGCAGACGGAGGACAAGTCCAAGTCCAAGACTATCATTGAGTACCTGAAGAACAAGATCAAGGAAGTCAAGCCGCCGCAGTCGCCGCCCACTGACGATGACGCGGACTGGTCTGCCGAGGACGACAAATCTTGGCTCCCTCCGAAACCGAGCGAGCCGGCGGCAGACGAGGAAGAGCTGTTCCACGAGCGCAAGGGAGCGACGGCCGTGGGAGGCGACGAGCAGCAGGGCTGGCTGCCTGACGACGACGCGGACTGGTCTGCCGACGTTGACGAGTCTTTGCCCGGCCCCGAGACTACTACCGTCGAGGACGAGGGAGGACACCACCGCGAGGAGGACGACGGCTCGTCTACCGACCTGAGCAGCCGCGGCGCCGCCGGGATTCTCACTCCCACGTCCGACGAGAACTACAGGCCAGGCGAGATGACGAGTGCAAGTCTTGCGAAGGCACTCAGAGCACCACCCCTCGGGAGTCTAAGTTCTAGTCCTCCTAGTCTGCAAGAAACCGATCTAGATGCTCCTCCCAAGCCGCGGCGCTCTCTTCTCCCTACTCCCGTCAAACGCAGGTGACCTATCTTGGTTACTTGGCCTGTCTCTGAATAGAAATAGAATTTGATATACGGAATTCGTTGGCCCATTTTAACCCTAACCACAACTACTTGCCAAGTTGACTTGTGAATTGAACTGCTGTGTGGCCAAGTATGATGCTGAGGGTGGGAGTGATGAAGTGTGTAATTACCTTGGAATTGCCGCTTCCGTTGTCATAGAATTGAGCTGGTCATTGTGGCCAAGTCCTGTCACCAGGGCCAGTCATCCAATGTTATAGAGGCCCGAATAGGAAAGATCGATAGGGCATGCGGGACTTCAAATTGTCTCAAACAACTCGAGTGATCGATCGCGGCTGCCATACAGAGCATACACCCAGGCCAGCAACCTTAAAAGCCAGAAATTCAAGGCCTTTCATGGTGATTTTTTGTGCTTCTGAACGAGCACTGACATGCGGCCATCAGCCGGTCAACGACCCTCAGGGGAGCATGTAACCCCGACCTCTACATATTGCATTTGCGAGCCAAGGCCGCCGCAAGGACAAGGTTGACGTTGACGGGAGTCGATAGGCATACCCAAGTTGCCTAGCTTGCAACCCAAAAGCCGCTGAAACCATCGCGGCGTACCTACCTATAGCTGGAGAGCTATTCATTCTCTAGGCGAGCCATTGGCCACAGCTCTGTCTCGTGTAGCACGGCTGAGGAAATAGAGGAACCTGTGCATGCTGCGCTAAGACGTCTAGAACAGAACAAGAGCAAGGGTCAAAGTGCTAGGGACTTGACGAAATCACGGCAGCGAGCTTCTACAAATATCTAAGCAGCTCTCCGAAAGGCGCCTAACATAGTAGAGTGTACGGCATCGGCAGACAGCAGCCGTTGCAAGAGAAGGTGACATAGCTCCCAACCTGGAATCTAAGCCTACCTCGGCCCCCCTGTACCGCTGTGTCGTCGACCGCGGCTCCGACACCACCAAGTACCTCGTCGGCCACCGCGCCGTCACACTGATGCCCTTCGCCCAGAGCTTGAAGGGTGATCTGACGGCACCCAACAAGGGCCTCCCCACTGTTCCCTACACTGGCACTGCGTCCTTCCGTGTGGACGAGACGGGCACCCACTCCAGCGCCGCCCTGACCAAGAACGTCGAGATACACGTCGAGGACCTGTATATCTACGTCGGCAGCTACTTCTCTTTCCGCGAGAGAATCCTCAGCATCACGGCCAACCGCATCTACGCCATACCCCTCGGCGACAGCGGCGACGAGCTAGTCATAGAGTTTGACTGCTCTGGTCTGGGCCGACGGCGACGGCAAAGTCTGCGTGTCACCGCCGGACCCTATTGAGGTTTCGGTCGTTAGCGGAGGAGCGTCCGGGTCGATGGGGCGTATGACCGAAATAACCTCGCCGCATATCCTGTCGTGCATTAGCTTCGCCAAGGAGTGGAGATTCGACAACAAGATCACGGAGGCGGTCGCTGTGATGAAGAGGTACCAGGACAGCCGGATGGTGCTGTCGGGCCAGTCATCGGACGCCAGCGCCATCACTCAGGGGGCAGAGGTTGTTCCTATCGAGAGCCCTGCTTCGATCCGCAATGCTACGCAGCTCTTGATGGTGCCGCAGAAGGTCAAGTTCGAGTACCAGATAGGTTTCGGCGCACAGGTGTACAACAACGAAGCGGATCCCGAGTCGGATATGGCGGTGCCGCTGGCCGGCACGACTGAATATCTCGGGCGGTGTGTCGGCGAGCTCCAGAGGGTGCGCGAAGGAGGCGGACCGGTCAAGTCGTTGGCCAGCGCCGAGCAGGACGCCTTTCTCCTCAACTGCACCGAAGACCTCTACATCCGCCAGACGGGCGCAGGCATCTTTGGGAGCCCGCTCAACCTGGTCAGCAATCCGGCCGTGTCGCTTGTCGATGTCGACGACGAGATCGACGCTCTCGGTGCGCTCGAGTCTGTCAAGGCTTCGTTGGAGCGGGAGCTCGCAGACCGCAACACAGCGCTACAGAGAGCCAGCGACACAGCAAAGACCTTGAGGACGCCATCGGCAAGTCGACTGCGGCCAAGAGGAGCCTGGTTGCGCAGATGGCCAACATATACGAGTCGTTCGCCTCTCTTCGAGACCACGTCCAAGCCAAGCAGCAGCTGCTCGCCTGGCGCATGGACAAGTTTTGGAACAAGGTGAAGGGCGACTTTAGCTACTACGGTTCTACATGAGGGGGCTGGTTAAACGTCTTGAGCACCGTGGGCTCGGTGCTGATGTTTGCGCCCGAGGCAGGAGTCAACCCGGCATACGGCATCGGCGCGGGCATGCAGATAGGGGCTTCTATATCGACTGCTGTCGACACCATAGATCAGGAACACCGCGACAAGGCAAAGGAGGACGTGAAACAAGACGCCATCGAGAAGCGCGTCTACCGCATCAGCGGCAGGAAAAGCATTGTGGTGCACATGTCCATGGGCCCTATCTTTTACGTCCAGGACGACCAGATGTAGGCGCACAACTTTCACTTTCCCGGCACCATCGTCATGTCGGTCGCGTACGGCGTCGGCCCTGCGGGCGACGAGTTCATCGACTCGTCCAACGCGCTGCCCATGTACGAGACCGACTTCCAGTTCCAGCGCACCGGCGGCGCCAGCACGATGCACATGCCGCTGGCCACGCCGTTCACGGCCTGGAATCTGTCCGTGTCGGACACCGTCGAGTCTTGTCCGTCACCCGGATAGACGTGAGCTGGACATTTGGGCGAGGACGGCCCGTGCCGAGCTCCCCCGAGCTCTCCTCCAGCCCGATATATTCTTGTTTGGCGTGTGGCAGTGGACCTCGCGGGTGCAGTACACAGTCTCGCTCCGCCTCGGCGTCTCGGTTCTAGCCGGGGCGGCCATCGCCGCCCCGTTCGTCTCGTCGCAGGCTACGCAGATGACATAGAGATACTTCAACACCACCAGTGTCATCCGCACACGGTTTAGTCCCTCGTTATTCAGCCAGAGTTTGCAGGGTCTGGGAGGAGACATCTCAACACGGATCAAGACATTGATTCACCCGTCTGGCGACATCAACGACGGCAGCGACGGTGGAGACGGCGATGACGCCGATCTGAGGAGGAAGAGAGGTGCGGCAGTTGATGACATAGCCGTCTCTGCGCACGAACAGCTCGTGGCCGCCCAGGTAGCAGCTCAGGCATCCGGTCGATCTGCGACGGCAGCAGGCGCGTCGTGCTCGAGGCCCAGTTGCGCACGAGCAAGGAGCACCAGCTCGACGGGGCCAATTCATGGACAGCGGTCTTCGACCCTACGTATCTAGCCTAGCTGACTATGATCAACGTGCTGCTCGGCGAACACGTGCTCCAGCCCATGGACTTCCTAAACGTCACGCTCGGCCCCGAGCTGATGGCCATGGCGCGAGACGGGCTGCCACACACGATGCGCGCAGATAAGGTCGGTATGGACAATAAGCAGTATATCTATACCCATGATCAGCCTCTTTTTGAGCGCATGGACATGGTGGCCTTTGTGCTCGACGGCGTCTTCGGTAAGTTCGGCAGCCTGCTGCGCTCCGTGCTGGACGCACGCGTCGTGGGGGACCCGTCCCTCATCCGCGACGCGACGCCCCCGCTCGTGGAATCCATTCAGGCCGGCAGTGAGTCGCCGGTGGACCTGAACGTGGCATCTGTCGCCGCTCCCGAGGTCGCGGTCGAGGGCTTATTTGCAGCTGTCGGCGCAGCAGAACCTGGACAGCCGCAGCAGCGGCTTCCCATCTTCTCCTCGAGCTTCGTCACGGGTGATTTTGACGAATGGAAGGGTTCCTCCCCAAGGACGACGTGGCGGTGATCCAGCAGGCGGTGCGCGACGTGGCAGCCACGAAGCCGCTCAGCGACATCAAGGAGTCGGTATTGCGTGCCGCGAGCAAGCACGCCGAGGCGGCTGTCGACAACACACGCGCGTAGGGCGGTATCACAACCGTCGAGGCCGTCGGCACCACAGTGGGCTCGTCGGCGCTGTGGACGCCCGAGACGGTCGCCGCGTTCAACGACGCCGTCGTCCCAGCGCTGAGCGAGAGCTCCCAGAAGCTGCTGTCGGGCAGCGGAGACGGCAATACCGTGTTGGCAATGGCTGCCTTGAGCGTCTCACAGTCGGACCTGCAGCCGCTGGTCACGGCGTGGATTGGCGCCAGCGCCGGCGAGGTTATGGCACCGGCGCTGGCAGAGACGGATATCAACGCTATAATCGAGAGGTCGTCGAAGAATTTCGAGGACAAGAGGAGTGCCATAGACAAGCTAGAGAAACAGAAGAAGGCGGCGGCTGACGATGCGACTAGGAGAGAGCTGCAAGCGCTGATCGACAAGGCCCAGGACGAGCTCGACAGGCGACGGAGAATGGCGAGAAGGCGAAGAGCGACGCCGACGCCGCAAAGGAGGCCATTAGCAGCGAAGAGATGAAGCGGAGAGAGAGGGAGAAGGAAAGGGCTACCGAGGAGCTCGAGAGAAGATAGCGTGGCGGGTCTAGGGGGGGAAGGGGAGCATGGCGAGGGGCGGTTCTTGGTTTTTGTTTAGGTGTCAGCGAGATATTGTTTTTGCGGTTACGGCTGGTCCATGAGGGGCTTTCGTGTTTGGATTGCGATTTTTTAAGTTGCTGGTTGACTAGGTGCAGGCTAAGTAATATTGCCGAAGCGCACGAGGTCATGTCGATTATGAATGCAAATCTATATATTTTTTCCCCAGATCTCAAGTTGGAGTGGCAGAATCGGCACGGAGAGAGGATTCACGCGACGTCTCCTGGCTCTCGTCCCTAATGACGAGCTTCTGCCGGTGCCAGACCACACGCTGGGCCACAGACCGCGGCAGATACACGAGCCCGCGCGGCGCCGCACGGAAGCCGTACTTGGCGCGCAGCTCGGCCAGCGGCACCGGCGTCCGCAGCTCCCACACGCTCAGAATCCGGTAAGCAAAATCGTACCCCTCCCAGCCCGCGTGCCGGGCATTGAACTCGGCGTTGCCGAGCCCGTCCTCTGCCAGTGGCGCGTCGACCCCCGCCACCCGCGTCCGCGCGCCTCCGGGAGCGATGCTGCAGATGTGTGTCAGAGCCGAGTGTGGCGCCGTCCGGTAGAACCAGATCCGTGCGACGCGTGCCGACAGCCGGTATTTGCGGAACTCGTGGTTCTTGGCGCCAGAGAGGATCTGTGACATGTACGGGTCGCGCATGGGCAGGATTACGTCTGTTGGGGAGGACGTGGAGGGGGGTGCGTGCCGGGGCATTTTGCTTTTGTTTGTATGGGGATTTGGGGTTGGAGTGTGTGTGAGTAGAGTGTGTGTGAGTAGAGTGTGTGTGAGTAGAGTGTGTGTGAGTAGAGTGTGTGTGAGTAGAGTGTGTGTGAGTAGAGTGTGTGTGAGTGAGTGAGAGGGTAAGAGTGAGTGCGAATGCGAAGGTGAGGGTGAAGGTGGGTACCGTGTCAGGAGAAAGTACAGGATACAGAAGGAGAGAGAGATGTTTCGTTGATGTGTGTACGCCGGTACGGAGTATGTCTGTGCCGCGGATGGCTTGTGAGAGAGGGCCTCTTATTGGCCACCATCTGAACATCAATAAGTTATCGGAAGGGGAGGGGGTGGTCGTATCACAGCCCGGCCAATGCAATGCAATGTTTGTGTAAACTCAGGGGGAAGGTAAGCCGGCTATAAATACCACCCGACTCACTCTCAACTACGTATCCCAACAGCCAGAGAGGAAGGACGGCTTTTCTCACCACGTATGAGGTACCTGCCTAGCGACGATGCCGGCCTTTCTAGCTGCTTCCCTCAGCCAATGCCTCGTAGATGTGCTGTTGCTGTTTTCCGAGCTATATCAAAGGAACATACTGCTTGGCACACCTCTGCTATGCTAGACCAGAAAAGGTATTTTTTCCGTCAACAAGCCTCTATTCTGATACCGACACAACATGCTTAAGGTAACATGTTACACGACTCCCCGTTTCAGGCATGGTTAGTATTCACCGCCGGAGCATAGGAGCCGGAAAGGTTTCGAGCCAGCTTGGCAGCGGCGGCGGCGCAACGCCGTGAAAAGGCAGGGTGATGCCCAACTCGATGAGAAGGCTCTCAAGGCGCCGCCGGCTTGGCCATGATGATACAGCAGACAGGCGGATCGTCCGCTGGCTGGCGAGTCGACTACAAGAGGAGCTGCGTGTCCGTCCGTAGGGTCATCGGAGTTGGCTCTGTCCATACTCGTGCACCCCTTTTCCTTCCCGAACGGCGGCAGTGCGATGGTTTGAAGATGTATCTATAGTGAAGTTAGTCCATCTTGCTTTCAGCACATCCAGCACATTCGGTGACCATGCCCCTCGTCACGAACCCGCGCATCTGGCAGCTGTTGCAAGACGCCCAAGGTTACCCCGAGTGGGCCACCACGCGACTCTGGGAATATATATTCAACCACGTCGTTTTCACCGACGACCCGTGGGTCGTGTCGTCGCAGCAGCCGCCGACGCGCAGGACTGGCGATCTCACGCGCGTCGACCTTGTCGTCGAGTAGGTCGACAGCAGCACAGGAACCGCCAACATTCTGCTATTTGTCGAGGCGAAGCGAGCCAGCACCGTGACTTCCGAAGTCTGCTGCAAAGTCGAGCGTCAAGTCTTCTTAACCGCCAATGCGTACATCAAGAACCACATAACGCCCCCGGCAGCAGCAGCAACAACAGCGGTGGCCATAATTCCTCGATTTCGCTTCAGCCCCGTACGGTACAACTTCTTTCTCATAACCCGAGGTAGTAGCTTGGCGCGTGTGAGTATCTCTGCTGGAATTACAAGGTCATTCGCAAGTGCTACTGTAGTAACAGTCACGTAGGGGGTAGGTGGCTATATTCAGTCTCTGCTATGATCTATGTAAAAGAATCGCTAACTACGGCGACAGGAAGGTGGTTTTGGAGGGGCATTGCAGTCACGTGTTGTAAGCACGTATCACAAGGTGCCCTGTGCATGGGCTACGTGTTTGTAGAGCCGCACCTTACAGTTTGCAGAGCCGCGCCCTCACAGGTTGTTTGGTGTTTGTTCCCACAATCTCTGTAAGCTTAGACGCAGAAGCAAAGGGGAAAATTGGAAGAAAAAATGAGGGAAAAAACGAGAAAAAGAAGAGAGAAATATTAGACCGTTTATCTCGCCGTCGTTTGTGGTTGCTGTTGTTGCGGGTGGGTATGAAGGCAACGGCCAAAAGAAAAAGGAAGGGGCGGTGGTCGATTTGACTTACGCACAGTATGGGCCTACATTGCGGGACAGTGAGACTGCACCTGCCCTGGCTGTGCAGTACAACGGTACCTGATTTTACCTCCAGCCCGGAGCCTCGATTTCTTAGTGATCCCTCCCGCAATTCCTTACCTTGACCAAACCCGAACGCGACATCTCCCGGGTCGACTGGTATCGCGCATTACATGCGTGTTGCTCTGTGTGTGCGCCGAAAAGTCACAATATGCCATGGGGACTATGGACATCTCCGCCGAGCAGCAGCAGCAGCAGCAGCAGCAGCAGTGGGGAAAGAGGCGGCCGTGACGGAGCAGCCGTCGCTGCCGCTAGGGAGCCGCAACCGCAACCGCAACCGCAACGGTCCGGATCTACGACTCCGTCAAGAAACAACAACCCGAGTATCAACCCCGACAATGCCGACAAGTGGACGTGGCAGCACTACCTCGCGCCGGGCAGCCTGGGGCCCTCGCTGGCCGTGACAGCCGCCGCGTTCGGGCTGCTGGGCTTCTACCGCGCCTACCTGCGCCGCATCCCCGGCACCAACCACATCGCGCCCGCCGCCTTCCGCACCCGCAGCCTGCTCGGTAAGGTCACCAGCGTCGGCGACGGAGATAACTTCCACCTATTCCACACCCCCGGCGGCCGCCTCGCCGGCTGGGGCTGGCTGCGCGCCGTCCCGCGCGAGCGCAAGCTGCTCAAGGGCCGCACCGTGCGTCTATCCGCCTCCGTCTCTTTCCATTCGTATTTTCTGACGACGGTGTGGTATGCAGATCCCCGTGCGCATCGCCGGCGTCGACGCGCCCGAGTGTGCGCACTTTGGGCGGCCGGCGCAGCCCTTCTCGGACGACGCGCTGGCCTTTCTGCAGAGCTACATCCAGGGCCGGCGGGTGCGGGCGTACATCTACCGACGCGACCAATACGACCGCGTGGTAGCTACGGTGTACGTGCGGCGCGGGCCCTTCTTCTTCCCGCGCCGCGACGTCGGGCTCGAGATGCTGCGGCGCGGCCTCGCCACAACGTACGAGGCCAAGTCGGGCGCCGAGTTCGGCGGCGACCGCATGAAGAAGGTCTACGAAGCCACCGAAGCCGCTGCCAAGGCCAAGGGCAGGGGCATGTGGTCGGCCGAGAAGGGCGTGAGTGGAAGCTTCTTCAGCCGCCGCGCCACGGCCAAGACGCTCGAGAGCCCTAGGGCTTACAAGGACCGCATGAAGGGGCTCGAGAAGGCTACCGCAGCCAAGAAGTGAAGATATAAAAATTGCAGTGCATGAGCTAGATGATACCCGTGAGAGAATGAAAGCAAAAAAAGCAACCGAATCTGTTCGAGGGTGTGATCGTCAGATGTCGGTTCTGAGACCTGGTGCGTGTGCCAGGTTTCCCGAACCTGGAAAGATAAAAAAGGAGTGCAAACCCGTTCTCGGGCGTGTTTGGTTTTGAGCTGTCAAGCGAGAAACACTTGTGTTTTATTCCCCCCCAAACTTTACACAGCTTGGTACATATCATAACTCGGTCGGCGGTGTTTGCGTGTGCGTGTTGTTGTTGTTGGACGGCATATATATAACCAGGCACAAACCCCTGTTGCATGATTATATCCCCCTATATATAGATGGAACCTAGGTAAAATATAACAGGGGGCGACGAAAGCGAACCATGGATGAATCCATGGGTGGCTGATTCCCGGGTCGGGTTTCGTTTTGTCGCCTCCTCGCATGGAGCGGAGCAGAGCAGAGCAGGGCCTCACGAACCGGTGGTGCCTGCGTATGCAGTGAGCACCGTGCCGGCACCGTCCGCGATGCAGGCCTCGGCGAATACAGTCAGTCGGTCGATTTTGCCCGACGTCTCTGCATTCACGCTGCCGTCGCCGAGACGACTCATGAGTCATACGTAACTGGCCACGAAGGAGCTGGCTGGCTGGCTGTCGCTCACTATATGTTCATCAGCAGGCAACAAAGGCCGATATGAAATTGATGCCGTCAAATCCCAGAAAAGTATTTCGCAGTTATCATATCACCTGAGTGAACATTGTCTCGCATCCTCGACAGTCAGCCTTGCCGTCCTAAGCCAGAGCCATGGCGAACCACGCCGATTCTATTCCTGTAATTAATCACAAACGGCCACCTAGATAGACCATGTCCTGCTCAGCTCTGTCCTGACTGCTTACCCAGGCACTCACTGATTAGACGATGACGACGCTTCCTGGTGGCTAGGGTTAGGCTGCTGAGACTTGTCGACGGTGATAGTAGTAGTGTCACTGATGTTGGTGATGATGATGGTGAGGAGTTTAAAAATCCCCTTCTGTATCTTGGTAGTATATATGTAACATAATTCTGACGCTATTGAAGCTCTCCACCCAAGAGCACATCTTCGCGCAGTGGACAGCGGTGCAGGCGGAGCTGGCCGCGTTTACTTCTCCGCAGATCGGCTTCGTATCGCACTTCTCCGCCGCCACCGGTCCCGGCATCGGCGCGTTCGCCACGGCGTCGCTCGACGGCCTCCCGGCCGCCGGGCCGTTCGACTCTGCGTGGGACTACTTTGTCGCCGTGGCCGAAGGTCTCGTCGCCCAGGCCCTCCAGAGACAGAACAGCAGCCGGTTCGCCACGCTCGGCGCGCTTGTTTCTTCCGCAACATCGTGCGCGACACGAATATTTTCAAGACCAGCAGCGGGCCGTTCCCCTTCAGCCACATGGACATGGGTATGCAGAACGTGCTCGTCGACGACGCCCTCAACTTCGTCGCCGTCATCGACTGGGAGTGCGCGCAGTCGGCACCCTAGGAAGTCAACAACTGCCTCATGCCAATCCCACTCATCTCCTCTGATAGAGAAACGGCCGAGATCCTGCAGGACCCCGGCCACATTGCCCACCGCAACGTGGCGCGGCGCAGGTCGCCGCGCGGCTGCTGTTACCGGCGACAGTTCGCCGAGGCGGAGCGCGCGCTCGAAGCGAGGGACTGCCCGCTGCGCTGCTCGATCGCGCAGGTTCCCGAGGGCACCACGTCGAGGATTACAAACTGGCGGGCAAGATTGATGTCTTCTGCGGCTTGGAGGAGGAGCTCACGTACGAGATGGTCCGGCTCGACTTACCGGCAAGGAGGCGGAGCGGCATGTGCAGATACTGGCAGAGGAGATGCATCGCATGGTTACCTAGTTGAGGCCGTCTGGCACTGCTATCGGTATAACGGCCTGCTGGCTCAGTTCACGGGGCCTCGCGCACCAAGAGAGAGTGCGTGTGCGCGCGCGCGTGCGTGTTGTGTGATCGGCACCGGAGCCGATCGATTGTCGCCATGCCAGCGGTGCGAGCGGACGGGCGCGCCAGATCTACTTTTGTGACCGTGAACCATAATGCGCTGTCCCGTGCAGTCATTATCACATCTGGGGAGGGGGGTTTGTTTGGAGTATTAATAAAACATTGCCCACACACTCTCTTTCTGTCTTTTTTTCTCTTACTCGTGTGTGTGTGTGTCTCCCCCGGGGACTAGGCACCCGCGAGACGCCAAGGCATGAACTGTTTCAATGCTCATCAATCGCTCGCTCCCAGTCGCCAAGCTGGTGGTTTGGGGCCTCTCAAAGAGAGAGCACACTGGGAATGCCGTGTGGCTGGCTTTTTATGAGTCTGGTAGGTTTGTCCGAGCTGGACTCCATGATTTCCATCATGTGTGGTGGTGAGGGGAATTGGAAGCAGGTGCGACTTGCAAATCAAAGTCTCAAATTATGTGCAAGACCAAAAAGAGTGCACACCGCTACATGCGTGCCTGTGTGTCTCCCTCATGCCCTCTTTGCCGTCTTTCACTATCCACAAGTCGTTCCCTTGCGTGGAGATGCACAACACTGTAGTCTGTATGTACTTGTCTTACCGCGTGCAAGAGTCGATTCGGAATTTTGGAGACAGACCAGGACAGAACGACGGGTTCGTTTGGTTTATATTGGGAGACACTGAGGGGGAAGGGGGCCCCGGGAAGCCGGCGGCCATCATGCACATCGCGGCCAATTGCAAAATAGAAATGCTCGATCGGCCCCGAACCGCATCTCGGAATTTCTCCCACACGGTCGAGAAAGCCGCCCCTCCCTCCCCGTCCCTGCATGTCGGGAAGAGGCCCACTGCTGTCCTGTATCCATACCGTACTTGTCGTCCAGTGAAGACGCGACAGACGGTGGATTGGTTCCTGGCTTGGTGGAGTTGTCTCGAAGGAGTGGCTGGCTGCTGCCGAGCCCCTGTCATCTGCCTTCCCAATAATTCCCATCCAATGGTCTCATGCGGTTGCACGCGAAGACTCCAATCGCCCCGTGCGGCCCCTGAATCCGGCAGGCTGGCGACTTGTTCGTTTGCCTTTTCTCTTTGTTCCTCCTGGATTCCTTGGAATCGCGATTTGTTCGGGTTTTTTTCTTCTTCTCTTCCTTCAGGTGCAGGCAGGGAAACAGTAGGCAGGCTTCTGGGGCCGACGACACTCATTTTTTGTTTCTTCTCACGTTCTCTTCACTCTTTCAATCTCACTCTTTCTGAACACACACGCACATCTCACGATCCCGGCCAGCAGAAGATCTGTACCACTCTTTTCTCCATATTGCGTTTGCAAAGTCGCTCATTCTTCTCCAATCGAACGGGTAAGGGGTGCGGCCCCTGATCAACCCACCACATGTTATCAAGACAGTTCTCTGACAGCAAGCCTCCGAACCAGGAAACTGGCCACGCCAGCCAAACGCTTCTCCACACGGCGATTCGCACTTACCGACGTCCACTACCACCACACTCGTTTGGGGGCATTGATACCGTTCACTCGTTCAGTCCGGCGCTGCGCTGCACGAAAACCTGGGGCAGAGTGCGAATCCACCCTGGAATAGCACCCTCGCACAAAGGCATTTTGTTTCACGCGGTACCGAACCTGACGACTTGTTGCTGGAGCGGACCGATCGGCACCTATTGTTTGCCCGTGTTGTGCCCGTCACCACCTCAACTTCCAACCTTCTTGCCTGTGTGAGTTAAATCTCAGAAATTTGTCATTTGTTGCTTGTGCAGCCCGGCCCCACGCACAGCAAAACGAATGTGGAGGGTCCTAAGATTTTGAGTTTCCCGGAAAGTGGCTTTGCTTTGCCGTGGAGACCTTATTCTACATTCCATTCCTTGCCGCAAAACGTCAACAAGAGACGGGACCGACCCTTAACTTAAGCAACCTAAGGGTTCGTTGCCGGTTCGTTGCCTCAAACAACCCCTCGCCTCCACTCCTGCCTAAAGTACTTGAACGCCGCCGAACGCCGCCCGCAGACTGAGGGCCGAGTGCGAGATCGTGCGCACGCCGACCCGTCACCTTGACCACCTGCGAAAAGGGAAAAAAAGGCACTATCGAGCCGTGCGGACCTAGTTTTGGGTGTGTATCCTTTTGAGGGCGGAATCGAGCGGGCTGCACTGGGCTCGAGCACCCATCATTATCATCCTGGCTTCTACTCATTATTAACGGACGGCCTTTGCATTTTCATCGCCCTGCATCGCTCTGCATCGCTGCATCTCGGAAGCTTGAGCTTATTTTTCGTTTGAACCTTTTTACTGATGCCGGGTTGCCAGAACCTTGTCGCCATCGCGTTTGAGAATTGGCAGGTACGCATCTCGCTTTCTGGAACCTGGCTAGCCAGTTGGGGCTTAGCGACCGTCACACTAACCAATCAGAAGCGAGGCCAACAGCAACTAGGCCCGAGCAACTAAATTCGTGCCCACAATCTCCCCCATTCTTGAGCGTCATTAGCGGCGGGGGACCACCACATCGGTCGAAAAACAGGTCCTTGGACCTTGGAAACCCAACACCTTGATCAGCCACATCAACAACCCACACAGTCATTCATTGCACACCACTTCGCCCACGCCTCGGGCCCCGACATTCGTCGACCGACGACCAACCGTAATTTCTTGCCTTTTTTTTGTCCGACATCCCACGACGCTCGTTCAGTAGCTTCTCCGGCTTCCCGTAATTCAATCGAAACAACGGTCGCGCTTAATCTCGAGCTTCGTGCGACAATTTCATTTACCTCCCGCGAGATCCACTCTGAAACCCCCTTCTCTCGACAGCACCTCGCGATCCGGCCCTTGGCCATGGCTCAACTTTATTAGCAGTCTCGACCCTTCCAGATGACCTCGACCACCAATCCGATTTATCTGCGGTCGTTCCACGCGATAACAGTCCCCGGGCCCTGACGGCGCGCGATGCGACTACCTTTTCGGCGGCGCCCTGCTGCGCGCGGCCGGCCTTTGTCATGCTCGACATCTCTCCTCTTCACATTATCCTCACTTGCAGTAATACCAGCAGCCGCCATCTCGTTCAACCCGGCTCCAGCGGCGAATCTAGATCTGTCGCAATTGGGTCGCATAGCATTCGCAGGCGACTTCTCGGGCATATCTTTGTACCAATACGAGGAGCAGAATGAGCAGCTCTACAGCACAAACGGCAGCGAATCGCTGCTCGCGCGACTGCCCAATGGCGCGTTTGCCTCAATTGTGGCGACCGATGCCATGATCCAGACCATGTGCACATTTATAATGGGCAACGGTTCGATGGCTGGAGTCGTCATTGGCGGGAATTTCACCAGCCTGGGGCAGCTCGAGTCTACGGCGGTAGCGCTGTTCAATCCGAACACATCAACCATTACGCCCCTGTCGGGAATTTCCGGCCAAGTCAACGCGCTCCTCTGCGACCAAGACACGAACTCGGTGTACGTGGGCGGAAACTTTGTCGGGGCGAATTCGACAAACGCGATTGCGTGGGTAGGGACGCAGGGCTGGACGAATCTGCCATTCGCGGGGTTTAATGGGCCTGTCACGTCTATAACAAAGGCGTCTAACGGCCATATCATTTTCGGCGGCAGCTTCACGGGTCTGGGCAACGCGTCCGCGCCCAGCACACCCGACGGCCAGATTATCAATTTATCGACGGCTACGATAACCACCAGTTCTTCGACCACGGCGCAAGGATTCAGCGACCCGAAGAACATTGTTTGCAAGACTAGCGGCGCGGACGGGTCGGGAAATACGTGGTTGCTGGAGGACAATACCCCCGGGTTCTGGCAAGCAGATTTCAAGTTTGGATTCCAGCCCACCAAGCTGCGCCTCTACAACACGCACCAGGACGGCAGGGGTACCAAAACTTGGCGGTTCACGGCTCTTCCCATCAACGGCATCATGAACTTCACCTATATCGACCCTGCAACCGGACAGAACGCGTCATGCACCAGCGAGTGTCCCTTGAGCAACAACGCCTCTGTCAAGTTCCAGGACTTTCACTTCGTCAACGTTATTGGCATAAACGGGTTTCGTGTCGATATCTCCCAGTTCTACGGATCTGGTGGAGGCCTTGACGCGATAGAGCTGTTTGAGGACGACATCTTCTCTTTTGCCGTCAACGACTTCAACGAGCCAACGTGCGCAGGGCTCGGCTTCCCGTCATCTGCAACCCCCACCGGACCCTGGGTCGTTACCCCCTCTCGCTCGAGTACTGCAGACTATTTGACGGCGCAGCTGTCTGACCCCATAACAGAGTCTTCCGCCTCGGTCGTCTTTACGCCCGATATCAGGGAGTCTGGAAACTACTCTGTGAACCTCTACACCCCTGGCTGTCTCCAGGATGGTTCTTGCGCCTCTCGCGGCCAGATCTCCATCACTGGCCAAATGACTACCGATCCGACAAAGAGTAGCCTTGACAGGACCCTCTTCCAAACAAACAACTACGACAAGTACGATCAGATTTACTTCGGCTTGATCGACGCAAGCTCAGGCAGCTTTAGGCCCCGTGTCACGATGACTCCTCTCGCCGGACAATCTCTCACAAACATGACATTCGTTGCCCAGCGCGTTGGCTTCACCTTGATTAACAGTACAGGTGGCCTGAACGGGCTCTTCGAATATACTCCGGGAAGCGCCGTGAATACGAGCGACTTTAAGAGCTCGGCATTCAACCGGCTGGGAGCGAGCTTTGATGCTGGATCTGCCGTCACTTCTCTGGCCACGTCTGGCGATACTACCTTTGTCGCGGGAAACTTCACCTCCTCGACTGTTCGGAACATTGTCGCTATGAACGGTAATGACGCCACGGTTCAGTCTCTGGATGGTGGACTCAACGGCGAGGTCGAGTCCATGTTCCTCAACGCAACCAGCCTGTTTGTTGGTGGGCGATTTTCCAAAACCCTGGACAACACGACTGAGGGTTTGAACAACGCCGCCGTGTACGACACTCGAAAGAACACGTGGAGCCCGCTCGGTGCAGGAGTCAACGGCAGAGTCCTTCGCGTGGTTGGCCTGACCATGAACGTCACTAGCTCGACTCCCGAGGTTGTCGTTAGTGTCAATGGCGAGTTCAACAGTATCGAGGCGTTTGGCAACAACTCGGCCGTTGCCGTCGACGGATTTGCCATCTGGGTGCCTTCCCAGGCGAACTGGTTGCAGAATCTGGACCTGTCAGTTGAGCGGATTGACGGCATTCTCTCGACGTCGATTTTGGATGTGCCGGGCGACAACTCGCTCTATGCAGGCTCGGTTTCGTCGTCGACTCTTGGTGTCACGGGTGTGGCGACTTTGTCTGATGACCTAAACCGCCTCCCAGTCAATATCCAGTCTCCCTCAATTTCTAGGTCCAGCAATCTAGCCAAGCGCGACACCATACCCTCCAATACCACCACGGCCGGCGTTGTGACCGGCCTCTTCGATACCAACAACGGCAGAAATGTTACAATTCTAGGCGGACATTTCACCGCGACAGCCACCAATGGGTCCGCAATTCATAACCTGCTCTTCCTCGACGGCTCCAATAATGACCAGGTTACTGGCATTGAGACTCAAGTCACTCAAGACTCGAGCTTTGTCGCCTTGGCCGTGCATGGGGACGTTCTCTTCGCCGGAGGCAATGTGACGGGTGATATCAATGGAGCCCGCGTCAATGCACTGGTCACATATAATCTCGCCAGCAAGTCTTTCAACGCGCAACCGCCCTCTCTGACGGGTGGTAACGGCACTGTCTCGTCCATCGCCATCCGCACAAGCACCGGCGATGTCTACGTCGGTGGTTCGTTCAAGACGGCCGGGTCGCTCGGTTGCCCTGGAGTCTGCTTTTTCAGCACGGCGAATTCGCAATGGAACCAGCCTGGGCAAAATCTCGACGGAGCCGTCAACTCTCTAATGTGGACTACTGACACCATCCTGCTGGCTGGAGGCAATCTCACAGTCAACGACACCTCCTCGACGTTCCTCGCCCAATACGACACCAGCAAGCAGGTGTGGGACAGCTATCCTGGATCAAGTCAGCTCCTTGGGCCGGTTGATGTCCTCGCGGTTGGGACAAGCGATGGAAGCCAGCTCTGGGCGGCCGGAACTGCCTTGAATGGGTCAGCCTACCTGATGAAGTATGACGGATCGAATTGGCAATCGGCCGGACAGTCTCTCCAGCCAGACACCGACATCCGTGGCCTGCAGATCTTCTCTCTCACCTCATCGCACGGCTCGACGGCCACTGTCGACTCTAATCAGGCCCTCGTGCTCACCGGGTCGATTGTACTTGTAGGCTTTGGGACCGCATCGGCAGTCATCTTCGACGGCACGGACTTCCGCCCATATGCGCTTACCACCAACTCTGGAAATACGGCGGGCTCGATATCACACATATTTACGGAGCGGAACAACTTCTTCAGCTCAAGCAGCAGCCAGCTGCCGCTTGTATTCGTTGTGTTGATTGGCCTGGGGATATCACTTGCACTGATGCTCCTCATCGTGCTCGCTGGCCTGTTCCTCGACCGACTCCGCAAACGGCGCGAGGGCTACGTCCCGGCGCCCACGTCGATGATCGATCGAGGCAGCGGCATGCAGCGGATACCACCGCAGGAGCTTCTCCAGAGCCTGAGCAAGGGCCGACCAGGGGCGCCGCACGTGTGATGAGCTTGAGACGACGGTACACGAGAGAAACAAATGCATGCCATCTGGCTTGACTGGCGTTTTTATGTTGGCATTGGTGAACACGGGAGGGGGAATTTATACCACTGGGTTTTCTGTTTGTTTCCTGGCGTTTGGACATGTTTGGGTGCATATTAAAGAAAAGTCAGCAAACGAGAAGAAGCATGGTGCGCGCAACTCTGATATAAGGGGAAAAGGGCCCAAGGGGGCGGGCGCTCGAACCGACGCTACAAAGTTTAATAGGCTACGCACGCACGGCACGGCATGCTAGAGGTTGTGCTCTTTTTTTTTTTTATGTACGATTTACAAAAGAAAGACCTGGGATACTTCTCAAGTCGGGACAGACAGGGATTTTTCTTTCTTCTTACTCTTCTTTTCTGTCTCTTTCGAATGTCTTTTTTCTTCCTCTCTCTAACGATATCTGACGACGCTGACACAGCAACAACAGCAACACCTTCAATTCTAATGTCTAACATTTCCTTTTTCTTTTCTTTTCTATTTCTCCACAAGCTTTGTTTCTTCCCCGAGCAGTAGTCGCAGAAAGTCTGTCTGTCTGGGCGGCTTGGGACTCGCTTGGTTGGCTGCGGCGCCAGGTGGCTGAGAGTCTGTTTAGCTCAGGTATTTATCGAGCTAGGTAGTTAGGTAGTTAGCTTTATGTATATGGACATGGACATGACATCCTATCCTATCCTACCCTATCGTAGAGCCTTTGGGGCTCGTTCTTTATTCCGTGTATTCGAGAACACGGTGCTGCACGCTCTGGGAAAGGCGCCCTCCCCCAACTCTCCTCATTTGGTTTACGCGGCCATTCCATCATCCCCGCGACTCTACGTCCTTACGAGAGCAGGATTAATCTTGGCCAAGATGGAGCTTGTAGAATTATTCACGCGGATCCGAGTTCTAGACGCCCCCATATAGATATTTTAAGCTGTAGTCTGCGCTCCCACATCCTTTTCCTGCTCTGTCCTTCCTTTCTGTAGCTTTGAATCCAGGCTTGTTGGTTGCGAAGTCCTCCATCTAGGTTCGAAACGGGGCGGCATGTACCCAGATCCCGGATGCCCCTGGAACGGGTGATCTCCGCCGGATGGCGGTGTTAAAGCCGCCGAAAATGGCAGCATGCGCCAGACAAATTCGGCGGCCAGAACACCACCCACCCACTCGCCCACTCATTCTAGGGCGTATTAGATGGATGTGTGTGTATGTGCTGGCGTCGGTAAACATAGTTGTAAAGCACGAAATACACAAATCTCAATCCTTCTCAACAAGAAATAACTGCACCGACCGACCACCCATCTTCGCGAAAAACTATAACCAAGCACCTGGAAAGATAGAACTAGATCGACACCCCCTCACTACAACGTGTTGGCGTCCATGGGGCCCCCAGCCACGTTGGTGAAGTAGAGGTGGGGGTAGAGGTGGGGTGGGGGTAGGAGCCGGGAGTGGCAGCGGCATGAAAGTTGGAAGCGTACGTCTTCCAGCACTCGCAGTCGGGGGGGCTGTGGGCGACGGCGGGCGAGGTGTGCTCGACGTGTTGTGTGGCGCTCGCTGGCTGCTTCTGCTTCTGCTGCTGCTTCTGGCTGGAATCGTCACCTTCCTCCTCCTCCTCCTCCTTTTCGTCGTGGACTCCGTGGTGGCTGCTTGCGCAGGAGCACTGTGACATTATCGACTGGTTGTCGCTACTAGAGTCGTAGGTCTCTAAGATTCCAAACGGTCTGCTAACGGTGGGGGCCGTGGTGGCGGCGGCTTTGGCATTGGTGGCAGCGATGGCAGCGATCCTCTCGGCAGAGTGTCTCGTCGAAGTGGTTGGCACCAATATAGTTGCGAGCCGGAAACGCCTCTCGAGCTGAATGATCAACAGGCGGTGGACGAAAAGGCGATCCTGGATACAAACGCCCCTGTGGCGGCTGAACGTACAAGCCCGGGGGGTTCCACGACGGGGCGGTCCACGACGGCCGCTCTCCTCCAAAGAATGTGGGCGTGGCCCTGGCCCTGTCCCTGTTCCTGTCCATGGTCATGGTGTCCATGGTCTGGGACAGCTGGTCCATTCTTTGCCCAACCATTGACCAGTGGTAGTACAAGTCGTTGATCCTGCTCTTGACGTCGTCATGCCCGTGATTAGGCATTCCTTAGCTAATAGTGCAATCCAACTCTTCTAGCCCGTCGGCGACTATTTGCACACCTTTCTCCAAATCATCGAGTCTAGACTCGATGGGGCGCAGGACCTTCAAGATCGTTGCCGCCGTGGTAGCCGATAGCGAGGCCGATGGTTGATCTGCAGCAGGCGGGGGCGTGCCTCTCGTGGAGCGGAACGACGGGATGACATCGTAATCGAAAGAAGAGTCTGACATGGTGACGATGAGATGGTTGAGAAAGAGCCGAGCTGCTTGCTTACGTGCTGGAGGTGTGAGCTTTCAAAGGGGAATGGGAGTGGGTTGGAATGAAGGGCCGGCGAAGAGATTATATACTCGTTGGTGTCGGCTAGAATAGACTCAAGCTCTTCTAGTGGTATTGACCACCTTGCCATCTTGAGTCATTGTGTGAAGCCGGGGGCGTTATGGAGGCAGGGCCGGAAGGAAATTATAAAACGCGAGCAATGCCGCTAGAGCTATCTACCTAAGTAAAGTTAGATGCGTATAACAAAGCGTGGTATTGTAGAGGACTAAGGCGCATTGAACTTGTCATTCAATAAACGTTAACCGAAAGGGCTGGTATTTGGCACTAGGGTTCTACCACGGAGAGCAACGTGGAAGTTTCGCTCGGCATGACCTAGGTATGCTTCCAGACTCTGATGTTTAGTGTTAAACCTCGTATTTCGCTAGTCATCTCTGTTCACTCAAACCTTTGCTTCACTTGGTTTCATTTCTTAGGACCTACATGTAGCTGTGGTACCGTGTCCCTGGACTAGGTAGACAGGCAATTTGGCTTCGCCTTTTGACTTATGACCACAAAGTAATTCCCTGTTGGTCTCCAGTGCGCCCTCCTCTTCGGGCATAGGAGTCGCTAGCTCAAACCCAACTCTCCTACTCGTTGCTTCACTTTGGGGGCTTGCCAGCTTGATTTGCAGCTTCTGGTCGGGGAGTCAGCACTCCATAAATCCTCGGGTCTCTCTACCTCGGTCGCTTGTCCCTACCACGGCGGAGCCGGAACGGGACTGGCTAGGGTGAGGCAGACAGCGCCCCTAGCCAACTAGAGTGGGCAAAGAATCACGGAGGAGGCAACACACCTCTTCTCGTCGCGTCCTCTAGAAGCGGGATGTCAACTGCGGCGGCGGGGAGGTGGACGTAGCGCACCACGGAGCCACGGATGAAGACATTCTTGACGGCGCTCTGTGCGTGTGTGACGGGTTAGCAAGACAAAACAAGTAGAAGCGACGGAAAGACAACTCACCAGATGCGGGTACTTGAGCTCCTCCACGACTGAGATGTCCTCGAGCTTGATGTTGAGGTACTGGTCGACACTCTTGAGGACGCCGCGGATCTGGATGTCGTTCTTGAGTTCGACAGTGACCTCGTGGTCGATGAGCGTCTTGAAGAAGCTGGAGGCGGCAGTTAGCAGCACGCGCCATCCATACAGATATGAACCTCGTCAACTACAAGAAGCAACAAAGCGAGGCCGGGACAGACATATACACCGTTCCCTCTCTCCAGCGCAAAGGCAATAGTACCCGAGCAGGAGCAATGCAAGAGCGTAGCTCTCCTCGCGACAACACCCAAGCAGTCCCCGCTTCACTCGAAAGCAGAGCGCCCCCCCCCCCCCAAACCCCGCCCCAGAAAGCAGATCCGCCACGACCACAAGCCACCGCAAGCAAGCAATCCCAGAACAGGAAGAAAGCAAGCGAAGCAAAGATACCATAAGTAAACCGACGTGACACGCTGCGGAAGGGTGCGCCAAGAAGCGAGCGAGCTCGCTCCAAGCAACCCGCCGCGCCCAATAGCTCCCAGATCAACGGCGAGACGGGGAGGTGACATCAACTGACGAGAAAGAGACAGATCAAGAACGCGTAGAATGACCGTGTATGTATGCAAGGAAGCAAGGAAGCAAGAACCCAGCCCTACCCACCCAAATAAGACACGTGAGAGGAAAGAAACGCGGTGCGCCATCTTGACGAGGAATGCGAATGGAAATAGAAATGGAAGCGGGGGAGATACACAAGAGGGAAAAAGACAAGAGGAAAGAAACCCAGCACGGATACATGGATGCATGGATACATACCTGAAGAACAGCATTTTTGTGGCGCGGCGCGGTGCGTCGCACTCTCGAGATGCGTAGTTGTTGCTGTCTGTCTGTCTGTCTGTCTGTCTATCGTCGATGAATTCCGGACGGAGGCGAACGAGGTGAGTGAGCTGCAGGTACTGTACCTTACTTGTGGTGTGGTGGTGTGTAGGTAATCGGGCGGGTTAGGCAGTGATGGAGTTGCTGTGTGGTGCGTCGTTGATCGATTTAAGTGGGGCGGGCAGCCAGCCAGCTGGGGAAAAGTGTTGATGCCGCAATATTCAGGCATCAATATCCGTACTCCCTGTGCATTGTTGAATCCCAAACACACCGCATTCATGCCAGGGAACACGAAAGGGCTGAAAGACGAGGTTGGAACTCGGGTGTTTGATTTGTTCGAAAAACTAAAATAAATCCGGCGACGGATTGGCCATTGAGGCTCATCTAACCTCCCACCCATATCCAGATAGATCCAGTCCTTGAAACAAATCCCCCCAAACTCGTGGCTGGATGCTTGTAGTTGTTGGTACCTGCGGTGGAAACAAAAGAAGATAAAGAGTCAAAAAATAAGGAAACCCGGCAAGGGGGGAGAGAGAAAAATAGGCCTGCTTGCTTTAATTTGTCTTCGTGTGCCTGTCCCGTCATTTCCAAACATTGCTTCCCACACCATATAGCTGTCCTTTTTGTGTTCCTCGCCTAGATTCGCCGTGGCACTTCTTTATTTTCTGTTTTCTCTTGCTTCTTCTGCTCCCTCCTCGACTTCGCCATGCTTGTTTGCCAGGGGTAGGGTAGTAATAGGTGACCAGACCGTATCCCGTCTTCCCACCAGCACAGCCATGACCAACTAAAAAGAACGAGCCTCGCCAGTAAAGACAAACCCATCGCAGCCCGAAGAGAGGTGAGAGAGAAAACAGGTCCAAAAACAAGTTCGTCAAGACACAAAAGGGGAAGAACACACAGTAAAACTTTCCACAGACGGGCTATGACAAGGGGGTATGGTATCCGTCGTGTCGATTCGTCCTTGAAGCGCAATCTTTCCTTTCCAGTCGATAAGCAGAAAATGTATCCACCACCCCTTTCCCTTTCCCTTTCCATTCCCGCTCCCATCCCGGGATCCCACACACCAGCTTCCAAGAATCCTCCACTGCTATGCTGTCGCTGTTGTGCTGTGAGGCGAACTGTATTGGTATCGGGAAACGCAGAAGAGTCGCTGTGCTGTGCATACCATAAAACAAACAAATAAAGGCGCTAAAAGATTAAAAGAGGGGCAAGTGTCGACCTCCGAGTGTCGCCTTGCTGATGCAAATCGCCACAAGCCAAGTCCCAGAGCATAAAAAAAAAGGCAGAAAATTGTTACCAATCCGCAAGGAAAGAAAACTTCTCACGCATCTTATCGGGCTCCTTCACTCCTCGCCAACTCGTCCCGCTTGCTGAGATTTCGCGACTGACAAAAGGAGTAGGGTGTTTGTCGTAACATCATGATATTTCTTTCAAACAAGAACAAAACGCGGGGTATAGGATTCGATACTTTAAAGCTTTTTTTCTTCCTCTTTCAAACACTTCGCCTTCAGTCGTCGTCCGCGTCATCCTCGTCATCTTCTTCGGGGCTCTCGACTTCCCGTTTCGGCTTCTTGCTTGGGGCGCTCGAGTTGCCTTCCGATTTTCGTTTTGTCGCGCCAGATGCCGTCTTGGTTGATACCGGTTCTGGTTCCTTGGTCTCTCCACCGGCAGCCTTATCCATCTGGGCAACCTCATCGGCCGTCAAGAACCGCCCGCCAGGACCACGGGGTCGTCGCATAGCATGGTTGTGTCTCGACTCGTGAAGGTATGGTTTCCGACCCTTACTCGTCAGCCGGAGAGCCTCCTCTAGCCGCTGCCTTGCCACCCGTCGCTTGAGAATCCGGTGAAATTGCTTAGCGTTGACGTAGAGCGGCGATTCCTCTACAGCGCCCGATGTCAGCTCGGGCGACTGAGGCGGCGGCATCTGCTGCGCAGCCGTCATCGGCGGCGGGACTGCCGAGCGTGGGCCGGCATGGTTGAGCATTGCCTGGGGATTAGGAACACCGGGGCTCGCAACTTGGCTGAGCCGCCGTTGAGGGTTCATCTGCTGCGGCGACCGAGGACCTCCTCTAGAGTCCTTCTTCGCGTTCACGCCAGCCATCCTCGGGGACTGCTGCAGATTGGGGTCTGACGACATGTACTGGTAAGAGGAGCCTGAAGCAGCCGCCGTCGCAGCCATGGCCGCAGCCTGGATCTGCGGCATTCCATAGCCATGCAAGCTCTGTTGGGGCATGCTCTGCTGCACGCCATATTGTGAGTACATGCTGTGGGCTTGTGTCGGCGATGGTTGGTGACCTTGCGACGGAAGAATTGGCGACGTTTGGACGGTGTGCTGCGGAATATGCGCGTTGGAAGGCGACGTGATGCTGTTGCCGCCTGCAGAAGTGGGATATCCCGTTTGAATGTGTGGTGTGTGTGCGCTCGGTGGTTGCTGGTATTGTGCGTATTCCATCATCCTGGGAGGTGGGTTGACGAGAAGCCGTCAAGTATCGCGTAAAGTTTGGCGAGATCTAAGATCGCGAGGGTTGAAGCAGGCCGGCTCTGGCTACAGTGACTGCGGGGAGAACGGATAAGGGTCAACACGGTTATCGAAACAAAGGACGGTTACCACTCGGGTCGAGCCTTGGAGCCGTCCGGGCTGCTGATAAAGCTCCAAGAGCCCCGATCGACTTGGGCTCGACGCGTGCGGATGGATTGAAAGTCACTCCGTACCTGTGGGTTGGGCCTGGATGTGCACCCAATCTATTGGAGTGATGCGTTGGCAGTGGGTTTAAATGCTGAGGGGGCTCGTAATTGGTTGCACTGCGGCATATGCAAGCTGATGTAGTCGCGGGGCGAAAGTTGGGTGGCTCAGTCCTAGGGCTCTCGGGAAGAAGGCGTGGACAAGCGAAGCCACGTGAGAGAAGACGAGACAGAAGTACTCCGAGGTGCTTCAATGTCGTGACGGGCGAGTCTATTAATTCCCGACTCAGCCGACGTCGGACTGCCAAGTAAAGACGACAAAAACAGTCGAAGGCGGAAGGGCTTCTCAGCGAGACGCGCCGCAAGGTTTCGCCCAAAGAGCTCTGCCGTTTGTTCCTTAATCTGATTCAAGGCCTGGGCCAACCTAAGGCGTTAGTCCGCGGTTGCGAAGTATATACGCTAGGGCCCGGGGGGACGCGACGGGGCTTGAGTGGTAGGCAGTCCCCTTTCGGCAGCCTTGGGCCAGTTTGATGCGCTGGCATGCATGACGGAATATGCACGAGCCAGGCCCGCCTTCAACCAGCTCAGCGCTCCCAGACCCCAGCGTGGGTAGCAGCGCCGAAGTGGGATTTAAAGAGAGAATCGGGACGAGGGCAGGGCAGACACTCCTAGGCATCTGGAAGCCGATCAAAGAGGCTGCTACCGGCGATGCAAACTGCTACCTCGACATTATTTTGCAACGCCGGGGAACTACAGCCCAGCGTTGGCGCCAGAGGGCCTTTCAAACAGGCCAGCTGCGACTGGACACCGTCTCAGGCGCATAAAGAAACGACGGGAAGGCGGGTGAGCGCCATGCAGCCCATTGCCGCCGATTCTAGCCCTGCGTGCTCGCCTAAGTGAAGGGGGAAACGAACGCGAGGGTGAATTGGGGATGTGCTGTGTCGTGCAAGAAAGAAAGCAAAGAGTAGAGCAGAAACGTGACATCGACAAGGCGAACCACTATGAGGGGGGTGGGTAGGTCGTTGTCTTGGGGACACACATGGGTTGCGTGGGTTTGTGTCAGGGATTTGAGGGGTTCGCTCTGAAGGCGTGTGTGATTGCAGGCTGACAGGAACCGGACAGACTTTGGGCATTGGAAAAAAACAAGATGCACACGTACCCGCGTCGTTAGCAATCGAGGCTGGAACTATGATAGAGGCTGCAGCTAGATGCCTATTAGCACTTTGCCTGTCGAGTTTCAGAAAGAAAACAGAGGGCCGCCAAGGAAGGTGAACAAAATGCGACGGCAATGTACCACCTGGTACCCAGAGGATAAGAACGATTGCGCGTGGCTCAGCAGTCGGACCAAAGTACATGGCCGAGCATGACAATGGGAAACGAATGCAACGAAGGGAACCGACTCGTCGCCTTGGTCTGATGGTGTGCAGACGCGGGAAGACCAAAAGCGCCGAGGGGCGGGAGGGAAGGGAGAGGCGAGGGAAACGAGAAAGTCAAGTTGGGCAGGACAAGATCGAGGGGCTCCGTACTTACACAAGAGTTCGCGGCTGTCGTTGGACAAGCAAGCGGGCGTTCTGCCTCGGCTGGCCTGTCTGGCACTGGACAGCCGCCTGAATGGGATGGGATTTGGAGACGCGACGCAGATCTGATCTCGGCGGCGACGTTGATTGAGCGCCGGGGACGATCTCGTTAATTGTCTGCGTGCAGGCCGCGACTATCACGGGACCGGGCAAGGGCCAATGATGGCGACGAGATCGAGGTTCGCGATGGTGATAGGTCTCGAGACTGGACAACTCTGTTTTGCGGTTCGTTCGTGTCGGGGACCGTGAGCTGATTTGCTATGCCGCGACTTTGCGCTCGCGCGTTGACTGGCTGGAAAATGGCGGACCGGGGGCTAACCAGTGTGGACACAAGCGCTTTTCTTGCAACTTTACTCAGTACCTCGAACACGAGTCGTAAAAACTGTGGCAGCGTGTGAGTGGGCTTTGTCTCTTTATAAACGGCGCCGGTGCAACAAAACAGGTCAGGACAGGACAGGGCAGATACGGCGTCCCCTTTCCCCGTCCCGAGGGTTAGGTTGGGTTGGGGCAGAATCTGGACTGAGGCGGACAGGGCTGCGCGTCGCAACCGACCGACAACAGCAGCAGCAGCCCTCCCGCACCCAGCGCCAAGCCCGCAACGACACTGCACACCAGCCTGGCGGTGCAATGTCAGTACGTACTGCCGTGGGCGGGCAGGCACCCAGCAGGCAGAAAGACAGACGGACAGACACAACAGACAGGCCGAGTGCAAGGGACGGGACGGAGAATGAATGTACTGTACAGCCAGATCCGTATACGTAGCATAGTGGGGAGTCTGAAAGGAGAGTATCATACCTGGAGATGTCTGTTGCGCTGCAGGGCTGAGCTGCGCCTCTTGCTAAAAAGTGCTTGAATGCGCGGCGGGTTCGAATCCCGGCAAGCTCGATGGCCTTCTGTCTGTCTCTCGACTCTCTGCCTCCCCAGTAGGGCCGCCCGTACACGGGGCTCGCTGGTAGATGCAAGCCTGCACGGCGTCGCGCTTGGTGCAGGCGGTGATAAAAGGTGAATGGTGGGCCTTGCGCTGCGCAAAACCTGACTGGACAGAAACAAAGGCAGTCCTGGAGTCGGCGCGGGTAAAAGGTCAAAATAAGCGCCTCGAATGAGAGGAGCGCGAGATGGCTTCTGTCCGCTGCTTGCAATCCTAATTGGACTGTAAAAACGGATTTTTTTTTGGTGAGTCAGGGCGGCCGTTGATTTGATGGAATTTTTGGCGGTCGGGTCGGTTTTCCCCGTCGCTGGGAAAGTCTTGAGTGTGGAGTGGGTGATTGGGTGGATGATTGGTTGTGCGAGGGAAGAGGGAGGAGAGACGAGAAGGGCGAAAGATGATTTGAGGGAGCGACCAGGAGTTCTTTAACCTAGAATTTGGTTGGATGGATCAGCTAAGCGAAAGTGGGTCCCCTCCCCAAGTATTTTTTGCTGGTCGCAGTGGCCCCCGACTCCCCCCAGGGCCCAGGTCCCCCAAGGAGGCTGGCGGGTGAGGGGTCCAGCTCCGACAAGAGGAGGGGTGCCACTGCAAATCGCCTCTGCGGGGCCAGCTTGCGGCTGCAAGAAGCCCGGGCAGGAAAAGAAGAAAAAATAGGACGGAAACCGACGAGCGGTCAACTCGCATTGCTGCGGGTTGCGAACAGCGGTCGACGCGTGTGCCTCGCCCCTGAGGCCCTTTACTGCCCAGAGTGTCTATTGCCTTGCAAGCAGCCCGGATTGTGCCGATGTTAAGCCCAAGATAATAATCAAGGTGCTGAAAGAGGTACCTTTGAGGGTTGAGGTCCTCTAGTGCCCAACACCGTCCGTCCTTTGCTTTCTCTATAGAACCTAGAGGTACGGAAAAGTATAAGGAGAACATGATACTATATTCGCCATAGATGTTGAGAACGGACGAGGACTAATCGTGCACGCCAGCAGCTTCAACTTTCATACTTCTAATGTTAAAAGCCTCCCATCTCACCGGCTCAAATTCGTGCATGACGTGACGCAACAAGTGGCAGCGGTTAAGCGAGACGTCTTTCACACCACCACACCGCACACAGCATGTGCAGCGGATACCTACATACAGTACACAAGCAGTAGGCAGGGCACTGCAGAAGGACAGCGGGAAATGTTCTCAGAATACGGATCACCTGTTCTGTAACAACCTGAGTTATTAACTAGGTGGGTAGGCTCTACTTAGGCAATCTGTTGTCCTTCCCCAGGGTCTCGCTTTGGTCGGGTAAGGTAACTTGGGTTATTTGCAACACGACGGATCCTCTTATTAATATGGGAAGTCCAGGCTGGTCTGCTGTATTCGTACCCGCGACCTGACTGCCGATACTAAGACCCTCGATCCGATGCAGGGAGCCAGATGAATATTGATAGCAGCTGCCTCTAGCTATAGTGAGGACGACACGCTCGCCCAAGGCACGCTTGAAAGTCGGACGGCACAATGTCCTCAAGTGGGCTTGACGGCAAGACCCTCGGACGACCTGGCCGTTGATGAACGGGCTCCTCGCTGTCGCCCTTCGGTTAGCCCTAGCGGAGAAATAGGGGGTTATGGAGAGAACACTAGGAGGTGTCAACCTTGACAGGGACAGGTTGTTGGCACGCCAGCTCCAACTCCAGCTCCTGGAACTCCCGCTGTGTTGACGTCGGGTGCTGTGCAGCGCTGTGCTGTTCGGGCCACGCCTAAATTTAGACTGAGCAACGTCACATACAACTTGGCCAGGTTTTCCATTTGCGGAGACAAGGGCTAAACCCGTTCACGGGTGTTCTGGAAAATGGAAATTCGCTGATACACAGGGCAGCGGGGAAACCCGTGCAGACGGCACATCGTAAGGTAATAAGTAACCGTTGCTCGTCGTTGCTTGCACGTGTTTTTCATGCTCACAACGACGGCGCTCCTACTGGGCCGAAGTGGAGTGGAGGTAAGAATGAGGCACCTTCATACCCGGCCAGAGGGAACGGATTCTTACTTGTCACGACAGTTACCTTCCCCAGGCACTTGCCTACTTAGGTAATTGTAAGGTACGGGCGCTAGCTGAGTGCAAGTTGGTATTTGCAACGGCCACGATCCCTCACGTTCAAAAGAGTGCAAACCTACCTGAGGGGTGGCAAGCCTCCACCTCACTGGAACTTTCAGTTAAGGCTGTGAAGAGTTGCCAATGTTGGCCCAAAGATCAGCGGAGCCGCCCAGCCGGCCAGAGGCAGGCGCGAGGCCCAAAGACCCGGGGATGCAGGGAGTGACGCCAGTTTGGGGCATGGCGGGGCCAGCGCATCGAAGCCAGTCAGGAGTCCCGTCGGAAAGGGAAGCTCGAGCTCAGGTCGGTCGCGGGGCTCGCAGCCTCCAGCCTCCCTCAGCCCAAATGTCGGTGTGGCCTGACGGTTCACTGGAGCCTAACACCCGACCTCCTTCCAAGCCCGACTCATGGACTCCATCATGCTGCTGAACGATGATGGGGCGACTCCCAATCCAAGTTTGCTCTACGGAAGCAAACAGCTCCCGACCCGCCATGTTATAACTGCCGCAATGCCTAGTACCAAAAAAAATCCGAGCCATAATAATGTGGCGGGGGATGAGGACTCACCTCACCAGAGCTGCGCCACGTCGCCAGTAAACTGCCGTTTCCGCCCGACGGGGCCAGAGACAAGCCGGCGGTCGAGAGAGACAAAAGGACCTAAATATTAGTGCGGCGCACAAACTTATTCGTCCCTGCTCTCTTATTAATTAGCTAATAGCCATAATAAGAATAAGCGTATAAAACACATCGTCAGAGCCCTATATCACAAACGAGGTAAAGTGAGGGAGTGACGCTAAACCGGATTCCCAAGCCCCCCCTCCCCTCTTTGCATGAAGTGCACCCCCTCCCCTCCCTCTCACTCCTCTCGATTCCCGTAACGATCAGGTGACGACAGAAATGTATCATCCATACGCAGGATGCGTTGTCTGTCTTGTGAATATGGAAGAGGAATATTTTAACATTTTTTTTCTTCTGTGCGGCTGCCGAGAGACTGTAGTTTTAAGTGCGTTGGTGCCCAGCGATGGCCCCCTCCCCCCCTCTCTCACTCGCTCACTCACCTCTTCTTTCCACCCCCTCCACGGTTATGAGAGCGGGTCGGGAGGGGGCAGAGAGGGGTGTGGTGGTGGGAGGGGACGCACCCGAAAGAAGGGAACACGATTGGAAAGGAAAGAAAAAAGTTGGTGGTCGCGACGCACACACGCGAAGACACACACACACACACACACACACACAAGTCCCACATCCATCCAACCACCCACCTCCTTCCCTTGGAAGTTGGGGGGATTCATTCGGTTGGACGAGAAGGCAGCAAAACCAGGGTCAGCTAAATTATATGACTGGCTAGAAATTGTTACTCAGAAACGGGAGTCTCCTTCAATTTCCAGACATCTAATTGGTTTTTTTTTGGACGAATCGTGGGGAGAGGAGAAGGGGAAGGGAAGCGCACGCGGTGGTGGGGGTGTCGCGCCTACTATTTTTTTGTACCAGCTTGGGACTTTGCACTTTTGCGGGAGGCAAACCGGCCAAGCCAGCGAGCCAACCTAATAAGCCGGCGCAACACGAAAAAAATTGAAAGGTTGAGATGGAAATGGAGCCACCCCTCTCCGACTCCCCAGAACAGGAAACCCCCGCCTGCCCCGAAAGAAAAGACTGTATCTGCCCAGATGTTTCACGTTGGAGTAAAGAAAAAAAAGTGCTGTCGGACCTTGGCCAATGACGGCGCGCCGTCCACGACCTTACCGTTCATCCCATCCCCTCTTGCTGGCTAGCTGGTTCATCTCCTTCCTGGATGTAACTTTGCCTTACTAATTTTTTTTGGTTCGTTTACAAAAAAATCGAAGACGTCACGCGTTGACGGACGACAAACGAGGCGGCGGCGATTTTGGGTCTAATCTCGGTCTCTCCCAGGATGACCTCGTTATTGTGTGTTTCGTCTCCTGCCAGCCACCCACCCCCTCCTTCTTTTCCAAAATAAGAAATAAAAAGAGAGATGAAATTGATAAATGATGAAAGTGACGGGATGGGATGGGGGGGAAATCCTTCGGTCCTGCCGCGCCGCTCCTGCCGCTGCGGCTGCCACTACCGCTTTTTTTCATCTCTTTTCCAGGCCGAAGGTAAAATAGAGTGCCTCCCAGCTAGCGACGGCTAGCTGGTTCCTACTGTGTAGGCCCTAGGTAGGTGTAACTGTCAGCACAGGGCAGAGACAGGGCGGACAGGGCAGGGCAGCAAACTTGAAAGTGCGGGATCAACCGCGCCGCTGGACGCTTGGCCAGAGTCAGACGGCGCATACCGCGCGCCCGAAAGTCGGCGTTTTCCCCCCACCACAGGGCACCACCACCCTTGCGAGTCTGCGACGTCGTCCGTTCCCTCGCTCGCTCGCTCTTTGCTGCTGCTGGACCGCCTCTCTCCAATAAGCGATCGGATCACGTCCGGGTCACGCCCCCAAGACAGCAAGGCAAGCTCTAGACGCTCTTATGGGATTTGAGGCTGGCCGCCGCTTCCTGCTTGTTGGTCGCCTCATTCTACCCCAGATCCACAAAAGCCCGCAGGTGGGCGGGCGACGGGCGGGGGGGATGTCTCCTGTCTGGTCAATTCCGATCCCAAAAAGCTGCTTTGCTTTGATCCTCTCTCGTCACGCGTCATCTTTTTTTCCATTTGGCCCCTTCTCCCTCTCCCCCATTTCGTGGTTCTGGTTTGTTTTGTTATGACTTCATACGGGAACTTTGCGCGTGGGGCAATCCACTCCCCCCTGCCCCTTTCCCATTTTCAGGTATCAGGAATACTTGGTGACTGACTACTGCTGCCCAACTGTCGATCACGTTATGCACTACGCACTCATTACTACTTCCTCTTTGTCTAAACCGGCCAAGAATGGTCAAACAACAAGAAGGCCCAGAATTGACAATGATAATAGAACTTCATACGGAGGAGTTACCTGTGGATTGTTAGATTGTGGAGAGAGCTTCCAGAAGAAAAAAAACACGACTTTCCCGATTCCGGTAATGAGCTCCCCCCTGCTCTCACTCTTGAGACGTTGAAGGTGTGCAAGGTGCCCCGGCGAATAAGCCAAAGAGTCGGCTTCTGCGTTTCTATTCGACGCCCAGCCAAACGAGGGCAAACAAGATCTCCCCTTCTTTTCTTTCCGTTCCTCTCCACGCCGTGCCTAGTGTATGTACCTACGTAGTGTGGTAGGTGTGTGGGCCAATTACCCAGGGACATTGGGCCTATCTCGGTAAGGAGCAAGGAGCTACTACACTATTTGCCTCCACACCACACCGGCGCGAGCCTTGCCCCGGATAAGGGAGGGATGGAGGGGGATGGCCAGCTCGCCGTTTCCGATATCCCGTCTCCGTCCCATTATTGTGATGATGCCGAGCAAAAGACACACAAGTGTGCGGGAGTGAGCACGCGCTTGGCAGGGCGCTTATTGCATTACACAGGATTGCTCATGAGATTGTAGACGTGTGACGAGAATATTGACCTAGCAGGCAGGCCTCCTCCTTGGGGGCGGAGACGAGTCGTCACTCAGTCTATCGTGTGCTTTCATTGTTCGGAACCGTCGACGCCTGCTCGTCGGCCGAGTTTACCTTGTTGTTCTCTTTCTATCTCCATCTCTGTGAGTGTGTGTGTGGAGAGGGGAGTGGTGGGTTGTAAGCCGTCCGTCCGTCTGGTCCATTCAGAGCGTTGTTCTCGAATTCGTCCATCCCGTTGGCTGACGGCGGCGGCGACGCGGTTACATTTTTGTTCTGTCTTTCCCCTTTCAAACGAAAAGAAAAATCTCCGAATCGTAAACACAGTTGACGGTTCCCCCATCACCATCCCCACCCGCTTAGGAGGCGGCCACCTCTAGTTCCGCCCGAGTATCATGTCTGAGCTAGACTTTCGTGACGGGATAGTCCCATACGGCTCCTTTCGTTCCCGACTATCGGTTTCATTATCGAACAAGAGCCGGGCCACTCAGATTCAATAACCAGGCCCTCCTTCCCTCTCTCCCCTACATGTCTCGGCACTACTCTAGTAGGGGGGGAGGGAGGCGATACACATCCACAGGATATAAAAGTCCGGGGTAGTGCAGGTGTGCAGTGGGCACTTTTGGCCTTCTTTCTTTTCTTGCACCGTCTTCTGGCAGTCGATTCGCTGACGGGAAATTCTCCGTGATTTCCACCTGCCAGAGGAATGCCTGTCTGCCACGAGTTGTGGCTTTTTTTTAGGGGTCCCCCCTTCTTTGTGGCATTCGTGTTTTGGTGTTGCAGCCTCATGTCTGAACAAGGGGGCAGGGTGTGAAATGTGAGATGTCACTCGCCATGCCTTTTTTCCTTGTTAAGCGATGGGAAGCATCGTGATGAATCCAAACCTGGCAATAAGTTGCCCGTTTCTGGACACTTGCCGGGTTGATTGTTGATGATGGTCGTGATTCGCCCCTCCCCAGCTGTGAGCGAAGCGACACAAGACTATTGCGGTCCAGAGGGTTCCAGAGCCGGGACATGGGCTTGGGGAGAGAGTTGCGCGCAGGAATTCTACACGAGCTATGACATTGCGATGAGTAGGTACGTACGTCTTCTCGCTTCGCCTCTCGCTGTTGCCAATCTCCTTCCCTCTCGCCGCTGCTGTCTCGGCCCTTCGGGCCAAACTCGTGCCTGGCTTGTCCAGGCTCAGAGGGGAGGTCGCTACCGAGATGAGCCGCTGCCAACCTATCAACCCGTCAGAACTTGGGGAGATTCGTGGTCGAGAAATTGGGTCGTGCTCCACCGGCTGAACACTCGTGACAGGGTCTCCACGCGAAGGAGCCAGGCCCGGAGTAAACAAACCCAGAGTAGCCTTCTCCTTTTGCGAATAGAGCGTATGCTCGTGTTCGTCTGCCCAACCATGTCCCCGATGATCACGGGCCCTGGGACGTGAGTCCGCTAGTGTGGTTGTAACAATACATGGTATCACAAGATTGCCTGTTCTAGCGACTGTTTTGACGGCAGTAAGATCGACGGCCTAGCGAGTATCGAGCGGCTAGAGAGTGTTTGCCGCTATGCCTCGAGGCTGCCCGTCTTCCCCATAGCTAAGGTAGGTGCTTTGGGGCTTGAGGTCACCAAGCCAACGTGTTCGTCTAGGTGACACGGTCAAAGATCACCTGGGCCCGGGGAGAGGGAGGCTGAGCGAAACCCAGACGCCTCCCAGAGGGTCGTCGCAGGAGAACCGAACACATCTGCACACACTAAGCCCACCATGACCGAGCGACCGAGCCTGACGCCACAGAATCTCGGCAACATCGGCATATTGCATGTGCGCAGAGTACGCGTTGTATATGCGCAGAGCAGAGACACGCCGACTGGCTCGTTGCGAGAACGACAGAAGAGCCCGCCCGGGGACGGCTGAGTGAGGAGGTGAGGAGGTGGCCGAAATCTTGACGCCACGGGCGAAGGGGGGAGCAGCATCATCCGAGACACACCTTCGCACCGCACATACACACCTCACCTTCTTTATCCGGGAAGTGGCCGCCTCTGTTCTGGAAAATGAAAAATGACAAGCGCCCACGGAGAGCTCCACGTCTCACTTCTTCCCTCAAAGAGACAAAGCTGCGGGCGCTGTCACGGGGAGGCAGTCAGTCAGCGGGCTTGGACACCATCGCTTGTCTCAAGTCTCACATTGCGTGGGGCTTCGGCGACAGATGGTCACGACGTGATTAGTCTATCTTCGGGGCTTCATCTACTTGGCTTAGCTTTTAGGAGGGCTTTGCTGGAAACTGGGGACTGGGGCCGGCAAGGCTCACCGGCGCTGATTCGAGACATTTCGTTCTTGTTTCTTTTTGGGGCAGTGGATGGGCTCTGCAGTGTCTTTCTCCCGTCGTTAACTATTAGTTTAAGCTATTTGCTGTCGCCGGGTTGTGCATTTTGATCTGGTTGCCTTGTGGTTTGGAATTTTGTTGTCCACCGTCGCATTTATGCGTTGAAGATGTTAAAATGGTTAAACAAGAGAAGACATTTTCCGGGCAAAGGAAACACTGCATGGGAACAGCAAGAGTATTTCCCTCGTCCTTTCACGGGCGTATGGTTCAGGGAGGGTAGTAAACGACACAAGCTAGACGAAACACTGCGCCGTTGTCGAAAAGGGGGTTAGCAAGACGTTGACATTGACTGCCTTGTTTCGGGTTCAGTCAGCTAGTAGATTCCTAAAGTTTGAAGATGTAGGACTTAACTCAGAGCTTTTGATGTTGGTCAGCGCCTAGACTAGTCCTAGACCTAATGTCCTGGTCAGTCGTTGGGCGTAGTCAAAATCCAATTGGTGTACGTTTTGGTAGGTAGCCAATTGCTTAACAACACTCATTTTGGCATAAAGGTCCCGGAACTTGTACCGTCAACGTCTTGCTTCGTCTGCTCAAGGAAGGCCTTCCACAGTTAAATATATCACCAGAGTGAAATGGCTTAACGCACACACTAAAATTAACACAGTTGAGTTGTATAGAGTACATGAGGCAGTGTGCTAATACTCCAGGAGATATCAGAGGGAGGGGGCTTTGGTGAGCCCCAAGTCGTGATCGCGCCCGGATCCTGTAAAGCACCGTGGTTTCCCTATGGCTCTATGGCGTTCTCGTGTCTTTGTGTTTTAATATTCTCTCAATATTCTTCATCTCATGTCATCGAGTAGCCCGGCGATCCGATATGTGTGGCACGGGTTGTTTACTAGGCGAACCGGCCGATAATTCGACAGTGTAATGCGTTACCCTTGGAGCCCCTAGCCCCTTTAAGCTCAGAGGGAAGTGGATGTTGTTTGTTTATTTGTCGACTCTGTTGAGGAGCAGACTTCCGCAGTCCCAGACCGCCCACAACATGATACGGCTCATACCACGCCACCATTTATACAGAGCAACTTTCACAAGTTAGACGTAAACGTAATAACACAATTATTTGAGCAACTACATACTATCTCCCCAGTATACGCCATATCCTTACTATGTCTCTTCTAAGGAGACAAGAGATAATTAATCAGTTAACCCCAAAGAGAACGTAATACACCAGTAGTGAAATCGAAATGTCCTAGGTCCCAATTAGTCAAGGGACCTTGACCGGAGAAGCTACGCAGCCATTTCGAGATGGAGGTGTTCATAATTGGAATGATGTAACACCGTCTTAACATCGCCATAAGTGCCCTGTGCGAAAACTTTGATCTTACCTGGCGGTAGTAAGGTCCGTGAGCGGTCGGCATGACTATCGGAGCGGTGCGGTTCAATTATTTGATTCTTTGCTGTACAGCGGCAGATACTTAACTATGTTCATTTTAGGGTGTGTGTGGTGATGGGTGATGGGTGTGGGCCATTTCACTTTCGTGATAGATGTAACTGTGAGAGTCAATCCCCGAGTAGAGACTCCTTGAGTAGACGAAACAAAATATAACATCGCCATAATTTTATAGAAGCCGTGGAATAAGCAAATTAAGTAAAAGTAAACAAACAAGTGTCGTTCAACAATCTTGTCACCACCGAACATACAACGACAGGCTTATAGTGTCAAGTAAGAGAGCCGAGAACAGCGTCATTAGAAGACAGACTGTCCCCGACAACTAACAATTGCCGGGAAAGTTATCTATTGACGGTAGTGGTGAATAGACGGGGCCGCCGAGTCTAGAGAGAATTGTGACTCTGAAGAGCAAAACTCGAGTCCTGCGCTTCTTCAGGTCACAGGCTCAATGGCTCAAGAAGAACATGGAGAACAACCAACAGTCCCCCTTCTAGCCTAGGCACACTCACACTGTCTCTATGGTTGTCCGAGAGGCGGAAAGCCAGAGCAAAAATGCGTATATCCCCCTTTCTCCTTCAAAGTCTATATACTTGACAATCAACTCGAAGAGTAAACCGGATATTGTCATATTCACCATCGCATTATCGCACCATAGACCATAACATATCTGAACACACTCCGCGGTCAGTCTATTCACTGTCACGCGTCGTGCTACAACGAAGCAAGCTTGATGCTCTGCCCAAAAAGCTTTACCCGCGCCTCCAAGATGTAGCCAAGAACTTAGTTAAGCGTAAGAGAGAAGAGAGAAGAGAGAAGAGAGACCTTCTAACTAGCCGCTGCCGTAATCAAATTAAATATGAATACCTTTCATGCAACATCACTTTGTGCATCGCCGGCAACTAGGTACCTACTTGGGCACCTACTACCCCGACTACAATGTACTCTCTCAGAGCCACAACTTCTAATACAAGCTCCCCGCGGTATCCTAGACCAAAATCTTCACCTTGGCCATGCAGGATTGTAAGAAGAAACAGCAGTGTCACGACACTTCAGCGTTTCCGTTGTGGCTGAAGTAAGTAAGCCAATCCGTCCGTTAGCCATTCAAGCATGAAATGCATATTCTGATGGTTCCTAGAAGAGAAACAGCAACCGCCAGACATACAGACAGACAGACCGCAGGCTACCAACAGCGGAACATGGACTCATTTCTGGGGGTAGAGAAACCCCCCCGCTTCTCCTCGTCCTTGCACGAGGAGGATGGAAGCTACACTAAGCGCTGCCTGCCGCCCTACAGATAGTTCTATAACGGGGTAGGACGAATGGCTGCCGACATCACCAACACACTTATGCAAAGTATTCGCTTCGAGGGGACGCCGCACATTATGCTGAGAGCTCACTAGGTATGTTTACATGGGGGTTTTGGAAATGGAGCAATAACTAACAGGCTCTCATTACTTGTATAGCCGTGCTCTGGTATTCATGTCGTCGAAGAGGGGAGGGTTGAAGTCTATGATAGATACAGAGTAGATATGTCGGGAGTTTGAACTAACTGAGAAAAGCCGTCAATTTACAATGACGGTAGAGGCTCGCCATCGTCTATACGTCAAGTACACCAACTCAATCTGTTCGGTAGGACCCCACGAGTGACCACCGTCGTACTTCTACCCGAGAAGAGAAGATCATCGATAGAAGATAGGAGAAAACGGGTCCTCGCTTCTGGGGTCTGACCCATGGGCTACTCCATCTTCCCGTCCCGAGCCAAAAGAACAACTCTAGTTCTCGCTTTGAGCAACAGCCGAAGAAACAGCAGCACCAACGACCAAGAAAAGTTCTTAGTCACTTCGTTTATGCATATCGACGTTTCCCTCCTCCCATCACAGCGAGGATGACCACGGGCGCTAGATAGGAAAGGCTACACCGACCAAAGCCGCGACATAGATCGAGGACTTCGGTCACCGCGTACTAATGCTCGTTTCCACCGGCTCATCGGGCAGGGAAAATGACAATAGTCGCAACATGTCATTCACAGCCCTAGCGCCGTTGCTACGGCATGCCCTTGTCCCGTGGGCCCGAACTTCGCAATACCCGGGAAAATGGGCTCTCCCATGGCCACCAAAAGCCCAACTAGCCCATTCTCTAGATACGGGCAGGAAAAGAGGGCCCCTGCCTGGCCCGGATTTCAATATAAGGAACCTAACGAACAGACAGCCGTGCTTCTTGTTGGCCTGAATGACAGACCAGCCCAAGCACCAAGAGCCAGACCATGCCCGGGTCGCTGTTTGGATCAGGGAGCCAAGGTGGAAGATGAAAACGAATAATGGCAACAGACCGCTACTTCGGCTGTGATGTGGTAAGTATTAGACATGATGGGATGCCACTGGGCGCCAGGCCCAGGCGCTTGATCACGGCCGGTGCTTGGTCGCAGCCATGACGAGATGGTGCACACACCGATAGGAAGGAAGCAATAGGCTCATCACGTATGCCTGGGTCGTGGCTTGGCAAGTCTGCCGGGGCAGGCACACGCGAGGTAAACCTAGAGAGCAGATTGTGCTGGGGAGCAAATCCATCCATGGTGAAGATGGATTGCAGTCCTGGGAAACAATAGAGTTGTGATAGCCGCATCCCGCACAGTGGGAACTTCATTGTGCCACTCAAGCAAGGTCAAAGTGCGGTAGTTCTATCTTTTCGAGCCAACCCAGTGTGATGGGTAAGACCCTTGACCGGAATCCACAAGGACTTCCACCAAAGCTTCGCTCGGAGTTCATGCCGGGCTTTACTTTCTGGCCCCGGCGTCTATTAGAGCGGAATATTTCACCCGGGGACAGAACAGTACCGTCATCCCACGCAAACCAACAAGCGGGAGAACAAGGGCGATGGGGAAATTGGCCGATCCAGGAGTTCCCCATGCAACATTGCGAAAGACTATATCGGAGAGTTGGCGAGGCCATTGGCTTAGCCACGGCTCAACAGTTGTAGCGAGAGTAATCCCATAGGGCCTCTGACTGTTTAGATCCCTTGACAGTGCTATTAGCAGAAAGAGAATGAGAATATATCTGCCCAAAAGGTCATTGGGAAGGAGGACCCGAACATGCGGGGGTAGCTGCAAGTCGAGGCCAAGGAAGAGACGCCCTTGGATCTCATTTGAGCGTTAGACGCATTGGGCGGCAAGTGGCACAACTGTGGTTAGCCTTCGGGTGGGCAGTTGAAATCGAGAGACCGGTGAGAGACGAAAGCCCAAGTATCCAGCCAAAAACGTGGTTTGTTCGGGTTGTCGCTCATTAATTGCCCCGTCGAGCCGGTGCAACTCAGTACCAGAGCCCTCTCTATGACAGAATGTCAGCAATCTCAAAGAGAGGAAGTGTTACGGAGGGCGGAACAAGAGGCTGGAAGCATTGAGCGAGGTCCACTACGCAGACACGGGCCAGAGAGAATACCCGACAGTCATGGGGATGGGGTAGCAAGTTGATCACGAGCAGGGGCACCTACGCGGTTATCTGCAAGCCTTTTGTGGGGAGAAGGCCGACCTGGTCGACAGCGGCTAGGTGTAGGTGCTCGATGGCCACCTGGCCGCGTGGCTTGTCCGGCCATCAATGGCTATCTTGGCCATCGGAGTGGTGAATATTTTGGAAAGCAATATTTGGGGAGCCGCCGTGCAAAGACCCAAAGGGGAAGACTGGCCAAGGTGGACGGGAAGAGGGCGGTGGAAGCCCATGCTGGAGTACGGATACCAGGGCCCGCTCTCGTCCTGCTCTCCGCCGGGTCTCGAAGGATGGAGCAACATCCGAAGCCAGCCACGAACTGCTAGAAGAGGCACGGTAGATGGCGCTAGGAGCAAGTAAAGCTTGGTCTGGGGCTCTTGGGAAGCTGGGACGAGGCGCAACCTTCTAGAAGCGGCACAGGCACGCGGCTCTGGACCCGTGATGCTGATCCGAGGCGGGACTGAGTACAGCATGGCGCCCGCCTTGCATGGTAGGCACAGTACGTATGTATGCACAAGACAAGCGGGAGACGGTGTTGCCGAGGAAGCAGGCGCGCGGCCCACGTCGATACTACGTACTGCGGTGGAGGCAAGGCACGGTACAGTACCTGAGGTAAGGCAAGGTAAGTAAAGTATGACATCTGACAAAGATGGGAGGCTTGTATGGACACAAACCATCTTAGTAGCTGTAATAATAGGCCCAGGTCCATGGCAGCCGCCCAAGGGGACGACGACAAGAGGCTTGTGGCACGCTAAGCCAATGGATGCCCAGACGTTAAGCGCGGCTGGCGCACCCAATTTGGCAATCGGGGGCGCTCTCCAACCAACCGAGACGGCCCCATTTCTTGCAAGCGCGTCAACAGCCGCGCAAGAGATGGACTATGGATTCTGGATGCCCATATTCCAGAATCCATATTCCACAATCCACACGGATAATCCGAGAGTACGTACTCCGTACAGCTTTCAATTTCCACAAGCGGCCAAGGGATTAAGCGCAAGGGAAATGATAGGCTGCACAGACGACGGCGGCGACGGCGACGGTGACAACGATACGATGGCGGCGGCGGCCAGACGACGAGCGCTGGGCCATCTAAGTATAGTCGAAATTGCTATCGATCCAAGGGGTGGAGTGCCGTAGCGTAGCTCCCATGCCGTTGATACCTACCTTTGCCAAGGCACACCCGACTCGAGCGGATAGCGCGCGCTCTGATGACGGGAGCTCGCCGAGACGTCCCTCGACCTCGACATCGACCTCGACCTCGACCTGCGGCGATGCGGGTTCCAAAATTGAATCGGCCACTGCTCACGACTGGCGACGTCCAGCGCCACGCAGAGAGTACCGTACATACCCGCCCACCAGCCTCTATTGATAGATATCCATTCTTTGTCGAGGCCCAGCCGGGCGGTTAGGCTATAGGTATGGTAGTAAATTGTAAGTAGGTGAGGCGAGGTAAGTCAAGGTACAGAAAATAAGGTAGCAATAACTTGTGCGGGATTGGGGCGGGCGTGGCAACGAGGCGGCGAGAGCGCTTCCGATGCATATACCGTGACTACTTAGTATATGTGTGGCGCCTCCCGTCGAGAGTCGAAAGTGAGGGGAATCACACATCCAGGTTCAGGTTGGATGTTCGAGTTCCGTCTTGTCCGACTCTCATCACAGACACACCAAAGTACCATCACCAACGCACCTTCCGCAATCCGCCAACAATCGGATTGGATACCCACCCCCACTACCTACATCCTACCCGCATCTCGAGAGCGACAGTCACAGCACAGGCCGGGCCCGTGTGAACTGGCCAATCTCCGCTTTTGACATCTGGAATCTGGGTCTGCCCTGGCCAATACCGCCAAAGGTACCTCGGCCTTTCCTGCCCTAATTTCAACACCCGACTCTCTTTTGCTTCGAGTTGCGCGCTTGCCAGTCTCACGGCTCTTGCGGCTTCCTTTCTCGGCCTATTCATTCATAATCTTCGATTCTGCTCGTGTCGCGCCTTCCGTGGACAATCACCAAACAGTTCGGTCCATTCAGACTCTCTTTCGCTCCTGCCACAGTCGATGTTCTTCCGCTGTGGTTGAGGTCCCACCGTTTGGTAAGCGGCAAGCCCTGGCCAATCACCGACCCTTGTGCTAAGAATATGACCTTAGCGCTTTCCCCTGCTGCAGGTTCTAGCGGGCACGGCCAATCAGGCGTCTCGTCCAAGACGTTCACGGCGGCTGAGATACCGACGCCCATCACGATCCCGCGGCCGTGACCTTGGCCCGCTCGTGGCGCTCGCGCTCGCCAGTCATCATCGCTGGGCCTTCGGGGGGTCCATTAAGGTTTTCCATTGCACCTTTTGCCCGGGGGGCTTGGTCTTGTTGCACCTCGCACCACGGCAAATTAGCCCGTGAGAGAAGCCGCCCGACTCCCTCTCTCTCTTTTCGGTCTCAGGCTCAACGCCATCTCAACAGACGGGTCTTGCTGTCCATCCAATATCCTCTTTGCCCGCTTCATCGACGTGGAATATTGGACAGTGCTACGCGCTCCGCTCTCAGCGCTCCCCTAGGCAAGTCGTCGTTCACAGTAAGTGCACGCAAATTTCATCTTCATTTTAGGTCATCTTGATTCTCGAGCTTGGCCCCGGGCCAGTCTCGCCAGACGAAAAAAGAAGCCTCAGAGTTCTGAGGACGGGACCAAGACTGTCTGCCACCCCCTTGCGCAAATCACACTCCCCCAAGCACGAAGCCGGGAACAAAGTACAGGCAGAAGAGGCCAGGGCAGCAGGTCCCATTCTGGTTGAGTGAGGTACTATAGAGTACGGACGCGCACCTTGTGGACTCGGGCAACGGAGCTGCATCGAGTCACACTAAAGCATCCCCAGTATCTCAGCACATTCACTGCCGCCTTGGGCCCTGTCAAATCGTCGCTTCTCGCTTGTCGTGGACCGCCCCACCTCAGGTCTGGCGCTGCTCATTTGCCGCTGCTTCAAGCCCCCTCCCACTCGCTGCAGAGTGCAGACCAGGCCACTCCTAGTGAGGCCTGCCTGCTGCCAGTCCAAGAGCTGCCCGTTGCCCGCCGGCTGCAACAGTGCCTGTCACTTCCATCCTTGTGCACCTCGGCCAACCCATCCCATCTGTCTTCGTTTTTGTCTGAATTTCTGGACGCCTGCCTTGCCCTGCCCTGCATTTCCATAAATCAGACACACACACACAGCACCGTCTTTCGGGCACTGTACATCGAACGCTGTCTGTTGCGCGAACCTCCTACGGCGCCTGTATCTGACCCTTTCGCTGTCTAGGCTTCTCACCGTCCCAGGTTCACGGATAGCTAATCCGTACCTATAATATTTCCACTGTTGATCTCGTCTCACGACCATACTGGGCCTCGAAACTGGCCGCCCCGGTTCAATAAACAAACAACACTGGTTGGCGCTGCTTTGGTCTTGTACAGTATTTAACCACAGTCTTCTGCTCCGTACGAGATACGGAGTACTTTGGTCCAGTCCTTTAGCACCTCCCGCCAGACTCTGTTGCCCGCCGGCAAACCAGACCCCGGAACCCCAGCCCGCCACTCTGGGATCCTAGATACCTGACAAGGTCCCGGCGCTAGGGTCCAGATCCTCCCCCAGCTTGCGCGGGGAGCTGTTGCAAGGCTCCTTTTGTTTCGTCGGCGCACGCGCGAGGGCCTCTCGTCGGCTCATCCATACTACCGTACCACACTACCTCGCTCACCTCACCCGGTCACTTCATATAATCGTGGGACCGCCCCCCCCAACCTGCACCTCTCCTGCACTCTTCCCCTTTCCTTCCAGTGCCGGATTCCTTTCCAGGTGCCTTCCTTCCTCCGGGTCGAGTCAACTGGCAATTTAAGACGCCATCTTAGCTGTAAGACATCACAAGAGTCATTCACTTGACTCTTCTCCTAGGACAGCACACTTAAGCTGCCGTCATGTCTTCTAAACCCACCCTTTCGCTGTCGACGCCAGTCACGGCAAACTTCCCTCACATCCCGCCGCCTCCCTCGGAGCTTCGCTCGGCTGTCTCACTCCCCTCCGCCGTCGAGACGCCCCTGTCGGCCATTTCACGGACATCAGCCTTTCGGGATCCCCTTCCGTCGTCGGGACTTCCGTCGGCCGGCTTGCCCTCGGCCGGCCCTTTCAGCGCCACCCTCAAGTTTGAATATGATATGCAGAAGACCCCCATCACGCCGCCCGTGGCCTATCTGGACTTCCTGAAGAGCATGTCGTTGGTCTCGCCCTGTCTCACCTCTCCGCCCCATACCGGCAAGGCCGCCTTGAATAGAACAAGCACCGCCAGCGCCAGCAGCACAGTTAGCAGCGCCAGCGCCAGCAGCAAGGACAGTACCCCCAGCAGTGTCACTAGCGATGCCGCGAGTTTGGACGACGGCGAGAAGGAGAAGATCGAGCTGATTGAGAGTGGTCCGTCCACGGCGCGGTCCGATGTCAACAGCGAATGTGGCGATGATGAGAAGACCAAGGAAAGGGAAAAGAGCCCACGGCCTTCGCCCATCAGCATCAAGTCCCCTCCGACGCCCGTTAACTCTTATTATCCACTGTCCGCCCCACTTGCGGGACCTTCTGTTTTCCCAAGCATGAAACTCCCCACCTCACCTGCCGTTTCGGCCTCGGGCCTCTACTCCCCAAGGTCGCCGTTGAGTGCCGCGTCGGTGCACTCACCGTTTGACTGGGACGCGGCCCTGAAGGCAAAGCGGTTCTCAGACATCCCCGGGGCGAAGCGCCCTGCTGCACCCGAGACGCCAACTGTGACCGTACCTGCTCCCACCCATGCCAAGAGGGAGTCGAGGTCAAGTATTCGACACATACGAGAGGTCGTCACAAGGACGGTGACGTACACTCCACGGATGGCCCCCGCTCCCAAGGGGAAGCGGAGAAAGCTCGACTCCGAGACGACACCAAAGTCATGAGAGCAGTTGGGGTTGGATTGATTGAATGGAGATGGGGCGAGATCCGACTAACATCACCGCGAATTCCGGCATTGTAATGTATGCGAAGCTTCGCATACAGATACATTGACGGTGCTGGATATCACGGCCATATTCGGTCGAGCAACCGACTAGCTGCCAAATTCCCTTTGTATTACACTACAATATATATACCCCGCCGCCAGCGCCGCCGCCACCGCGCTGCCGCCGCCACCACTCACGACAGCCGCTCAACCACCGGCGCCGAGTCACACCGCAAACATGACCTGCAGGAATCGACTCGCCAACTAAGGAACGTAGGAGAGACGGGAAGCCAAGGCAGCCAGGGGCTGCAAGTGGATGATCTCTCCAAATGAGCGGAACGCAATGAATGGACCATGGAATTGGAAAACAGCGAGAGAAAATCTGTTCGCTATGGGATATTAACGAAGCCAAGGGTAACGGAGTTTACTGGCGTTGCTGGCGGCGTCCACCTTTTTTTTTTTTTCGTCTACGACAATACTTTTTTGGGGGTCTGGGTCTGATACCAATGGACTGAGTATCTGAACGCAAAGATTTTGGATATGGTGATAGGTGTTGTAGCTTTTCGTTACAATTGCACACAATACACATACACACACTCAAAATTTGCATCGCGTTGTTTATTGTTTATTACACTATTCTCGTACGCGGTGAGGGAACAGTAGCACGCACGTCGTCTGTTGTTTGTTTGTTTCCCCTACGTCCACGATCTTGGGCCGGGTAGGGCGGCGGCCACTTTGTGCGACCACTGCTTGTTCCTCTGTCCCTTTTCCCCGCCCGGGACAACGTATCCGAAAAGTTACGTCAGGAGGTCAAGGGCCTACACCTAGGTACCCGTCGTTAAGGAAGGTTAGGTAGGTGGCTGAGAAAGTGACTGTTCTCAAGACAACAAAACTGGTTTGGTGATCATACTCACGGGGTCGATAATTTGCTACCATTGCTCCACGAATTACTACTCTTACGAGCACGCACGCGCGGGAAGGAAGGGGGAAGGGTAGATTCCCTAATAGTGTGTGTGTGTGTGTGACGTCTTTGAGGTATGTACCTACTACCTACCCAAGCTACGGAGTTGCCCCCCCCACCCCCTATTATCACCTACCATCCCTCTCTTTTTGATATATATGTGGAGTGCTTTGGCTTCTTGTTCCGAGTAGGAACCAAGTCATGCAACAAGCCTTCACAGAAACGAAGATCGATACCTAGCTGCCGTCTGTCTTCAAACTATCCTCCATACCAATCTCCCAAAAAAAAAAAGATGCCCGTACAGTCTCAGTAAAAGCGGCGTCAAAGCCCCCAGCCTAAGCCCAAGTACATACGTAGCCTAGCCTAGCGCAATCCGCCCGCATGGTCGTGACCAGGGGGTCCCGGCGGCCCGTGGCCCGTGACTGGCTGCGGCGCCAACACTTGTAAGCGCTCGCTGGGATGTGTGAAGGCTGGCCGTGTCGTGCATAAGACACAAAGCAAGGGGGGGATATGATTGGCTGAGGGGGAGGGGACTCACTCAAGAGAGTGGGCAAAAAGGACGAGTTGGTAGGAGGGGAAAAAGAAAGTGACTTTTAAGCGCCGCACTTTTTAGGTATCTTTTTGTCTTTCATTTTGCGGGGGATCGTGGTTGGGGACTAGGTACATACCACGGCCGGCACGAAGCCTGAAAGATGGATGGCTGCGGGCGACTTTAAACTCCGCTGTGCTGTGTTTTTTCTCCAGCTACAGGACGAAAGATGAACAAGTCGGCGAGACAGTTTTGTGATGGTAGACTGTCGAGCCAGTCTGCTCCGTACAATAAGTACATCGGCTGTGTAAGAAAGGTGGTGGTGCGACTCGGCTGCAGCAAAGATGCACACACACACACACACACACACACACACACACACACACACACACACACACATTACATATCGAGACAGACGGAAACGCCGTGTCGATGATCATCTCGTCTCACTCATCGGGTGCCGGTCGGGTCGGTTAGATTGGGCACGATTTACGATTTCGGGAGCTCCGCCTCCTGCAACAAGACAGACAAGACACCGTTCGGCTGTGTTCGCGTCAGTCAGCACAGCACAGCACAGCACAGCACAGCACAGTACGAAAAACATCATCCACCCCAGTCCCAGTTCTGGAAGCCCAGGTGAGAGACAACGAGGCCTCTCGTACCGTGGCCCCATCCATCACATCACTTGCATCTACGTATCTATCTACCTGCTAGCATTGTACATAACCGCCTTAGTGTCTTGCGAACGATATTGAATTCTTGCAATTGCATGCGACGCAGCTGCGTTTGCCCCAAAAGGCCAGCCCAGCCAGTGATAGACAAACGGCCGACGGCTGTCTCTGATTGGACCGAGGTTGAGGTATGGGGTTTTGGTGTAAGGTCTAGGGGTTGGGGGGTGCCTGAGAGGTGATGGGATGGCGAAATTGCCCGGACAAGGCTGGCGACGGACCTAGATTAGGCATTTTACCCTCGACAAGAGGGAGAGAAGAAAAGCAAATTGCATGTGTCCAAAAAGTAAAGTTGAAACAGCAAACGACATGAAACGAACAGCCCTCAGGGGTTCTCGCGTTGTTGGTTGGTCCCCCCCCGCTGCGCGGGAGCGTGACGCACCTGCATGTTTCGAACGTTGAGGAAGTTTCGAAACGCATTTCTTTCTAGGCTTTCTCTATATTTGGACGCGCATTGACGTGCTCCCGTCAGCTTCCCCACGGGCACGCTACGCTACCGCGACTGTGCCACGGGGCCAACAACTGGAGTTGCACCCCGTCCGTGACTCCGCAACGCTGGATGCTGGGCGGGACAGGGATCACCACCTGGTCAGGTCAGGTCAGAATGCTGGGAAAAGGGGGCCGTTGGTTCTAGGTATAATGGAGTTGGCGATATTGGTTGCCATCGCTCCGCTGCGCTGGGATGAGATTGCTATTTTTGTCCCGTCACAAACCTTCTTCAAGGATCAGTCACAAACAAGCGAGCCAGGTTGCCCGTGTCTTCCCACCACTCAACCAATGGTTCGAACCTCTTTCGCTACGGCGTTACATAGCGCAACCCGCACGCCGGCCCCGGTCAGGACATGTATCCATAGCCGTTGAGTATCGCTGAGGCGGTCGTTGGCGCTCTTCACTTCGGCGAAGAGGACTTCGCCGATGCGCGTCCCCTCGCCATCTGCACTGTGTTGAGCTTCACCCTGCACCACCCGCCAGAGGACAAGGTCTGGCACGCCACCTCCGCGGGCCCTGTAATCCTGTGCCATGACCTTGCACACGGCAGCGAGCGCTTCACCGTTGAAGCAGGTGACCAGCTCTAGCAGGTCGTCAATGTCAAAGTCCCAGTTCAGGCCCACCACGCATGTTCGACGCTCTCGCTCCCGCTCGTCAACCTCGCGGAGAAGCTTTTCCGCTTTACCGTTGGCGATTTCTACCAGCCGGTGGTTGATCTCGCTTGCGCGGGCCGGGTAGAAGGCGTCCGTGTGGAGATCGAGTGGGCAGGTCTGGTACTCGGTCTGGAAGACGTTGGGGATGTAGACAAAGAGCACGTCGAAAAAGAGATGGGCGAACAGGGTACGGAGGATACCGCCTTCACTGTGATAGCCCTTCCAGCCCTGGCTGCGGTAGTACGAGAGACACATGTCCTCGACGCTGACATGAAGAGGGTGTCCGTCCTCGCCCGGCTCGCCGAGCTCGTCGAGCCACAGAGTTTTGGTGCTTGGCCCCCGCCCCGCCTTCCCCTTGGTGTTTGCGTCATCAGACTGGAGCTGGATGCCATGGACCGTGTGCTCTTCGGGCTGCCGTAGCTTTACATGGCCGAAATCATGTTGCAGGCGCCGTGGGATGCGCAGCCTCTTTTCGAGCTTGGTCAGGCGCTTTTGCAGATCGTAGTGATAGATGAGATGGCAGTCAGGGTCCTCCAGGGCGGTCTCACAGGTAGCGACGGCAATCCGCTGCCAATGCTTCTTCTGCGCCTCAGGACCGGTCGAAGAGGGATTTGGGTCAACTTCCCACATGTAGCGCTCTTCCAACAACGCCTTGCGCTGGTACCAGGAGCCACGGCGAGCTGGGTGGAAGAGCCGCTGGCTGAGTAGTTCCGACAGAAGTTGGTGCTCCTCCTTGTACCTGTGAAGACGGCCGAGGACATGAGCTACCTTGTGCGCAATTCTCGAGTACGCGTGAGCGGCATTGAAACGGCGAAGGTAGCCTCCTTCGCCGAATTCGTAGACGCTCGCTTCCCTGCGCTGTTCTTCACGCAGTAGCTCCCTCCAACGTTCCGAGATGCTTTCGAAGACGTCCAACACCTTGCAAAAGCCATCCTCCCCAGGCGGGCCGTTAAACTCGAGGATCTGTTCGACTTCGAACTCCTTGCGCATCGAGTGCTCGAATTCAAGAAGGCGGCGCCGGGAGGGGAAGATGTTAGTCGATCGACATACCAGGTAGCTGGGGAAGTTCCTGCGCGAGATCTTTGCCAGTACAATGGTGGTGAGGGACTTCTCAGTCCACTCTGTGGACCGGTAAAAGACCAAGTGAACACGCTCAAACAGCTTGAAGACGGGCTCGGATAGTCGGATGAGGGGTCCGGTTATAGCAAGGACCTTGGCCAGGAAGTGCGAGTTGCGGTTCAAGTCCTGCTTGTCTGGGCTTTGGTGCCGCGACTGGGACTCGTGGCCGCTTCCCGACCCGTTCGTGCTCGTCCGCCGCAATCCTAGAGCCATGAGACCCGATTGCTGTGCGCTCATGCGGCAGAACGCCTTGAGGAGGTCTGGCTTATTCTTGCCCTGAACCTTGGCATCTTTGGCGAGGGACTTGAGCTCGTCAAGGCTGAGCAGCGAGGATGCCTCTTCAATGGTCTTGATGTACGATTCAGAGTCGTCGGCAAAAGCAAAAGAGTCTCCCAGTGACCACTCCTGCATCTCACCACCAGGCTCATCCTGGGACAGGCCTTGCGATAGACGGCCAGGCAGAGGCCGCTGCTCCAGGAGACTGGCGATGGCGAGGCCAACGTCTGAGATATCGCCATAGTACCCAAGACGCTCAACACGGTGCCACGTGGCGGCTTTGCGCAGAAAGAGCCGTACATAACTGCACGCTGTCAGACAATGCCAATAACACACCAGCAAAGAGCAAAGAGGACGACTAACAGATACTGCGTCTCGTAGCTCAGACCCCCCCACTCCTCAAAGACGCGCCTCTCCTTGGCATCAAACAGGTGCGACTCGTCTTTGAGCACCGTGTCCAGGGCAAGATTGAAGGCGTCAACATAGATGGAGCTCTTCCCCGGGACCCATTGCCTGTTTTCGAGTCTCGTCGCTCCGTCGATGGTTCCATCCAGCGCGGCCTGGGAGGATCTGGCAGCCTCGTATTCCTGGATAGCCTCTTTGCCCGTCGCGACTTGGGGCAAAGAGCTCTCAAAGGCGGTCTGGCGGTGTGGAACTAGAGCTGGGGGGCCGTTCTCATCTAGATCTAATTCTGTAGAGTTGTCCAAGGCGCGCTCGGATTTCACGACGGGCTCCTTGCCATCATCGTCGTCATCATCGTCGTCATCATCGTCGCTATCTTTTACCTCTTGACGCCGGGGCTTCTTGACAGGCGGCCCGGCGGGGTTCCTGTGGGAGCTGCCCGAGCCAAACGCCAGAAGCTGTTTCCCCGTGTTGGTATTGGCCTGGGGACGTTTGGATCTCTGCACGAACCGATCCATACTTCTTTATAAGCCAGGAACGGGCGGGGTTGTGCGGGACCATGGTGCGGGTGTGTGCATCAAGGAAAACAAGGTCTGGCCGTGTCTCCCAAAAATAAAATGTTACCCGTACTCGAGTCAAGCCGAGTCGAGTCCAGTACTGTACCACCCACCTACGCGATTCCCTGCGCGAGCAATATCTTAGGCGGGGAGCGGTATAGATTCGGCTGCTGCCTAGGCAGGGATATAAGACACGAGAGGCAATGAGACGGTGTTCAGTGGGGTGGCGTGAGAGGACATGGGCGGTTTTGATGTAGCTGCAACTAAGAAAAAGGATAGCTTGATAGCGCGCGTGTGACCCCGCGGGCCATTAAAGCGCTGGGTGAAATGGATTTGGGACGCGACTTCCCGTGACAGCGCGCTCCGTTCCCCCAAAAGGTGTCTGTCCCTTGCAGGTAATGTACGTCCTGCTGCGTCGTCGCAAACCGCATGCGCTCAGCACAGCACAGCACAGCACAGCACATCACAGCACAGCATAACTCAGATCAGCATAGCTCATCCCATTAGTATTGCGTACTCATATCGAGACTTGCAATTGCAATTGCAATTGCGCCGCACCCGCAAGCCCAACAACGCACACGTCTGCCCCCCTAATCCAACACACAATGTCCGAGCATCCACTGGAAACGCCGCCGGCGCTGGCGGAGGATGCCAACTCGGAGATGGAGCCCGAGATGCAGCTGACGGAAGAAGCAGCGGCGGCCGCGGCCGAGGCGTCGCCCGCCACGCTGTACGAGCCCGCCATCAACGGCGTGACGCCGTCCGCGTCCGGCGACGAGCCGGAACCCGACGTGAACATGGTTGACGTGCCGGCCGACCGCTACGCCGAGCTCGACCCTGAACAGCCCGCAGTGCGTGAACCGCCCAGCCCCAGCCCCTTCACACCCCCGTCCCTCTCGTCAAAGAAAGAATGAAAGACACACCAAAAAAAAATCTATAACATTTCATCATTCAACCTCCCCCCACTTCCGCGCAAAACTGAGACAGAGACACATCCAAAAAAAAAAAAAAAAAAACATCCAATTTAACCACCTCCAACAAACTAACTAACCAAACAAACACACACACAAACAGTCACCGCCAGCACTAACCAGCGCAATACCCACACCGTCGGGGGGCAACGCCGCGTGGTCGACGCCCAGGTTCGGCGGCGCGCAGACACCCACCGCCACAGGCACCACCACCACCACCGCAGGAGGAGGAATCCCCACCAGCAACAGCAACGAGGCGTCACCGCTCCCCTCATCGCGGACAGACACGCCGCCGGCAGCGCGCAACAACAACATGACTGACGGAAACGGAAACGACTCCGGGGCGCGGACGGGCGGGACGGGGTCGCGCGCGGCGTCGGTGCACCCTGCAGATGCTGGCGCCGCGGCGACGACCTTGTTCACGATGCCGACCGAGGCGCCGGTGCACGGCGCGCCGGTGCGCCAGTATATCAATACCAAGATCACAGGCGCGCTGCTCGAGGGCATGAAGCTGGTAGCGAAGGAGCAGTGAGTTTTCAGCTCTGAGCTTTCGCGTCCTGTCTTTTTTCAGCGTACAGTATTGACAACCTGAGTGAAACAGGCCCGAAAATCCACTACGAATGCTTGGCGAGTTTCTTCTCCAGCGCTCAAAGGAAACCGAAGAACCAATTGCTTTTTGAGGTCAGATTTACCGGATGGGGAAAAGGGCGGCGGCATCGGAAAACATCAGGTGTTCGGAAAATTTGAACCTGGGTTTGCACGGAGTTCAAGGGCGGCTTCGGCTTAAAGTCACCGGTTCAAGATACCACTTATTTTCTGGCAGACATGTAGAGGAATTAATTGATTTCATTTATCTCCTCCTAGTCATCACCACTCCCCCAAGGGTCTACGCTCGAGAATTTTCCCGTCCCGGAGCAAATTTGCCTTGCAAATCGCTCTAGAATGCAAGCTACCTTCCAATCCACGAACTCCAATGGCCACAGGCGTGATACCGGAGGCGGCCAAGCTGCTTTGATTTTGCGCAAAAGAGGCAGAACCCCGACACGCACATGTCTCATTCTTTCTCGGCACGGCACATCATCTGGCGTTGCTACGCGTACCTAGGCACGCTTAGGCGACGATGGTGCTGGCGGTGGAAGACTCGTACTTCCACGTGGGCGGCAGGACACCGACGGTCTTGTAGTAACGGGCCAGACGGTGAATACGCGACTCGATCAGAATCAGGCGGAACTTGGAGTCCTTGTCCTTGCGGTTGCGCTCAAGGTGCTTACGGACGGCGACAGCCTGCCACGAGAGGTTGGGTGTTAGCACATTGCCCAACGGGGCTGAAAGTACACTCTCCAGGAGAGCAGAAGGACAGCGGGAGAAACCCCCTCCAACGAAATTTACATACCTTCTTGATAAGGTTGTAGATGTCTTCCGGGATCGCGGGAGCGAGGCCTGCGGATAAATCACTCTGTCAGCCAAATGACCAAGCAGAGGCATAGTTGAGAACTGTGTCTCGTGTGTGTCCCAGTCCTCCTCTTTTCCAATCGTCCCTCGCGGGGGCCGGTAAAGACGCTTCGGTCGAGACCGCGCCCGCTGGGAATTTCCTGTTTCCACGGATCGATCTTTCGAGAAGGGACATGTATGAGGAATCGTCAAATCGTACCCTGTCCCTTGAGGATCCGAAGGATCTTGTTGCCTACGATTGCGAACAAACGTCAGTCCAACTCTTCCGCAAATCCAGAGACCAGAATAAACATACCGGTGACGACCTTGACCTGGGCAATTCCGTGCGAGTCACGGAGAATGACACCGATCTGCGAGGGGGTCACGCCCTTCTTGGCAAGCTTGCATATTTGGTCGACGACCTGCTCGGGGGTGGTCTTGAGCCACGTAGGCGGGTTGCGCGAGTACGGGATCGCGGAGGATGAGATGCCCTTTCCGTTGCTGTGAAGACGACCCATTTTGGCGGTGTTGTGTTGGTGGGTGTTTTGTGCCGATTAAGGGGAATGGGGGGACGGGGTGTCAAGAGTCGCTGGTGTTCCGAAAGAGAAGTCTCGATTGGAAAAAAGACGCCTGCGAGAATTCACCAGGTCGAAAAGTGTGGGCGGAGGAAAATGGAGGCTGACTAAGTTAGGGTCAGGCTGTGATTGGCGGGTGGTGGGGCTGGTCATGTGCTGCGACGCATGACCTGGAAATTTCCTCTCGACCTCATCCGAACTGAGCTCAAGCTTAAAAGCGAAAATTTCTCACTCCAGAGAAGGCCCCTTCCTTCTTTCCTCACCAGAACGCATTGCCTTCTTGGCTGCCTCGTCAAATCGTCTGCAGGCTGCAGAGCTGTACTTTGCGTGCAAACCACCGAGATGGGATAGCTACTGAAATCCTGCGTCTTGCGGCTGGGTTGCTGGACCTCTGGGCCAGGCTCTTCCAATGCTGTCTTGTGTTGACAAGCAGAATCTGGGGGTTCCCAAGTTATCGACACTGGGAACAACTCTCGATATCATGCCCCTCGTGGGCTCGGGGCCGATCGGCAACGGCACCGGCCATGCCACAATTAACCGTTAGTCTTCTCCCTCGATCTTCACGGATCGCAACACACAACCCTCAGCCCCTTCTGCCATAGCATCATGATGAGACATTACATTCTACTTTATTCTGGTACCTCTTATGTTAAGGTCCTTATGGACTTGATGAATTAAACGGACTTCTGAACTTTGTTGGCCCCAACCATTTTGTCACATTTTCACTTCTGTGTTGATCATATTGGCTAACAAAGTCTCTCAGGCCTCACTACATTGTTATGTCCAGCTAGGGAAGGCTTAGCAGCTATGGAACATATCATTCTAGATAGACAGTATATTAACAAGCTTTATTTATGAATCTTTGTGCCATTTTGTCTCTAAATCTGCTTCTCGTTTGAGGAGGTGCTTTTCATGCATTGTGACTTACCATGGCCCAACTCAATGAGCTCATCACAGAAACCCTCACAGTATTTAAAATATCGAGACTTGTATTGTGAGATCATCACTGGAATTGCGTAGGTTCTGTTTGGTTAATTTGGCTAGTTGTGTGGTACTCTTCTCCCCAGATGTTGCCCAACTGCTGCGAACCCTCAAGTACCTTGTTACGTGTAGAGCTATATCAATTCAAATGAATTTCATTCTCATTTGCATATCTTGTCCCGCCTATAGACCTAGACAGGCGTGGAAGATGATTACCTTTCCGTTTCAGTTGGTGGAAAATCGACACTAGCCTCGAACCCCTTTCTTGGCGTGGGAAGCGCAACAACCCTACAAGTATTATACACGCATCTGAACACCATTGTCGCCTCCTCTCCGTACATGTATGAAGTGCATGGATATCAGAGGTCAAATCCCGGTTTCCCTGCACGAAATCGATCTCCCCTTTTCGTAATTGCAGTCCACTGTGAGATACAGAGGCCGACTGCGCACCTGGCCTCACTGTAGCTAGCCTTCACACTTAACCTCCTCAAACCCGATCGTCCCCCATGGCAAAACCCCCATTTACCAAGCACTAACGTCAAAGTTTTCCTAAGATTGTGTGTTAGCCTCAAGTTGTGCCAAAAATCACCGGCGCCTGCAATGGACGGGAGGCGCTTTTACCTCTGGGAAGTACGTCGTGACGACTGTACGGTCAGCAAACTTTCGGCCAGCCAGGCTGCGCAACGCCTTGGTAGCCTCCTCTGACGTCTCAAACTTGATAAAGATCTTGCCGACGCCGGCCGACTGTCTGCTTCCGCCAATGGGGCGGGGGATCTTGAGTGACAAGATCTTTCCAAACTTCTGGCACTCCTCCTCAATATCCTCGCGGATTTCTAATAAGTGTTAGCTTCAAAAATGGCGTTCCAATATAGTCCAGCGCAGGGCTTACCTTCGTAGTCATCATTGTCCATAAGCTCATCAGGCGTGACCATGTTCAGCAGCTGCAGGACACGGCCAACGTCAGTCTCCATAGATGTCGTCCCTGCAAGCATGGACATTGCGTTGACACCCATCTCTCCGGCCACCTGCGTGATGCCGATGCTCGCCTTCTGCACTCTGATCGGGCGATCTCCTATTGTCATGCCGTTCAAGCCTTGGATGGCTACTTGGGTAACGGATGGATCTGCGTATTCGAGGAACGCAATACTCTAGAGTCTATTGTTAGTGATGGCGCTCGACTCTCTAGGAACCTACTTCTCAAACTTACACGAGATTCCTCCGTCGAGCTATCTCTAACAAGAACAAACGACTTCAGCTTGCCAAACGCTATAAGCAACTCCGTGACCTGCTCTTCGGCAAGGAAAGGCGGGATGTTCGTTATACTAATCTTGTGGGGGCTATCAACGACGATGTTTGATGGAACATCCGAATCCGGGTCGTAGTGCGGGTTCTCGACTATAGCAGGCACGATATAGTCCTTGGGCCGGCGAATCTTCAGGCCATTCGGCGCTCCCGCGTGACCATTGGCTCTGTGATCGTCGTCAGCTTCCATCGTAATGCCGTCAAATGCCAAAGCCACCGTGGCATCCGTGCTATTTCGGAACTCGAGCATCGCGAAGGAATGGTCGGGGGCAACATTGGCGAGGAGACACGGGTCTGTACTCTCAATAACATTGAGACCGTTCAGCTGCAAATTGAAGAATCCCACAATGGCCTCTTCATTCGCCGACGAAGGCAGGTTAGAAACTATAAGTCGCTTGCTCTGGCGAGCGTTGGACGGCTTGAGGGCGGTGCTGTTGCTGGATCCGCCAGGCTGGGTCATGAAGGTCTGAAGCTTGACCGGGTCGATAGCCTGTTGCCGTGGAGCGCCAGGAAGGGGGAACATTCCAGATAGCTTGGCCTGCTCGGCTGTAACATTGTCGTAACCGGGCGGCTTGATGTCCCACTGGGTGAGGCGCCGCTTCCGCTCCAAGACGTTGACGACATCTGTGAGGTCAGGCGTGGGCTCGCGCTTCTTGGGGGGAGGCGACGCGCTACGGCGACGCTCTCTCTCAAGGATTTCCCGATCAGCTCTGTCGGCTCGTTCTCGCTCTCGGTCATCGCGCGGGGGGGCGTCGCGCATAGGAACGTCACGGTCGCGCCCGCTACGGCCACCGTCGCGTCCATCACGTCCTCTGCCTGCACCTGCGCCCGGGCGGCGGTCGTCCATCAGATCGCGCTCACCGCGGTCTCGGCGGTGGCTGAGTCTATCGTCATCGTCGCGGCGGCTGCCACCTCTGGCGGTGCCGCGGTCGCGATCCCACTCCCTCTCTCCTCGCTCGGCCCGGGGACGATCACGACCCGAGTATCTGTCTTCGCGCTCGCGGTCTCGATGGCTTCGGCTGGAGGAATAGGCATCTACGTCACCGCCCTCGCGACGGGACCGATAGTCACCGGGGGGCGAACGAGACCGTCTGCGGCCCGAAGCACGATCACCACCACGGTCGGCACGATCGCCACCACGGTCGGTACGGTCGCCGGGGTCTCGTCGGTCGCGGCGATCGTCGCCACGGTCACGTCTCGATCCCTGAATGGCGATTGTCAGATTTCCGTAGAGGGGAGGGTGTAGGGATGGGATGGGGTGTGCCAGGAAATTGAGCGACAGCTTGCTTGCTTACCTGGTAGTCACGGCCTGAGCCGCCATGACGGGCGCCGCCCTCTGCTTGGTTGTCCTGGTCAGTGATTACAGCCTTGGGACTGCCTGCAGTTGCCGGGTACCTGCCTCGAGACGTGTAGCTATCTCCGTTCATCGCGAATGCTGTTCCCTGTGGCTAGGGATTGCTGTGTCGATGTGCAAGGTGCTGTACTGCGGAGGATAGACGCAAAAAATTACGTTGCGAAAGGGTTGATGCAGAGGCGGTTCGGAATTGGTATTTGTCGATCGCCGCGAAGGTGGAACTTTTTTTGGGTAGGAAGCTTGGAACCGCGCCTCGCTAATCTAGGTCTAGCTCCCACCCACCGTCGCCAGAGCCCCACTATATTTCTGGGCGCTCGCAGGGCGTCCAAAGACCCCTGGCCCAGACATTCAGCTCTCGCTCATGTCGCCTGCACAAACCGAACTGACAATTGACTGGCTTCTTTCTCACTTTTACATCAACTCGAGATGCTGCCCACAGCTGATCACAAATTTTCTGTTCTCAGATCCCACGGGCCGTGCTGATTTATCCTGGATTTTCTGTTTATCTCATATCTCCATTTCAACGGACAACAGGTCTTTATTTACCAAATAACGTGGAAACCACGCTGAATTCAGCTCGACCCCTTTCGCAGCGGGCTGCACCCACTTCCATAATTAAGGCCCCTTTCAACATAGAAATGGGAGGCGTGCAGAGAGCAGTGTCTGAGTGGCAAAAGCTGCCCCTGAGTCTCACCGAGCTGTGCATCGACACAACGCTGAGATGTGGACAGTCTTTCAGATGGCGCAAGATTGACGATGAATGGTTTGTCTGCGCCCGCCCGTCTTGCTTTGTTTATCATTACAAGTGTCTAACAAGCTCGCAGGCATTGTGTTCTTCAGGGCTGCATCATCTCGCTGAAGCAAGATGCAGCTCACCTGCACTACAGGGCCATCTGGCCCAGCCACAAACAGAAACTCTCTGCTGCCGTCGCCCCCCGGACGCCCCTTTCGCTCACATACTCATGTCCCTCGCCCAGGGTCAAGGAGGAGCAGGACGACGGGGTGCAGGTCGCGTCTGCCTCTGTATCGGCACACGACAGCGACGTCGACGATGACGACGGCACGGCCAGATTTCTGCGCAGCTACTTCGCCCTCTCGCACTCGCTGTCGGCCATGTACGAGCAGTGGGCGTCGTCCGACGCCAACTTTGCCCGCCGCGCGCCGGCCTTCACGGGCATCCGCATCCTGAACCAGGACGCGTGGGAGACGCTGGTCGCCTTCATCTGCAGCAGCAACAACAACATCTCGCGCATCAGCCAGATGGTGCACAAGCTGTGCCTCCACTACGGGCCCTACATCGGCACCGTGGCCGGCGAGACCTTCCACGACTTCCCCGGCCCCGAGGCCCTGGCCGGGACCCGCGTCGAGGCCCACCTGCGCGAGCTCGGCTTTGGCTACCGCGCCAAGTACATCGCCGAGACGGCACGCATTGTCGCCACGGAGCGTCCGGCGGGCTGGCTGCGCCAGCTGAGGAACCCAGAGTGCCCGGCCCTTGACGCGCTTGGCGGCGGCGGGGTCGGGGACGCCAAGGAAGAAAAGAACGCCGAGCCAACAGCTCCAAGCTACAGAGCCACCCACGAGGCGCTGGTGGAGCTCTCGGGGGTAGGTCCCAAGGTCTCCGACTGCGTGTGCCTTATGGGCCTCGGCTGGGGTGAGGCGGTGCCCGTCGACACGCACGTCTGGCAGATTGCTCAGCGAGACTACGCGTTCGGCAAGGGCGGGAAGAGCAAGACCTTCTCCAAGGCCACGTACGACGCCGTCGGAGACCACTTCCGCAAGATCTGGGGTCCCCACGCCGGCTGGGCGCAGAGCGTGCTCTTCACCGCGAACCTCAAGTCCTTTTCGCAGCAGGCGTCAGGCGCCAAGGCGGAGGTCTCGTCCGCTGCGATCAAGGTGGAAGAGGCCAAAGAGACGACGGCGCTTGCTGGCAAACCGGCTGCGAGGGTAACGAAGAGGAAGACGGTTGTAACAGAGGTCTCGTCCGCTGTGGTCAAAGTGGAAGAGATCACAGAGACGACGGCGCTGGTTGGCAAGCCGGCCGCGCGGGTAAAGAAAAGGAAGACGGTGGTGGCAAAGGTGGCTCTGAAACTTGAGGACGACGACATTCAGGTTGCTGAGGCCAAGATCTCAACGTTGAGGACGAGCAAGCGACTGAGAACTCGTGCCTAGAGGACCATAGAGCGCTGCTTCGATCTACACTGTGGAAAGCAAGATTAGCCTCAGCAAGACCTTGATTGTTGATTACAGATATTTGTTTAGCTAAGGCATTCGTTGAGCGAAATGCATTGTACAACATAATACATATTTTATTGTGGCACATAGCAGTGAGTTATAAGCTACGTCCCTTAATTTAGATACTGTGGAAGGCCGCTCTTCCTCGGTGGATCACAACTAACTAAGAAAAGGGGGAAAAGAAGATATACAGTATGTTATTTCGTCAACTCTAGGAGCGTCTTGCAAGAATTTATCACCAAAGTGAAAATGGCTTATACCATCACTACGCATACGATAAAATGAAAATATGCAATACAGGAAAAATGAAACGCTTCAAGTCAGCCCAGCTTCGATATAAGCCGATTGTGGATTGATATGAGCTAATATTAGGGAGAAGTACTGGAGAATCGAGCTAACTAGCATCTATGACTGTGCCCGAATCCAAGGTCACCCGGTCCCACACAGAACCTATTTCTTCAGCAGGCCAACCTTCCACTCCTTGAACAGCCGCTCAGACTCGGGCAACAGCCCATTGCTCTCGTCCAAGGACTGGATAACATTTCCCAGCGCGCCGGCTGGTAGACTTACTTCCTGGGCGTCGTAGGTAAGCGTCTCGAGCATCCGCTCGGCCTCCTCGCGCCTAATCAGCCGGTAGAGGAGTTTGATAGCTGGCGTGCTTCCTGGTGCAGTAGCACTTGACGAGTACACGATGCCGCTGTTCAATACCCAGATATGGAGAGCATTCTCCATGCTCGGTTGGGTATCGTCAGGAGAGGTTGTGGACTCAGATATGGGCGTTATCAACAATTTGGAAGATGCAGACCGGGCAATGATGGAGATGAGCGTGACGGCGAGGCACTTGGAGATTCCGGGGGCACTGCCAGAGACAGACTGGCACGATATCTGCCACTTCAAGAGTGTGACTGCAGCTGCTCTGAAGTTGAAGAACCCCAGCTGCGTGCGACAAGAAGAACAAAAAACATTCAAGCTCCGGGGCTGGCTGCCTGGTGCGTCCGTTTCCGCCAAGGCATGTCTATCTGCTGACCCGTGTTCGTAGCCAGAGGGGGAGAACTAGGGAGACCGGACTCGCGTCAGCGACTAACTGACCCGGGGTGGGTGGGGATTCTGCTCAACAGCTCGCAGTCCCAGAGAAAGCTACAACGGCCCAAAGAATGTCCTTCCATTAATCCCAGAGCATTCGTGACTGTGAATAGCCTAGTGAAAAGTGGAGAGCGTGGCCAATCTACTAGAAAGAAACAACCCATCGCTAGAGCGAGGTTTGCTATCAATCTAGCAGCCTGCTTTCGCAGGAGGAACACACTATTGATCTGGGGCATTTGTATCGGTGACCAAGTCATTGAGAGGGAGAACCCGACCAGGCTACCTTCTTGATGCCCCGCAAAAGAATAAGGAAAAAGAAAAGGAAATAAGAAGAAAATAAGAAAACAAGCGTTGGTGCCAAGCGCAAACTCACCGTGATGCCCAGGCAGTCGTCTTCAGCAAAAAGCAGCGTCGTCAAATCTACAAAGCCGATGCTCTTTTGCGCCGAGATGTGGGAGGATGCACCATACCCCTTAGAGGCAATGCTCTTCTCATCAGTCTGCCCATTGCTCTCGGCATGGTGGTGTCCCCCGTCGCTGGGCTTGTGGCAATGCCAGAACTCCATCATCTCGGCCCAGTTTTCGCTCGGCAAGTCCTTCCATACCGTTAAAGCGTCTTTGTTGACGAGGACGGAACCGCACTGCCTGCAAGAGACTTCAGAGCCGGGTAGTAGATCGGCGGCCGACCACGATGGCGGACGCTGCTCTCCCCCATCTCTAGGGCGGAATACTAGGCCAGGCGAGGACCCCTCCGGGTCAAGCGGCAACCGCCATGACAGCGACTGGACATTTTGTTTCTGGATGGGGAGGACAGCGCCGCCGAGGGTAACCTTTGCTGGCAGGACCAGGTGCCGAGTCTCTCCGCGGTGCCTGAGCTCGACACTGCAGCCATCGGCTGTGACAGCGACTTGCGTCGAGGCATCGCTGGGCGAGTGCAGCGATACCGCGAGAGAGATTTGGCGAATGTTTGAGAGCAGCTCGGCGTAGATGGAGCCGCAAGAGGCCATGGCTTCTCTGTCTTTAAAGCAGCTCTAATTTACTCGGAGAGAAGAAGGCGCAAAGTGGAAGACTATTCCGCGCTTCCCTCACCGCCTGTTCACGCTGGGGCGAACTGCTGAAGAGTGAGGAAGGAACGAGTGAGGAGTGAAGTTGAAGTTTGTTGAAAACAGTAACGACGAGAGGCGCGGACGGGACAGGCTGTCCAATGGCCTGGGTTCCATGACAACTTTGCGGATTACATAATGACGCGTTCGCCTACCGTACCCTTACACAGTGCCGTTATTCTAGACTGTGCACGGGCCAGTTGCAAATCTATCAAAGATCTTTGCCCATCAAACCTGTTTAAGGCCAAAATCCCTGCACCACCGTGCCGACACCGTGCCACTCTACTAGTACTACTGTGCCGTACCGCCAAACCTTTGCGGCTCGGCCTCGACCCATTCATTTGCCTGCCAAAATTTCGAGGAAGCAGCACGCGCTGTCGACCGGGCTAGCATTTCTTTCCCATCGACAAGCTCAAGCAGCTTAAGCACAAGCAAAACCCATCCACGCGCAACCAACATATCGCACCCCGATTTCATCACCAGGCTGGCGCGCATTCGCTACATCACCAGGCTGGCTGCCTCTTCTTAAATTCTCTCCGAGATTGAGCGCATTGCCGCTCAGGGAACACCTGCATCATGTCGGACGCGGATTTCGAGCAGATCAGGAAGCTCCAGGTAGAGCACAACGCGGCAGTCGCGGCCAAAAATGGTTCCAAGTCCTTCGATCCCTCTAACCAACGTGCTGACTCGGCGACCAAAGCAAAGCTCGACCAAGCCTGGGACACGGAGCTCTACGATGGCCAGAATGGCAGCGACAAATTTGCTGGTTATCTCACCACCCTTCCCGCCGGCGATGGCGATGACGAGGAAATGGAGGACGACAGCAGCCGCCGCCTCGTCGGTCAGTACACGGCTACCCGCGCCCAGATTGACGAGTTTGCCCACGGCAGTGGCGTCGAGGAAGAAGATGTTCTAGCCGGCCGTGGAGAGAACTCCAATCGAATCACGGAGCGCGAGACGGACTACCAGAAGCGCAGATTTGACCGCGTATTGACGCCGACGCGGGCCGATCCCTTTGCAGCCAACCGCCAGGCCGGCGCCGCTGAGGATGGCGAGGGCTATCGCCAAATAATGGAGAGGCGTGAAATTGAGCGAGAAGAGGAGCGCGTACGACGGGCCATCGAGCAGAAGCTGAAAGATGGCCCAATCGATGACCGAGTGCCTCTGCTCAAGGAGGCTGCCGATAAAGAGAACGAAGACTCTGGGTCTACCGATGCAGCAGTGGCAGGTCGCAAGCGGAGGAAGAGGTGGGATGTGGCCACGGATGCCGTAGACGGTGCTGCGCCTGCCGCTGAAGAGCCTAAGAAGCGCTCACGGTGGGACCAGGCACCGTCCGTTCCAGCCCTGGGTGCCGAGCCCAAGAAGTCTTCCCGGTGGGATCAAGCACCTTCGGCGACGCCCGTCGGTAACATTGGTCTCGCCACCCCAATGCACCCGGCACAAGGCGCCATGCTCCCACCCGCCTTTGGGACTGACACGTCTAGCCGTTATACATACCTTAGCGATGATGAACTCGATGCGATGCTTCCTGGAATCGACGAGGGTTACAAAATTTTGGAATTCCCGCCTGGGTACGCGCCTGTACGGGCACCGATCCATAAACTCATACAGACGCCAGCCCCAGCTACCGGCTTTACGATGCAAGACCCCGAGAGCGGCCGGGTTGCTGGCCAGCAAGCCCCCAAGGAGATACCTGGGGTTGGCGATTTGCAGTTCTTCAAGCCTGAGGATATGGCATACTTTGGTAAACTCACAGACGGGTCGGACGAAGACAACCTCAGCGTTGAGGAGCTCAAGGAGAGGAAGATCATGCGTCTACTCCTCAAGGTCAAGAACGGCACGCCTCCCATGAGAAAGACTGCTCTCAGGCAGCTTACGGACAATGCCCGCAACTTTGGCGCCGGGCCGCTCTTCAACCAAATTCTCCCTTTGCTTATGGAGAAGTCGCTCGAGGACCAGGAGCGCCATCTGCTCGTCAAGGTTATCGACCGTATCCTCTACAAGCTCGATGACATGGTCCGTCCATACGTGCACAAGATTCTAGTCGTCATCGAGCCCCTTCTCATTGACCAGGACTACTATGCGCGTGTTGAGGGTCGCGAGATTATTTCGAATCTCAGCAAAGCCGCAGGTCTGGCGACTATGATCAGCGTGATGAGGCCCGACATTGACCACGTGGACGAGTACGTGAGAAATACTACTGCCAGAGCATTCGCCGTCGTCGCTTCTGCCCTGGGAATACCCGCCCTTCTCCCCTTTCTGCAAGCCGTTTGCCGAAGCAAGAAGTCGTGGCAGGCCCGCCACACCGGTGTCAAAATCGTGCAGCAAATTCCCATCCTAATGGGCTGCGCGGTACTGCCTCATCTCAAACGCCTGGTCGACTGTATCGGCCCCAACCTGAACGATGAGCAGACCAAGGTCCGGACTGTTACCAGTCTGGCAATCGCCGCCTTGGCAGAAGCTTCGAACCCCTACGGTATCGAAAGCTTTGACGACATTCTTAACCCCCTTTGGACAGGTGCCCGCAAGCAGCGAGGCAAGGGCCTTTCTGGGTTTTTGAAGGCCGTCGGATACATAATTCCCCTGATGGACGAGGATTATGCCAACTACTACACCAGCCAAATCATGGAGATTCTTCTCCGAGAGTTTGCTTCCCCGGACGAAGAGATGAAGAAAGTAGTCCTCAAAGTAGTCTCTCAATGCGCCGCGACAGACGGTGTGACGGCTGGCTATCTCAAGGAAAACGTGCTGGACGAGTTTTTCAAGAGTTTCTGGGTACGGCGCATGGCCCTCGACAAGAGAAACTACCGACAGGTGGTGGAGACGACGGTTGATATTGGCCAAAAGGTTGGCGTTAGCGAGATTATCGAGCGAATCGTGGATAACCTCAAGGACGAAAGCGAGGCCTACCGCAAAATGACGGTAGAGACGATTGAGAAGATTGTGGCCTCTCTTGGGGCTGCCGACATTGGCCAGCGGCTGGAAGAACGTCTCGTTGATGGCATCCTTCATTCATTTCAAGAGCAGAGCGTCGAAGATATTGTCATGCTTAACGGCTTTGGCTCTGTCGTCAACGCTCTGGGTACTCGGTGCAAGCCCTACCTGCCTCAGATTGTCAGCACCATTCTCTGGCGACTCAATAATAAATCGGCAACCGTCCGGCAGCAGGCGGCGGACCTCGTGTCTCGTATCGCAATGGTCATGAAGCAGTGCGGCGAGGATGTGCTCATGGGCAAGCTGGGCATTGTGCTCTACGAATACCTTGGCGAAGAGTACCCGGAGGTGCTCGGGTCGATTCTTGGGGCCCTCCGGTCTATTGTGACCGTGGTCGGGATCAGTCAGATGCAGCCTCCCATCAAGGATCTTCTACCCCGTCTGACACCCATCCTCCGAAATCGGCACGAGAAAGTTCAGGAGAACACTATCGATCTCGTGGGCCGTATTGCCGACCGGGGCCCGGAAAGCGTCAATGCCCGCGAGTGGATGCGGATCTGCTTTGAGCTGCTCGACATGCTCAAAGCCCACAAAAAGGGTATCCGCCGGGCCGCCAACAACACTTTCGGCTTCATCGCAAAGGCTATCGGCCCGCAGGATGTGCTTGCCACGCTTCTCAACAACCTACGTGTTCAGGAGCGCCAGTCACGGGTCAACACAGCCGTTGCCATTGGTATCGTTGCGGAGACCTGCGCGCCGTTCACGGTCTTGCCAGCATTGATGAACGAGTACCGTGTACCCGAGCTCAACGTCCAGAACGGCGTCCTCAAGTCGCTCTCTTTCCTCTTCGAGTACATTGGCGAGATGGCCAAGGATTACGTCTACGCCGTTACCCCGCTGCTCGAGGACGCACTCATCGATCGAGACCAAGTGCATCGTCAGACCGCCGCAAGCGTCGTCAAGCATATTGCGCTCGGCGTTGTCGGACTGGGCTGCGAGGATGCAATGGTCCATCTCCTGAACTTGCTCTACCCCAATCTGTTCGAGACGAGTCCTCACGTCATTGACCGCATCGTCGAGGCCATCGAAGCCATTCGCATGTCCGTTGGCCCCGGACTCATTCTCAACTATGTCTGGGCGGGCCTATTCCACCCGGCCCGCAAGGTCCGAACCCCGTACTGGCGTCTCTACAACGACGCCTATGTCCAGTGCGCCGACGCAATGGTGCCATATTATCCGAACCTAGCCGAGGACGGCGTTGACCGCGGGGAGCTCGCGATCGTGCTTTAAAGTGGGGGATCAAGGGGATGGTGCGATCTCCTTTTTAAATTGTATCTTAGTAACTGGGCTCGCGAGGGTAAAACACTCTCACTATCGGGCGTGGGCAGCATAGAGTTTTTCTTTTCTAGCATGTGTGATTGTGATTATTAAGGATACCTAAGGTAGCGTGTGGCATGCTCCGTCGAAAGGCATGGCACGGAAGGGATACGGAACAGTTGATATCGATAGCCCTGAAGAGGAAGCAAAGAAGGGCTGATAGGGTTATTTCTGCCTGGTTTCCTCGTTATTTTTCGCACTCGGCGCCTGTCTCCGTCTATCTGCCTGTCTGTCTCTGTATGAGTTGAGTTAAGTCTGTGCTATAAGCAAGGTAGCTTTGAGTCGATAGTTGGCCGGGAGGGTTTTTATAGGCTGGCTGCATAATCAGGGCGTTTTGACTTGGCTACCTCTCTCGTTTGAGTTTTTTATCTCTAAATGGATCATGAGTGATGGATGAACCGCTAGTGGTTGGTTGCTGTGTGATTTATTTCTGCGGGTCTTGGATGTGAAGAGATTGTGAGAGAGAGAGAGAGAGAGTGTGTGTGTGTGTGTGTGTGAGAGAGAGAGAGAGAGAGAGTGTGTGTGTGTGTGAGAGAGAGAGAGAGAGAGTGTGTGTGTGTGTGTGTGAGTGAGTGTGTGTATGTGTGTGTGAGAGAGAGTGTGTGTAGGAGAGAGTGTGTGAGAAAGAGAGAGAGAGGAGAGGAGGAAAGAGAATTTAGCGGCGTGTTTGACAGCTCGGCTGTTGACAGACAGAAGGGATACAATCTAGGTGTCTCGACTTGATGTGAAGGCGATGGGTGGAAATATAGGGGCGGTTGTTGACATGGTTGGTCTCTGCTATGTGCCTATGGGGACTCTCTCTAGTCCCTCTCGCGTTGCTCGAGATACGTGTGAGTGACGTCGAGGGTGGCGTTGGGCTTGTCGATTCGTTATAGGGAGAGAAGAGGTCCTGAGTTGATGGAAGGCACTATACATAGTTGACTATCTTGGTTGTTTGAGGGTTCTGGCTCATGCATATGTACCTGTTGGGTTGGCTGTGTTTGTTAGGTCTGGTTGAGATGCGCTCTACTTCTCCCGTGTTTACTTGAACGACAATAGTACAGGCAGTAATAAGGATTTTCTTGATACAGAAAAATGTGGGCTCAGTATACGTGGCAGACATCGTGACACTGGGTATTCCACCCCCTGGCAAAGTATCTCGAGTTGCGTACGAGTTTGGTGGTGGATGACAGGATAGGGACTCTGGAATACCAATAAAATAGGTTTTGACTTCTGCACAGTCAACCTCTTGTAGTTTTTTTCCGTACTTGTTAGATATGGTGTTTATGTTTGGTTACTGTGTTGTTGCTTCCTTGTTTACTCTTGGTTACTTCTTGGTTAATATTGAGTTAGGATTCTGTTAAAGCAGACTTGTTTCTCTGTTGGGGCACACTTTCTACTCTGTTATATAAGACTTTAGGCTCTGTTCTGATCTACTACTAGAGCACACTTTCCTGAGGAGTTACTAGACGGCATCCTCCCAGGTCATGGTGTTTTGAGACCAAAATAACACATCATGGGGATTCAACCTCTATTATCTATTGCCAACAGTATTTTCTGGGGACGGTAGTCACATCAACCCTAAACCCGGAAGCATTCCCATGACGATACTAGACAATATCAAGCATCACGTGGCCTTGGCACGATGAAACCTGGAGCGTTCACTCTGGTGCTTGAACAAGTATTGACTATTTTGTTTCAACTTGCCAAGACCTGAAGACAGATACCACCTGCAGTAATAACTCTTGAGAATCTCGGAGATAAAACGATGGCCCTCTTTACCTTTGAAGTCCTAGATACAAAGAGCCATGGGCTTGGTTCATCGCACACTTCTACTCGCAACCGTCTGTTTACTGCCCTAACCAGTAGCCCCTATTCAGACGACGCGTGATATACTGCATACCACAGTATCCCTTGCCGAGTTTCCCAAACAACCAAACGGAGGAATCTGAGCCCCGGCTTCAGCAACATCTTCCTGTCTTGCCAACCGGGTGTCTCCCAGACGTCTTACATCCAGCAGAGACAAGGACGTGCTTGTTTTCTTTCTCCGCGTGTACGTTTTTGTGTGTTTGTGTAGCTGTAATAAAGGGGGAAAGACACATCCAAACATCACACATCTACCGTGACGGAGTACCTTCCGTAGACACTGTAGAAGTTACAACCCAAGACCGCCTCTACCTGATTTGCCTTCTTCCACAGCTTCGTCCCGGAAAAGGTGATCCCCCCAGTCCAGCTGACCTGAGGCTCGTTTTGCTTCGGATATCTTATTTGGGAAGGTATCACCAAATGCGAAAATGTGATGTGGTTTCAAGACACACATACACACACACACACACCGGCACCAAACCGCGTCTGCCTACCTAGGTATCTATCACATAATCCCGGAGAGACTCGTTTACGCCCTGCCCCTGCGAGAAGGCGGTCGCGACAAGGCTACCAGCAAGGGAGTTGGTTAGGTATACGAACCGGCCCATTTTGGTTTATTTCTTTTCTTCCCCTTCCCCTTTTCGTCTTGTCACCCGCCCCAATCCGGAAGGTAGAGGCAAGTCTATGCCACGATGGGCTGAGACATTCCGAACCCACGCCAGTCAACAAACACACATACACACATATTGGGACCTGATCTTCTTTTGCCAACGACGCAGAGGTGGATACTCCGGGACGGGCGGAAAGGGCGGGAGTGGACGATATCAGAACTAGACTGGTGACCAGGCCGCCGGGCACGACAAGAAATAGAGTAAAGAAACACGCAAATATTTTTTTTTGCTAGAACATGACCCGAAAAAAACAAACGGGATGCTAGTTGGCCAGTTCGTACATATATGTTCGTATGTACTTTGTGTCTATATGAAGGCAAGTACCTAGTATGTGCCTACATACAACGAACGGCCATGTCGGTAGTCCAAGGCCCACACTTGTACATCTCTACATGCAGCACAGAAGGTAGACATCTACGGCGGGAGGGAGAAGATTGTTTACCAAGACGGAAGAGAGAGAGAGAGAGACATCCATCAACTGCCGGCAGGCAAGAGGGAGGGGAGAGGGGAAAGGGAAGGCCGCCGATGACCGGAAGGCCGGCCGCAGACACACAGACACGCACCGAGAGAGACAAGCACGACAAGACAAGACGGGCAGATTGATAGATATCCACCGGTTTGAACGAGCAAGGGCGGGCGAGGGCGGGCGAGAAGCAAGGGCAAGCAAGCAAGGAGAGGCTGAGAGCGAGACTCGAGGCCATGCTGTAGTCGTCCTCTGTCTAGACCCTGCGAGACCTGACCGGTCGGGCAGCCATTAAGGTACCGTAATTTTTGGGTTTGACGTGATCACCACATTTCACGCACTTGTATCCGCATGTACGGATACAAGTTCCTTTCGATCTCGTTCTGGGCTAGGTACTGTACCTTGGCCAATACGCGGTGAAGGTGCTTACCTACGCTCCCTTGCCTACCTACCTACCTAGGTAGGCAGCGTCTAGTGTAGATAGGAGAGAGGACAGCAAGCGTCGGAAGGCGGGCTAGTAATACACACGCATACAGGGAGGGCATTCGGGGGTGGGGGGAGGGAAGGGAAGGACCGGGACGGGCGGAGGCCAGCTAGCTAGGTCTGACACGTTCGTATGGACCGCTGAAGAAGAGGCTTTTCTTCCGAGGGGGAGGAGGAGGGGGAAAAGAAGCCCTGCGAAGTAGGGGACTAAGGCGTGATGGTGGTTGGGTGGCGGTGGTGGCGGGAGGAAGGAAGGCAGGCAGGACGGGTGGTGTTGCAACTTGCGTGAGCGAGTACGGCAGAGGGCAAGGCAGCTGAGCCTGGAAGGCAAAAGCAAAAAAAAAAAGAAAAAGGCAAACAGACCGGATGGCAAGCCGGGGGGCAGCAACGAAGCAGTCCGTCCTACTACATCATGCGGGCTGCAAGAGAGGCATCGCCGCGTAAACCTAGCCGGTAGTAGCGCCGGCAGCAGCAGACAGAGGTGGTGAGAATCTCTCTGCGCGTCTCTCCCGGGGTTCTCAACCGGTCAGCAAAGTAGAAAGAAAGAAGAAGAAAAAGGTGGGAGCAACAGCCTTGATGGCCGCCGCCAAGTCCGAAACAGGGCAAAAAAGAAGAACAACAGAGTTCACATGTGGTGAGAAACAAGGACGCAAGTCCCGGAGACGATGTGGTGAGAGAGAGGAAAAGTCGGGAAACGCGGATCTGTCCTGAATCGGGAGTTCTGTTATGTACTGTACCCAATCAAGCGGGCGGTCTCAACGTCAAAGTCATACGGTATTGTGTCTCCTTTGCATTTGTTCAACCCGCTCGCTCGCAGCTCCATCGCGAGAACCACTAGCCACCAGACACACTAGCATCTGCGAATGGGGGCCATGCCGGGAAGGGAAGGGGACGGGGAGTCAGATGGGATGGGGATGGGGGGAGGGGGTTGGGGAGGACGGTAGATGGATGGCGTTACTACACTTGTCTCTGGTGAAAACCTAGGACGACAGAGGCAGAGAGGCCTATGGGCGTGTCGAATTCTCTATTTCTCACCGCCGTTTTCCCAACTCTCTCTCTCTGTACAGCCCGAACAAGAGCCAGGGGTGACTGATGATTGTTAGGAAAGGGGCATATCCTTCCACTCGGAGCCACAAAACGGGGCGAGGGAGGAGGAGGACGGCGACGACCGACGAGTAGGATCACGAAGAATGGAAAGGCGGTGGGTGGGAAGCTCGGGAGAGTGAAGAGAGCAAGACGACGAAGAAGAAAACCTAACGACCTTCCTGTCTCGTCGTGCCTAGCCCAGCCTAGCCAGGCGGAAACCGCCTTACGTGTACTGTACCTAAGTATTTACGTACGTACGTCGGTCAGCGAGTTCGGGGGAAGGAAGGAAGGGAAAGGGGGGGGGGGGGGGGGGGGGGGGGGGGCAGCAACGTGTCGAGGTGGGCTGGGGAGAGAGGGGACAGCAT